TGCGAGCACGGGCTCACACACAGTGAAAAGAAACTTCGAACTAATTTTTGGCAAGTAAAAGGATCAGTTTAGTCTATTTATATAAGGTATACAATTATGGGACAATTATAACAAGCTGTTTTAAAGACGTGCATTCGTTGGCAATTGGCATGTCTACGAATTAATGAATAAAGCCATCATATGAAACCATGCACCGTTGCATAACCGCAGCTCCACCGTCACCCACTTAATGTAGTCGTTTCCGTAGAAGTTGAGTCCTAGCAGGATCTGGTCCCGACCCTTGTATGTGGGCGCCAGGTCCTCCACACAGCGGCGCACCCAGCTCAGAGGGCTGTTGGGGCCTGCGGACGGGACAAAAAGGTGGTCAGACCTTGGGGACGTATGAAAGCTGTTAACTCATATTCACTAACGCACCCAGCTCAGAGGGCTGTTAGGGCCTGCGGACGGGACAGCCGGAGTTAGACTCAGCTTAGTGGACTATTAGGACACGTGGGAGCGGACAAACTGTCTGTCAGACCTGGAGGGTAACAGCTGTCCACTTATCAATGACACACCCAGCTCAGAGGGCTGTTGGGGCCTGGGGACGGGACAAAGGCTGGTCAGACCGCGGGGACGTACGACTGTTAACTCATATTCACTAACGCACCCAGCTCAGAGGGCTGCTGGGGCCTGCGGACGGGACAGTCGGAGTTAGACTCAACTCAGTGGACTGTTAGGACATGTGAGAGGGGACAAATTGTTTGTCAGGCCTGGAGACGAACGACAGCTGTCCACTTATCAATGACACACCCAGCTCAGTGGGCTGTTGGGGCCTGAGGACGAAATAAGACCTAGGAGTCAGACTAAGCTTCGAAGGCCGAAGTTAAAATCGGGACAGGACAGCCCCAGAGGTTAAACAGTCTGTTTGAACATGACGCCACCAAACAGACCATACTAGACCCAGGAGAATGTTAAAACCAGTGAACGGGACAGATCCTGGAGAAATCCAGGCCAGTTAGCCACTAGGCCCTGGGGATACCATCCCATCCATTCAAAGCCAATCTGTTACTGCAATTATAATATAATTCCCGGTCTGAACAGCTCTGCGGCTCTTACCCGGCCGCCGTGGAGACGAGTAGTCATACGTCATCAGAGAGAAAAAGTCCACGTCATCCTTCAGAGCAAAGAACTCGTCCCGCGAAAAGAATCCCGGGGTGCCTCTGAAACACACACGCGATTTCGGGGATTAATAAAATGCATGCTGCAGCTACAAAACCAGCTCACACCGTGAACCATGGGTCAGCGTCAACGCTTCATCGATCCCTGTTAGCGAAACAACCATTACAGAGCCCTAAATTAGAGGGAAGCGGTTAGCCACGGTTTCTTGCAATAATTTGTTAAGAAAACATTCAGACCAGCCATATAACTCTTGTCAAGATGTCTAGAATGAAGTGGTTGCAAAACTGCCATTCCTCACGTCTGTCGTTGTCCTATGGCACCAATACCGGCAACACTCACCCCCTGTTGATGGGCGGAGGAATGGCCAGCACCACAATCAGGCGACGGTGGCGGAGCGCTGCGGCCACTTCCCGAACTACAGTTACCAGATCGGGCCGCCGCTGACCGCCCAGTTGGCTCCAGACCTCCAGCACGGCGCCGTCCATCTGCAGACTCTGAAAACACGGGGCATTATGAAGGTGATAAGCTCAAGTCGTGGGGCGATTGATGGACAGATCAAAGAAGGGGCTGATTTAGTGGACTACTGCAATAGTGGACGGAATTCCTATCAAAAGGCACGGAATCCAACCTACTTCCGTACAGGTGGCTCGAGCGCCGCCAGTCTCAGTATTTCACTCATTCCCTCTACCGTAACCCGCTAGCCGTTTCTCTATCCCCCTCCCCCCAAGTCCAATTCTTCCATCTCAATACCAACCCACACTGGAATCTCTTCACTTCACTTCATAGAGCCGTCACTTCACCTCAGCCCCACCCACCTGAATTCCCTCCGCTATGGTATCGGCCAGCTGCTTCCGCTGCGCGTCCCGCTGGAACAGTTTCATGTAGTCCTGGCCGGTGAATTCCTCGAACAGGAGACGTGGAATGACTGAAACGGGAACACGGTCGGAGAGTTAGCGTGGGGTCGAAACTGACTGAGGAGGACGGTAGCGGGAGGTTGAGGGCAAGGCTAGATAAACCGCATTTTACAAACAGTCCTTAAACTGATGCGATGAGATGACATGAATATGATGACGAGCTTCGAATGGATAAAAGGAGTTTCACAAAGCGTCTCCGGGTAAACGTCAATAATAGTTAATCGAGGATTCATTCACAAGTTTCGGAAAACAAAACCAATATGCAAACCACGTTTTAGAGACGGACCATGATGATCATGATGTAAGATCGACAAAGTCCGCACATTTAGCCAGCTGTATCCGAGACTGTAAGCTCTGGCTCACCAAGCAAAGGTTAAGTAGTTCCCTCACAGTCCCTCACATATTCTAGCAATTCCTGTCAGCCTGTCTCCTTGTCTATTTGCCCGCTGACGAGGGGTCGCTAGATGTCAGGGACTGTAAAGAAATTAGCGGTCCGCTCCTCTACCGATACCGACCTTTGACGTCTCGGGCGGCGCCCGTTTTCCTGACGTCGGCCACCCACCCGGCGTCCACATCGTGAGTACCCGTGATGGTGTAGCCTGCCGGCGGTACACGGAGATCATGTGACCGCAGATGTAGATCACGAGTACGTCAAACGGTATGGCAGGTGAATACACGACCACGGTGGTGCCTTAAAACATCCCAGCCATAACATAGTGGAGGAAAACAGCAGAAGTGATGGCTTATAGAGCATAACTACCACTCACCAGAGCCAACGCTACCGCAAAACGATAGCTAGATGAGCTGAAAGGCAGGAAGTAAGAGAAGCCGAGAGGTCGAGATACTAGTCTGACGCCTGGATGGCCGAGGGCCTACCTTCCGCGGTTGGTCGGACCTGCAGCCACACTGGAGACACCAGGCTGAACTTGCCGAATGTTTTGGCCACGTCGTAGCCGTGGTTGTTCCACTGTGGACGTCGGGGTGTTACGTGGTCAAAGGCGATAGGCCTCACGCAGGTATGATGATGCATTTTGGAGTAGTGTGACATGTGCATGGACTTTCGAGTACGAGCATCAAGAGCGACGTCGGGTGCCACGAAGGGCGCCACCGCACCAGCCCACATCTAGCATCAGATAAATCCGAACCGACCCACACCCGACCATGCCAGCTAGAACACCGCACCCAAGTCCGTTCTATCAGTCTTGACATCTACCATTTTTCGCCACACAATTCATCTCGATTCACCGATAACATTGCAGCCCTGCATAGCATCGCGACAAATCCGTACCAAATCTATTCCTGTCGAAGAATCTCACTCGTCAGTGTCAATGTCAGGGGAGCAGTGTCGATGGTTACACGATACCGGGCCGATCGACCGCCGACGGATATGCTTGGGTCGCCGGCTGGGGAGGGGGGGGGGGGGCTCCTAATGATAACAGAACAATATATTGCAAAAGGCCTGTACACATTCAGCTGTTGTGCTGTTGTCAGCTGAAATAGGCTCCGCCCACCGCTTCTGGCTGACGGAACTGTATACATTTGGCTGATGAGAAATGTCAGCACTGGCTGACTGTTTACAAATATGGCGTTGTAAACAAATATTTCGTCTCATCTTCATGTTCTTTATTAAAACAATACTTAAGCAGTTAGATATATTATCAAAATATTAACTGACAATGTGCGAAAGTAATAAGTATTTTTCTTGTATCGACAATTAATTATGAAACCAAATATATGTGAATAGCGCCAACATGGTGTCCAAATTTCATTTATCTGCAGTGCTCAATAAAAATCTGGCACGTGATTTGCTTTCATGCGCCACTACCAGTGTCTTAATGCGTCATTTATGGCTTTTGCTGACGGCTCGGCATCTCTGCACTTGCTTTCTCGTAGCAGCACAGCCCGTCAGCCCATGCTGCCGGCAGCAGAGAGGTGACGTCATGTTGCATGTGCAACATACCGTCATCAATTTTTCAGCCAATAGTGTGAGTGATTCTCGGCTGACAACAGCACAGCAGCTGAATGTGTACAGGCCTAAATATTGCAGAACTTACTGGTGTTACATATCCCAGCACATGGCTAGGGAATGTAGCCTGGGAAGCTGTGCTACCCTGGTAGGTGGCATGTTGAGCCACAATCTCTGAAGCTGTGATGTCCTCCTTCACTAGGTGACGCTCCTCCACAGAGGATGCCACAGGTCCTGACTGGAAGACAAGATAGAGAATGAGGAAGAAGAAACATGAATCCAGAAACAGTCTCAAGCACGTCATAACATGACAACAACATGACAATAAAATAGCACAGAATAATGTGGAAAGACATCAAGATAACATCACATGAAAATTAGAAAGAGGAAAAGCAAAGCAAATCAGCATTCTTACCATAACAGGCACATCCTTGATGGAGTTTTCTGTGCCAAAGGTGATCAGCACACCAAAGACGACTCCCAGCACGGCTACACATGCTGCAAGTGTTCCGAGGCACCCAACACCAGCATTTGCTGGGTCCTGAAATAAGATAATTCAGAATGCTTTAATTTCATTAGCATTTAATGCAATGAACATTAAACTCTCCAACAAAAACCCATGATATTGAGCTGTAAATGCTTATATCTTCAAAAAAATGAAAACTACAATCTTATGCAATGAATGTAAAAAAATGATGCAACATACCTCTTCTGATGAGTCATCTCTCTTCAACCTGGGCCTGGTAGAATGATTCGCCCCCTTTTTCGCCATTTTATTGCTTGGGTGGGAGGGTTAGGCTTAATCTGAAAAAAAAAACAAAATGCTCAATTTTATTCAATTCTCAATCCATTTATCTCGACTCAGTGAAAAAAAAAATAAAAAGCACCCAAAGCCGTGTTTCGAATCGCATAAAACGTGAACTAGATGATAAAACATAACCAATCAATATGGAGTATTTTGCTTCGCTAGCCAACGGCAACCAATCAAATGTCAGCCTTTCTGCTCGTGATAGAACCCAGAACAGCCAGGATAGAAAATGTTGCGCCACATCTGGCAATTGCTTACTTACATGTGGGCAAGATTCTTACAACATGTGGGTGCATGGCATGCTTCCTACTTCTACTCGTTGAGTCCTAAGGTTTCTCTTCTCACTTCTTACACGTGGGCGTCGGGACTCGGGAGTATCTCACACCGGTAAGTGGAACACCAATGCTACACGTACATTAGTCTGCAGATCCTTTCCGTAGAATAATTAGGTGCCAGTGCCTGTCAAAAGTTATTAATGTTTGTATACAAACATGTCAGGTTATAACCTGGCATTTCAGTCATTTATCCGTAGCTTATTATTTGCGACGTCTTTCCCCTTCTCTGACAATTTAGTTTAATATTTTGGTGATCTTTCTTTAATTAAATTCACAGTGATTTGTAGAAATTACATCCTGTGTATAAGATTCTTGCTGATGTGTGACATGACAGGACATGCTACAGCACGTGCTGCAGGCCTTCCGCAGGCTTCCTGGCCACCGACTGCTAGCTACCATGCCCAAGAATGTGGACCTGACTGAGCGGCGGGATGCCCGCTCTGCCAAGACCAAGAAGCTCAAGTCGTATGGTCCTCCAAGTCAGGTGAAACTGCAAGTGTTGGGGACAGGCGCAGAGGGTGCTCCACGGGCCCTCTATGTCTTCACCACTACAGCTAGGTGAATACCGCACCACAGCCGTTTCTCTAAAAGGGAAAGAGATGAGAATGAATTATTTTGGATTCAGCTGTCAGATTCTGCTACCAAAATTGCCAATTTTGAAATGTGTTTTGAGGAAATCATGGATCATTTTTTGTTCAGTGGATTTGCTTTTGTCATGTATACTTTGTAATTGCTTGTTTTGTTGGTGTAATGCGTCTTTGTTCATCCAATATATATTTTTTCATGTCTACTGAGGTCAACAAAAGAATTTGCGACTGACGAAATGATGCTTATGTGACAGCTTGTATGTTTCTGGCGTGCTCAGTGTGCACAACTGAGGTTTCTGACTTCTCCCTCTGTCTCTGTCTCCAGTTACCTCTTCAACTGTGGTGAGGGCACCCAGCGACTGTCGCACGAACGGAAGACACGTCTGGCGCGACTGGAGAATGTTTTTGTGACGTGTAACAGCTGGAGGAACGTTGGCGGTGTGCTGGGCGCCCTGCTGACCCTCAACGATATCGGGGTGCCGGCGCTGACACTGCATGGACCGCCAGGACTGGTGAGTGGGGGTTTCGGAGACCGTTCGACTGGGGTGTAGTGAGATGTCGGGATATCGATCGAAGTATTGCCGGGATGCTGATGAGACAGCTAAGACGGGTTTAGGGGTATTCACAAGACAGGATAGGTGAATGGGTGACTGAGTAGACCCCTTAGACAACCGAGACAAGCAAAGCGGATTTCGTGAGAGGGGGAGGGGGCGAGGCTACTAGTTCTGCCGGTGCTACTCATAGTCAGACGGGAAATCGAAGTCTTGGCGTCGTTCTCACTAAACTGATGTTGGTATAACTATTAGAGCTAAAATAGCTTGTGATGTTTTAGGCTAAGCATTTTACAGCATGAGCAGACTGATGTCGTTAGTTGATTCTTCTGGCGACGTCCACGACATTCAATGATAACTGTGTATTTATTGCGTCGTCTTTTTTATACGACTCCGTCTCTGCTAGCCTGGCGCCTGCTCAGACCTATCACCATGTTATCGCCTATTACAATCGATCTGACGCTGCTTTTCCCTCCCCTGTCGCCAGAGCTCCCTATATGATGACACGAGGAGTTTCATCCAGCTGCGGGGTATGAACGTCCAACATCGTTCCGATACCGACTCGGACTTTGTCGATGTCGGGCTCAAGGTCAGTGTGACGCCTGTCACGTGAAGCGTGTGGCGCTTTCTTTGGCGGCGCTGTCTTTCTCGTGGCGATATGCGTGGATGAAGAGAATGAATTTAGTGTAGCGGTTCCAACATTTGAACATGTTTTTATGCGCTTGGTTATAGTCGCGCAAGTATTGAATATTTAGTTTGCCGATGCCGATCCCTTCATACGAAGGCCAACCTATTCCATCATTTCATCGACTTCATTAGTGATGCCAATATCAACCCACTACAGTCTCACTTTAGAAGTCAGAGCCGTCTTAACCGACATGCGGGGAAATGTGAATTTTATTACGAAATGTTGTTAAGTTATACATAGTCTGGGATGGGAGCACGTATGTACTTATGCCTTTCCCCTCGCCCACCCATTCCCAGGTGCGTGCGGTACCCCTGTACGGGTCAGAAGTGAGACGAGATCCGCCTCCAGCTTCAGAGTCGCCCCCACGACCCAGCGTAGACTATTTCGCCTATGAGAGGACCGGGGGTCGCACTACGCCCACCACACCACCCACCGCGGCCAAGTCGCAGAGAGCGCCCCAGTTTGCAACAGCGGCGCCACGGTCGAACGAAGGGGCGCCACGATCTCACGGAGAGGGGCCAGCGGCGAGCGAAGGGTCGGTAGACCGAAGAGAAGTGGCGTACGCCTACGTTTGCACCGTACCTGACTGGCCCGGCCGACTTAGTCTGGAAAAATGTGTTAATCTTGGGGTGAAACCCGGACCACTGTTGGGCCGTCTAAAGGCGGGACATAATGTGGTGCTTGAAGATGGAACCGTGGTTCGTTCGGCAGATGTTACCTCACCAGACGAGCTCGGCCCTCAGTTTGTGGTACTGGAATTACCGTCCGCAGACTTCCTCCCCTCGCTCTCAGACTTAGACTCGTCCATTGACATGTCGCGCCTGACGGCGGTCGTTCATTTCTCACCGCCGGCTGTGATGGACGAGTCCATGTTCAGAACGTGGAGGGGAGGCCTGCCGGCGACTGTAAGGCATATCGTGCTTAACGAGGAGAGTCATGGCCATGGTAGTGAGGCGGTGCATCGACTGCAGCATCAGCTGAATACCATCGACTCGGATCTGTTTCCGCTACTGACCGGGGACGAGGTCAACTTCGGCATCATCCCAGCGAACGGCGGCACGGGAGCCTCGAATGGCACTGGAAACGGAGGTAAGTCGATGCATCAGATGGTGTTAAAAACTGCAGAGCTTTGTCCTCTTGAACTATCCATCGCTTTCTTTTCTGAAAGTAATTCTTTGTGTTACAGAGGCAACTTGTGTTCCAATCACTTTCAGTGAAATATTCTTGTCTCTTGTCTATAGTCACTGCCCGAAAACGCACCAGCTGCTCCTGACTTCTGGGGAAATTACTTATAAACTGCCTGTTAGTGCACCACCACAGAGATAAATATGTCTTAATCAACATTCAGCCACCTGTCCTAAGCTGTGGGTCATAATAAGCTATGCCATAGACGCACTATGGGTGGTACCGGTAGTGCTATATCGCCTTCTCGATCCTTCTCTACCGCCGTGCCTATCGTACTGTGTACCGGCCATTTCAGAAGTACCGGTCAATAAGAGAGCTCGCCTGTCATCAGACGCTAGCGAGCCGCCTACGGAGCCTACCGAACCACAACCGGACAGTAAAGGAGCGGGCGAGAGGAAGGAGACTGAGGGAGAGCCGGGGACGCTACTGCACCCGCCCTCCGGCTGGGGACTCAGTCTTCGGCCAGCCGCGCCGCCGGATACGTGAGTATTGCACCCTGTGGGGTCTGGGGGTGGGATGGAAAGGGGACTAAACTGTAATATTACACCTGCTGAGCTATCTCGGTTCTGTTGTGAGTTTCTCGATGGTAGTAAAGGACTGTTCAGTTGAATAAATCGCAATAGACTGTCATATGTTTTGAAGTGACATCAAGTGGCGCGGAGTACGAAACTTCGCTTTGGTGTCTGAAATATCGCTGTCTTGTTTCTCTTCAATCGCAATTATAGTGAATAGCAGAAAAAAATGATTGTGTTGAACGTCTTTACCATGTCTGTATAGCAACCGTGGCTAAACTAGATACTGTGGCTGCAGAAGCTGTGTTACGTCCGTGTTTCGCCCCTCTGACTGCCCCCTCCCCTTCTAACCACAGCGAAGGTGTCTTGCCAGTCACACCCGAGGTATACCGCGCCGAGCTGGCCGCCGATGAGACGTTTGTGGCGCGGCTGGACGAGTACCGACGCGCCCGGTCTGCCCTGCCTCCGTCGGATGATGTGTACCCACAGACTGTATTCCTGGGTACGGGCAGCTCGATTCCAAACAAGAAACGGAATACGAGTGGGATTCTGGTGAACCTCAGGTGAGCCGCACGGCGACATTGCCGTAAAAATGGAAACGTTTCTGGCTTAGGCTGAAATGCAGTATGAATTATGTGACGCTCTTAGTTGGAATTATTTGTCATACTCGTGTAAAAACTACACCACCGATTTATGTCGGTCGCCGTGGTTTTGTAACGGAACATAATTCAAAATATATCGCTGGTTTAAAACTCAAAGGGATGGCCTGGAACAAATGTGTTACTTCAAATACCTGCCTGGACTGAGGGTAGCTTTGGTATCACTTCCCTTCGTCTCCAGTGAGAAGCATAGCATCTTGCTCGACTGCGGCGAGGGTACGCACGGTCAGCTGGTGCGACTCCAGGGCAGCGAGTGCGCGGCCGAGACCCTACGGCGACTGTCTGCCATCTACATATCGCATCTGCATGCCGATCATCACATCGGTAAGAAAGTGTAATGGGGAGGAGTTTACGGGAGCCGGGCTGAGCTATTGGGGTCAGACTTGGGAGGGTTGAGTTTGTTGTGGGGAATGAGGGGAAGGGTGGAGGGTGTCTACATGAGTGAATGATGGAGAGCATGACGTGTGACCCTGTCCGACCAACCGCGTTTGTAATTTGGAGAGATGTGGCTGGAGAACTGCTAATGGACTGAGGGCATTGGATGTCAATCTGATGAATAGCATAGTGGGCTACCCAACCGTCTTCGTGCAATGCAGCACGAGACGCAAGTAGTTTTTTAAATAAGCTACATAAAAGGAATCTGCATGTGACCCGGTACTCAACCACTGTCGCGTTCAGCTCGCCCTGACATTCTCGTCAGCTGCTAGTATTGGATTATGTGACTGCCCCGTACTCTGTCCATCGTCGCTCATCCTGAATCCCCCCTCTCCCCCTGATTTCTTCTGCCAGGTCTGATCAGTATCCTGGAGGCCCGCCGTCGAGCACTGGGCGCCGACCACAAACCGTGTCTACTGATGGCTCCAGCCCCCATCACCAATTATCTCAACATGTACCACACCAAGATGGCGCCGCTCAGGGGTGAGCTGTTACGTTAGAGAAAGCCGCAGCTAGATGGCTGCGTAATTGTGGACGTGGTGTCATGCTTATGTGTAGTTCGCTCGACATTACTTTGTTCATAGACTTCTGAAATAGTTCGTATTCCTCTGTATATATTCGTTGTTGAGGCCCTACAGTCGTTTTTATTATATTTAGAAGATCCGTCGTGGTCTCACCTAACCCTAAATGAAATGGTACCGTCTTATTCGTTAAGTTGTGACTTGTGAGCAATCATCTTGTGCGGCGAAGACATTCTCCCGTTAGAACGACTCAGTCTGAATTACAGCAAATCGTGAACATAAATATGAAGCTGTAATCGACATAACGTAATCTCCCTCTAACCGCCCTTCCCATCCCCCAGACACGTTCACTCTAGTCCACAACGCGGGCCTCCTTTCGAGCCGGTCACCGCCGCCGGACTGGATCACCCGCCGGCTCACGGAGGCCGGTCTGACTGAGTTCACCACCTGTTTAGTGCGACACTGTCCACTGGCGTACGGTGTACGGCTGGCCCACACGGAGGGACAAGAGGTGGTGTATTCGGGAGACACGAGGCCCTGTGATGAGCTGGTCGAACTGGGTAAGTGGTGAAGGGGAGCGGAATAGGAATGAATAGATCGAATGTGTCTGATTTGAAACTGTTTGTGGTTAACTGTCTTTCTCTGACCCTTTCTGCAATCTGCTTCGGGTTTTCAGCCACCCCATATTCTTCTCTATCGGATTTTGCGGTCTTGTTTTTTTTTTTAGGGTTTAACTTCTGATAACAAATGTTTTTGCTTTCATTTTTTCAAGATTTCATTCCATAACTGTTTTATTCCATTCGCCGTAAATAATGAATGCCTTATGAGAGGCGTCTGTGAGAGGAGCTATTATACTCCCTTGTCTTCAAAGTCTCAGTCATTATAAACGAGTAATTATTTTAAATGAAATCACTTATTGCACAACCGGTGCTGAAGCCCTCTATAACTAATTAATCTCGCTGCTGTCTCCAGGCCGCGGCTGTGACCTGCTCATCCACGAGGCCACCCACGAGGACGAACTACAGGAGGAGGCCGTACTGCGGGCACACTCCACCGTATCAGAGGCCATCGGTGAGTGACTAAATAGTAGAGGCCAGAGAGTGACGATATTGTTGGCATACTGTCGGGTATAACTATAAATTATAGCCCTTATACGGCTATTTGTTCTGAGTATTGACGTAGCAAGACAGTCGGAGCTGTAACCACTTTAAATTCATCGTTTTATTGATTGATTTTGTAAGTGTCGACACTGCGGGGAGAAATTGCACCTACTGTCGGTTATTTCTCCTCAGGCCACCAGTACTTGCGGTGGACACTGTCTCGTGAGGTCAAATGCTGGCTGTAGTGAAAGCTTGGTATTTTGTAATTGAATTTTAATCGATACTGATATAAAAAACGGGTACTGACTGCTGAGTATCGGTACTTTCAAAGTCAGCTGCGAATGGTCATTGCTCAGAGCCACTAGTTACTGAGTGAATTCGGGATCCAATCCCTGTCCCCTGATCTACTTCCCGTGTCGACTATACCACCCCTTCTGTTTCGTCCACACAGAGGTGGGAGTACGGATGGGCGCCCGTCACGTGCTGCTCACCCACTTCAGCCAGCGGTACGCCTCGCTACCGATGCTGCCGGAGCCGGCGCCGAACAACGTCGGAATTGCCTACGATAACATGGTGGTAAGTGAGGGGGAAGGAGGGAAAGTTGATGTTGGGACTGGCGGAACAGGGTGATTTGAATGGATGGGAATGAAGAAGGGAGGAAAGGTATGGTAACCGTGGGAGCGAGTAACTGGTTTCTGGAGGGATTAGGCGGAGTCAGGGTGCTTGGAATATGCTTGGGCAAGCTGTACTTGGCGCGTTTTTCCACTCCAAGCTGGATTAAATAGACGCTCGAATATTGTTTTTACGGTTGAATAATTTCTGCAGAATTGTTTTGTGTGTGTGATTTTTTAGGGGGGGGGGGGGTGGGGGGGGGGGGGTGGGTGGGTGTTGGGCTTTCGGTCCATTTAGACCATTGCAGAGCCTGGAGGATAATTAAAGGAATAAGGGTGAGACATTGATTTGGGCAGGCACCCTAGTGAGTCGCAGGGCTGAGCCCGTCCGACCAGCTGTCCTAATGATGGAAACAGATGATGGAAACGACGGAGCGGGTGTGGGTGGGTATTCCTGTTCAGTGTCCTGCCTCCCATGCCGTAGTGCGCGCCTTACCGGCTCCATCTCATTGCTGACTTCCCCCTCTTTCTTCAGATCAACCACGGCCACCTACCTCGGGTACCCCTGCTGTATCCCGCCCTGCGCCGGGCCTTCGCCGAATCATACGACCAGTGTGTTGAGCGGACAGCCAAACGACGCGACCGAAAACTGAGAGAGGCAGAGGTACTGGCTGAAGCCGAACGTACTGCGTGACGTCACTGGAACATCGTGACGTCAGTGGTGTTATGCTAAACGCTGTGTTGAAGCCTCCGTCGACGGTGTCAAGACTGGTTGGAGGTGGTGAAATGGTGTAGGTTTGCGGCCGAACTAGTCGACGACTCAGTTTTACAAAGTGCGCAATATTGCATGCATATTCTTGATTGGCACAGACAAAATGTGATGGAGGGTTTGATTGAAATTATTTCTTTTTCTGCTCAGAGTCGGACGAACCCGTACGATATGGTACTCTAAACTCTTTCGCTTGAAATTCTGCGCATGCTGTGCGGATGTCGCGATAAGAACATTTTTGATACGTGATTTGACCGGGGCTATGGGACGCCGCTGATCTTTCTCCTCGCATGCAGTTAGAGCGTCGTTAGGGGGCACTGTGATACGATTAGAGGACGCCAGAGGCGAGTGCATGGCTCGCTGTGTTTCTAGTTTTGCGAACTTGTTATTTTCCGTTGTTGAGTGATCGGTGTTGATATAATATATCAATTTCTTTTCAGATATGTTTTCTTTATTATGATATTGGAAGTTCACTTAGTTGAAGATTTGTCGATTTCTGGTAACACATCAACCAAAGAATCTTTAACATCGAGCGACCTGACGGACAGGGTGCGAATTACTGCAATAAGACATTTTTTAGGGGAAAAATATGCAGCCCGGTCCGTAAAACATTTCATCTAATAATTCATGTTGGCTCCTGCCAAACACGATTGATCGTGGCAATCTTTCGTTAGCGAAGAATGGGTTAATTGGACGTCGTTTCTGTAATAAGCGGCAGCCGCCAGGACTTGTCCGGGTCAGGGGCGTAGCCAAGGGGGGGGGGCATAGGGGCCATGCCCCCCCCCCCCTGGAGCCCTGAAGGGCCCCCATCGCGGTGTCATAAGTACGGTAAGGGGCACAATAAAAGTAGCGTAAGGGCCCCTCGGGCACTCCACTGGGTTCGCGGGGGCCTTTCGGGCCTGAGACCTTGCCGCTAGGGCCCTCTGGGCTCTCTTCATTGGTTATAAAAGGGCCCTTTGGGCCTGAGGCTTTGCCACTGGGCCCCTCGGGGCCCTCTCCATTGGGTTCGCAGGGGCCCTTCGTAATTAAGGTAGTTAAGCAAATAACTACGTCATTAGCCCGTCCCGTAGCTCAGTTGGTAGAGCGTTGGACTCCGCGTGGTGAGAGCACGCGTTCCCGACGTTATAACAGTCCGGGTTCGAAGCGCGACGGGCGGTCGACATTTATGGGCCTCCTGACACCTGTATGGTTGCGGTTGGTGGCAGGCCGTAGCCAGGCGAAGTCAGTGAGGGGACCGGCCGTGCGCGGCTATGTGCGCACGTTAAACTTTGGACTCTAAATTCTGCCATAGCACTGGAATTGCGCGATCGGAGGGTAGAGGGCAGGATCACCGCAACAAGCTTCGCTTAGCGGTGGCTCTGTCCTTGTGAATCCTTCCTATCAAAAGGTTCGGGCTAAATTTATAAAAAAAAAAATGTTGGGCCCCTTCGCCCACATGGGTCCCTTTCGGTTTCATTGCCCCCTCCCTCCTGAAGAAAATCCTGGCTACACCCCTGCCCTTAGACGGCTTACATGACCCTCAGACGGCTTACGAGGCTCTCATGGGCTGTAGGGGCCTTTGGCGGTCTGAAGGACCCTCATCCGACCTACCTCAAGACCGCCTTCAGAACCGGCTGAGCGACTCTATTGAAGCTATTCGTGGGCCTATCTAGCAGGGACCCATGGACTGATTGCCCCTCAGTTCTAACATTTTTTTTTCATTTTTTAATTTTTTTTTTTTAATTTATTTGGGCCCCCTCCAAAAAATAGTGGATGAAAATCCGATGACTTTTTGGATTTTGAGGGGGTTTGCCTTGGGCCCCTGTAAGTTTGGTCCCCTCCTGGAGGAAATCCTGGCTACGCCCCTGGTCGGGATCTAGTGAAATGTCACATCATTTCCGTTCAGGTCATGCATGACCTTGACCCGTGATCACCTGTTCGTGCTGACATTGCAAGTTAAAATCATAAAACATTCGACGCGTCTTGAAGAAAAAGCCAGTGAAACGGAACACCGATGTCATACAAGCGTCGCATAACAAGTAAGGTCCTACAAAAAAAAACAATGTTTCCTCAAACATTGACGTTTTTGTCCCTCGGAGGTCAAACCGGTCAAAGCACACCGACGAAAGAATGAAATGAAGAGCCACTGAATGTTTCATCTCGTAGTCGTCACTGTCACATTTCATAAGTAGCATTTCACAACCAATTTGTCCGAACAATGTCCAATCCAAATCGACCATGCAGCTGAGCACCTATGATGGCCCATGGCCTCAGGCCACCTGACCCCGACTTGGCAGCAAACGACATAAAGCATATCGTATCATGATTCTGACGAGCTTCAAGACGCTGTTCACGGCGTCGGCGACTGGCGTTGCATACTGCATAGCTTAGCGGGAGTCTAGTAAGACTCGTGAACGACGAACGTAAAAACGGCTCGCGGTAGAAAGTAAAAACCGTCGGGCCTCTGGTACGCACAATGTCCAAACGGTTGACTTATTTGACAGCTGATGAAGTGAGGTACAAGATGACCCGTAAACTGAGCCGAAAATGGCCGAGGCATATTTTCAAGAGCGTTTTTAACGAGCTCTCCAATCGGCCGAAGACCGTTCACGCTTGCCGCGAGGCCAGACAGTCGAGTCATGGATGAAGTAGAACCTCGAGTCATGGTAGTAGGTAATCCATGGTCGAGTTGTTTGTTGAACGTTTTTACTACGACGACAAACCATATCCGCACTAATTATTCATCATCAGCAACAGCTGGAATTAGCAAGTTGCCCAGTGCTGATATCACCTCTTCTTGTCTTCTACATTTTTTTTTCATTTGGCAAGTTCATCAGAATGATGGAACATAACATGCTCTGCTCAAATAGGTGAATCATAATGAAAGGTGTACCTAAAATTTCAAAATATACGGACAGACGCCGCCGTCCCGAGCCTTGGCTACGTCAGAGTTAGCCGACACCGGTCTCCTTCGTTCCTACGACCGACGTATCCTGTTGCAGCACGCCCCCAGGGTATGACGTGCTCCACTACGTCACGCCGTACTCGGCCGTAGCCGGTCGGGGGCGTGCTCCACCGGCCGGCCGACCGAACAAAGAGGCGGGGCGGACCGCCCCGACGCCCGTCCGGCCCGACCGACGCTACCCCGTGGTCGCAGCCATCTGAGGGGAAACGACTTATACGGCAAATGATATTGTCCAGTAAAGAAACCGAGTCGAAAAAGTCACTACATCATCAATTCATAAAGCACATGAAAGAAACAGGTCGGAGCGACCGATTTCAAAAAGATTAGAAAACCGTTATGCACAGAACGCACTACAGCCCGATATTCCCCGTTTGATTTGAGTACATTTCGGTAAAACCATACATAAATAAAACATAGAAGCATGACTCAGCATGGTTTATCATATGTGCAAGGACTGTGCAATATTTGTTGCAGCGTAAGAGGGTTGGGAATGCATCCCCCAGATTGGCCTCATTTGGCCCGGCGCCCAGCCGAACAATGAAGTATTGAAATTATTGCAGAAATGCTTCATTCTAAGCTCTCCAGCATCACAACTTTCCTGTTATTTGTCCAGTATTCAGTAGTTCATCGTAACGATCAACATGATGTTGAAAAATTATCAAATATAAGTAGAAAGTCTGCCATGACCGTTGCGAGGAATCCAAATAAGCCGTTGGATGTTGCTCGGAATGTGCTTGTGGAAATCTTCGAACAAAGCCCTGTAGCGACATGGATAGTGGGTGTCCAAGTGTGAAAATCGGCTCACAGACTCAGCATAAAGCGTTCTTCGTGATGAAATCATAATTGGAACTGTATACTGCACCGAAAGCTCTTAATTTTATCGATTATTGCAAGATTTAATTTTTTACATCAGGAAATTTCATCTTTACACGCCTGTATCTTCTAAATCTTTGGAGGTAGAACATTGAATCATTCACACAACAAAGTTCCACTATTTCAGTTTACATATCAACCCAAAGTTTGACATAACACGATCGGTATTTTCTATTTTGAGCGCTGTCAATAAACTACAAACACAGTTGCAGCGGCGCGCGGCGGCCACTCAACTCTCGTCGGCCGCGGCGGCACAGTGCGCTCGCTGTCGTCCGCGCCGCGGCTATATAAACGCCGCCGACCGGGCGCCGTCATCAGTCTCAGTCCGACGCTCCCCGTGTTCACGTCGCTCCGTGCTAACTCTCGCCATGGCCGATACTGAAGCCCCCGCTGCCGCGCCCGCCGCCCCGGCGACTCCTGCCAAGAAGGGACGCAAGCCCAAGGATGGAGCCGCCAAGAAGGCCAAGTCTGACCGCCCGCCTACCATGCAGCTCATCGAGAAGGCGATCGAGAGTGAGAAGGACCCCAAGGGCACCTCCGTCCTAGCCATCAAGAAGTACATCACCGCCAACTACCAGGTGAAGTCTGCCCAGTTCCTGAACCACATGCTGCGCAGGGCGTTCGAGGCCGGTCTGGCGGCCGGCAAGCTGTCGCGCCCCAAGGGCCAGGGTGAGTCCCACCTGCTCGCCGGACGTTACCGCCTCGCCGTGAAGGAAAAGAAGGCCAAGGCAGCCCCGGCCAAGCCCAAGAAGGTCGTCAAGAAGCCCAAGGCGGCCAAGTCCCCCGCTAAGAAGGCGGCAGCGAAGCCGAAGAAGGCCAAGACGCCCAAGAAGAAGCCTGCAGCCGCGGCTAAGAAGGCCAAGTCGCCCAAGAAGGTGAAGAAGACGCCCAAGAAGCCGGCTGCTAAGAAGACCGCAGCGAAGAAGACCCTCAAGAAGGCGGCAAAGAAGGCATGAATGGCCTTCTAAAACGTGACAGTGTACAAATTCAGTGTATGTAGATCATCGTCATTAATCGAGAATATGCATCTCGTGATGCTTTATTGGAGCCGAGCCAGTCGCTCGAAGGTGGATCTCGCCATATGTTGATGCTCGATAATCGAGTAATTATCGCCGCCAGTAATGGCACAATGTACTGTATCATCCATCGCATTTGATCATAAATACATCATCTCATCGGAACGAGCTCTTTGTGGTGACTGGGATGTCTGAACTCGAGGGGGGGACGACCTTGAAAGGAGTACACACTGGAGAAAGCAATGATCGATCGAATAAATAAATAGGCTGGTACTCAATATAACATGCAAACATGGTTGGAAACTTGGCCTTGCATTCTGAGTTATGCTGGAGATAATGCGGCAGTTCACTTTTCCTAAACCTACAGTCGGAGGAAGCGGCTCAACTTTCTATTACCACGGCAATGAGGTCACTGACGCCGGCTACTGTCCCAATTACCGCCCACAACGGACGGAGCAGTCATCACAGTTCATGGAACCTCGATTGACTAGCTTTTTCAAAGTATCGCGCGTCTGCTTCTCGCAAAAAAAACCAGTTGATTTAATAAGCTTGGGCACCGAGTGGTGGTTCATATCCAATTCATAATCAGAGCTCAGTTCCCTCCCCCTCCCCAGACCCCACAACGTGGGGAAATGAATTTGAAATCAGGCGAGCCTGGCGCCACCTACCAAGCCATAGTTGTAAGGTCAACCACAATACAATGGTGAGCCGAAGTCAAACTAACCACCGCTCGACGCACTTTGCAACCAGTATAACGCCTTATGGGGCGACTAACGGAGCGAGCGAGAGGGTGGGCCTTGCACGTGCGAAATTTCGGGGGGGGGGGTACCTCCAACTGACTTGTGCACGGCACCCTACTAACCGGTCTCTAGTGATGTGCCAAATTTGAGCACAATCGGCCCAGCCGTTCTCGAGATCTGGAAGCGGCACCCTGCACGTGCGCACGTGCAAAATGGGTCCCAACTGACTTGTGCACGGCACCCTACTAACTGGTCCCTAACCGTGTACCAAATTTGAGCGCCATCGGTCCAGCCGTTCTCGAGATCTGGAAACGACCCCTGCACGTGCGCACGTGCAGCAGCACCCCAACCTTAACACATGCAGATGAATTATCTGATGGAGACCTAACTGTGTACCGAGTTTCAATTCAATCGGCCCAGCCGTTGTGCCGTTATTGAGGTTGCAATTTTGGGGGTTCTTAAAAAATGTCCAACTTTACCACGCGCCACGTGCGGTGGTTGGCAAGAATGCATGGTGGCCATCACACCACAGAACTTTTACGTCCAAGTGACATTCAGTAAAGAAGACCGCTTGTCAATCGGATGTCCCGTTCCTAAGATATTAGCTTTTGAAGAGCGTCCCCACGGCCGGCCGGCCGGCCGGCCGCTCATACTCAGGATTTTCCCTTAATTCAGTATGAGACTCCGCTCGCTTCGCTCGCTCCGTAATGATTCCGTCAACCTCATCCGTTTCCCCCTTCAGTCCAATGGCAAAGTTTTTTTTGGCAGCTTGGCTCTACTTTGGCTTTGATTCAACTCCAACTCAGTAAGAAGCAGGCGGTCTGCGAAAGCGGCTAAGCAGCAATTCGACAGCCTGGTGCGCTGAGCTCTTACCAAAGTATCGACCTTCCTTGGGGTGAGCACCAGTCTCCACCATCCAGCTACGTTGGAACGTCCTTGGTGTCTGCCGGTTTCCTTGGTTTGATGAGGAGAGGGTAGGGTAGCTCACTCGTACTCGGAGAGAACCCTGCGGAGAGCGGAACAGAAGAGAGGACAGAGAGGATCAGACACCGATCAGGTCAATGAAGGGAGGCGGCATCAGGGTTGGGAACGAGAGCACGGACCACAGTATCTGATCCGTGCAAGCTCAGGCTGAAAACATTTGTCTGGTTTTCGGCAGACAGGTTTTTTTTCTATTTTTCGGTTGATTTCATCGTACGTCAAAAATGTGTCCAAACTCTTTCTCAATTCACAGTTTCCTTCAGTTCATTTCAATAAACTTCAAAAACATCGCACAACATTCACAAAACAACGACCACAATATAATGATTATCACAGCGTACAGTACTCAGTTGACAATGCCGTTACTGCGTAAGTAATACGGCATCTGCCCGAGCATCAAACAATAATACAACGCGAAATATGACCAACGAGAGTAGCAGCCACTGGCCGTGATCTGTGAGGTCTAAAAGTCCAGTCTATCGTAGACCATGACCCTTCAGGCAATGCAAAACGTGGTCTTCAGGACGTTTTGTTCACCGTGGTAGTGAATTCTGAATACTACGGTCTGCCAGCTCGCCACATACTATGGTCATTCAGGTCTCGCAGACTACGGAGACCGCAGATTGAAGTTCTCTTGCAATGCAAGTCAATGCAATCCTGTTCAAGTCCCTCCAGCAGTGACCCGTTTCCCGTCCTCTACCGTTTCTATCAGAGATCGAGGCCGGTACTGGCTGCTCTGAGGCAGTTCCGGCTCCATCTCCGTCTCTGCCAGCCAGCCGGCGTACCGCAGTCGGAACTTTTGTACCCACTCGGGGAAGGAGCGCCGACGAGCGGCCGACGGTACCGGACCACCGCGCTCCTGGGGATAGACAGAGGGGGCAGTCAGATCTGTTAGGGAGAAGGCATTGTCAGACTGGTGGGGGGCGAGGGAACAGACGGAACGACCGTCGATAGTCGAATTTGATATTGTAGAATGAAAGCGATTTTTTATGCATACTTATAAATGGAGCAGAGTTTCCTCTACTATCAGATTTTTTAGATTGCATGTGGCGATTCTTTAAAGCTCCAACATTCAATCTCACTAGTTTCATCCATATGAAACGCTTCATTCATACCTACATCGTCATATTTCAATAGTTTTGGTCATATACTTTCCACACGGCACACGGTTCCTACATTAATAATGGTTTTACTAGTTACGCCACCAGAATCCACCAGACTGCAATCCTAGTCGGTATTCACAGAGCTCTCCTCTGACCATGATAGCCCTATTCTACCTCTCTCTGCTCTCCTCATCTCTCACCCTCTCAACGAGGAGCTCCTGTAGCCTCAACCTGAGCTCCTCTAGCCTCTGCAGGGCGCGGCGGTCGGGACGCACTTGGTGCGTCACAAACGCCTCCATGACGGCCAAAGTGCGGTGTGGGTCGGCCGCGCGGGCCGAGCCGTTCAGAAGGGTGGTCAGAATCTCCACGTTGGGCCTGAAGTGGGAAAGTGATGATATGGTTAGATCACGTTTAGATGGCTAGTGGTCATAGGCCATGATAAAACGTTTCAAAACAATACTTAAAATGCCGGAAACTTCATGTGTGCGTAACACGGACACTGCTGACAATTAGTTTAACATATGACAACAAATATAAAAGCTCCGGCTGGGAGACAAAAGTGTTTAAAGGTAGTGTGCCAGCTTTCTTGGACCGTATGGAGTTAATGGCCCAGATAAGGAGAACCGGATTTTTAGAACTTATCCATACCTTCAAAACTCATGGAAACGTCTTAAATTCTTCAAATTTTGAGTACCCCAGTGCGAAATTCGCCCCGACGGGTTGTCGGTCGTACCCCAACCACATTTCACACCACTATGAACAATAAATGCACACACTGAAATCGCTATTACCGATATGCTCATCCAATCAAGTTTCGATAAACCCGTTCATCATCATCTCCTGCGGTTTCGAACACGCCTGTTAGGTGGCTTCTGATGCTCGTCGAGGTCGGAATTTCCAAATACGCGTGGTGCGTCGGGCCGCGCGCTCTGACTTCGGCCAAGAAAAATGCGTCAGCTGATCATTGTCATTTCTGCCACTTGCGTGTGGTGAAATGGGGTCATAACTTATAAGACGGCTTTTTCATATCAATTATTTTACATAAAATCATATTTCAAACCATAAATAATGTTCGACAGGCAAATAAAAGAAACAATACCAATACGGGCTTACAGTTTAAGGCTCGACATTGTGTTGTCTACGATTAGACAGCTGATAACTCATTCCCGTACGTCGTATGGTCGTAACACTATAATGACCTTTGCTTATTGTCACAAGTGCGCCGCATTCGCGATTGTTGCCCGACGCCTGTTTGCAGGTGAGCCCACTACAGTTGTTATACATATCTAAAAACCGAAAAACTTTTAGGCGAAAAAGGCACTATTCCAGGCCCATTTTTGATTTTTGTTGCGATATTAGGTAAAAACAGAAGCTTCTTATCCTAGGAAAAATAAAATGGGAAATCTTTCAAAGGTGGCACACTACCTTTAAGATTACCAATGACGTCGACAATCCAATATACGGTATCGTTGTCTTGATTAAACCAAATAAATCAAGAGATGAGCTGCGAAATGCGAGCTCCCATTGCGACCGACCGTCCCATCCTCATACCAAAAACCATGAAACGGCCGTAAAGCCCCCGTATCGCTCTCAACACTCTACCCTTGATCCCCAACCGTCACCACATCGCAACCCGAGCTCTTACCGTACGTTGGCCGCCTCCAGTTTCTCCATGAACTCCTGGAGCCCCCGTTGTGAGGAGACAGACATGGCCAGACACCCGAACGAGGCGACGTCGGGGGTGAGCTGACGGCGCTCCAACTCACCGAAGGCGGCCTGTGGATCGAGGGAGAAACAGGCCGGGTCAAATGGCGACACAGTGTGGCTTTAGGACAAATCTAAAGGACCACGGTCCGGTCATGGGCCAGTTCGAATGTCAACAACTATTATGGAACGAACGTGGTACCGCCGGCACAGGATTTCACCAGGTCAAGAGTGCGAAGATCAACAAAGAAAGGCATACAGAGATATTGGTTTGTTCTGGCTATATCGTGAAGAAGAAAAAAGTGCTGAGCCTTGCGCATCTTTTATGTACGCTGGCTGACATTCAAAAGCATGATGGGTGTCCTGATGGGTGTAATATCGAACTGAGCACTGTAATACGATCGTGCCATGATATGTGAATAACGTGGCTGGGAATAGCGGTATTCGGCGCAAAACACGCCCTCGAGCAAATTTCGATGGAGATAAGTACCTTAGCGCCGGCAGTATCCCGGTAGGAGGCCCGCTTCTTGATGAGCTGGTTGAAGAAGCCGACGTCAGGCTGGACGCCTAGGGCGTCCATCGTCTTCAACAGGCTCTGCAACAGCGGCGAGATCCAGTCATACGACTCTAGTTAGATATGACTAAGCTGCTGACTGTGACTCACTCAGTAGTCATGACTTGTGACTCACCAACTTCACCGTAACTGAATCTTATGACTCAGCTCACTTCGACTCTAGTATGAATCTTATTACTCAGCTCACTGATTGGAGTGACTCATTGACTCCAGTAGAATCTCACTGACTGAACGGTAATAAATTGACTCCGTGCTATCCTACAAACTTAGTTATGATTCACCGACATAGTGACTCGCTAATGAACTTGGCTGAAACTTATTGACTTCGCTATGAGTCACTGACTCACTTGTAGTTCACCGACTCAGTTGTGAGTTGTGACGCACTGACTCAGCTATGACTCACTTACAATTTCTATAGACAGCAGACACCACATCACCCAAATCATGCGTCAAATCCCATCACACCTACCTCCTGCTGGCCGGAGTCGTTCGGCATCGTGTTCAGCAGGAGCGAGAAGGTCCTGATGTCGGGCTGGACACCGTCGGCAGCCATGGTCTGAAGCAGCCCCGTCCAGCCGCCCAGGACAGCTAGTCTGAGGAGCGAGAAAGGGCTGGGGTGTCAGCTAAGAGGAAAGGGTATCAGGAGTTTAAAGGTAGTGTGCCAGCTTTCCTGGACCGTATGGAGTTAATGGCCCAGATAAGGAGAACCGGATTTTTAGAACTTATCCATACCTTCAAAACTCATGGAAACGTCTTAAATTCTTCAAATTTTGAGTACCCCAGTGCGAAATTCGCCCCGACGGGTTGTCGGTCGTACCCCAACCACATTTCACACCACTATGAACAATAAATGCACACACTGAAATCGCTATTACCGATATGCTCATCCAATCAAGTTTCGATAAACCCGTTCATCATCAGCTCCTGCGGTTTCGAACACGCCTGTTAGGTGGTGCGGTAGACCACGCCCAAAGCCAGGGCTCCGGTAACGTGAGGTAGCCGAGTCAGGGCAGCGTGCGCTGACCCAAGCCGGAGCCGCGCGTCCTCCCGGTGTCATGTGATAGCCCGGGGCTGCCCGCGGGGATGCGGTAGACCGCGCCCAAAGCTGCGGCCCCGGCTTGGGTCAGCGCACGCTGCCCCGACTCGGCTACCTCACGTTACCGGGGCCCTGGCTTTGGGCGCGGTTTCTGCTCATACTTTATGGTGCGGTGGTGGTGCGTCGGGCTGCGCGCTCTGACTTCGGCCAAGAAAAATGCGTCAGCTGATCATTGTCATTTCTGCCACTTGCGTGTGGTGAAATGGGGTCATAACTTATAAGACGGCTTTTTCATATCAATTATTTTACATAAAATCATATTTCAAACCATAAATAATGTTCGACAGCCAAATAAAAGAAACAATACCAATACGGGCTTACAGTTTAAGGCTCGACATTGTGTTGTCTACGAATAGACAGCTGATAACTCATTCCCGTACGTCGTATGGTCGTAACACTATAATGACCTTTGCTTATTGTCACAAGTGCGCCGCATTCGCGATTGTTGCCCGACGCCTGTTTGCAGGTGAGCCCACTACAGTTGTTATACATATCTAAAAACCGATAAACTTTTAGGCGAAAAAGGCACTATTCCAGGCCCATTTTTGATTTTTTTTGCGATATTAGGTAAAAACAGAAGCTTCTTATCCTAGGAAAAATAAAATGGGAAATCTTTCAAAGGTGGCACACTACCTTTAAGTGAAAAGTGCAAGATTCCTCCAGGGACAAGTCGAATCCTCCAGACTGGTTTGAGCCTTGGGGTATCATTACATGGGTAAAAATGGCACATTAAATTATAAATATGTTTGCTGTGTAAGAAATAGGACAGCCAGAGAAAAGAAGACAGAAAAGAACAAGGTAGAAGGACAGAAACATAGCTAGCGCAAGGAGAAAGCGAAAGAGGGAAATGCAGATCAACTGCGATCGTTGTTGTCAATCTGTTCATTCAAACGTTGAAGCCGAAAACACAAAAGAAAGAAAAGAGCCAGCTTTTTAGTTCCTATCCTCCCCCTCACCTGGCGGGCGCGGTGTCCAGATGCCGTAGCTCCACCAACCCCCCTCGGTGAGGTCTCGGTCCCAGCAGGTCAGGTAGGTCCGCGGCCAGCGGTCCGATCTTCTCCAGGGCGCCGGCCGAGCGCAGACATTCTGTCACGTGTACGACCTGTGTGTCCTGTTTCTGCTGTTGATGTTGTTCCTGTTGTGGAGAAGACTGGGTTGAATCTGACAACTTTGTACTGCTCTTCGGTCTAGCATTCATTGTCCGATTTTCATCTCCGAGATTCGAGCTCCCAGGGTTGGCACGATTAGAGCCCGATGCTGATTTCGCTCCTGCAGTCACAGCAGCGACCGCAGCACCCTCCGGCGGCGAGCTCGACACTATTAGTTTCATCGCCTGCTCAAAGGTGGCAATGTCGCCAGCGCCGCAGTCCAGCGCCGCTCGCAGCATAAGGTTGTAGAGGTAGATAGAGGGCGGTACGTGCTTGGAGCGTACTTTATGCCATACCTGAGGGAAAAAGGGGGAGGGATAAGTGGTCATTGACCACCTGGCAAGCGTTTCATGCTGCGTAGTAAACTTAGAGTGCCCTTGTGGATGTTGACGTATAATTAAGTTCACCCCGGGGTTCCAGAGCCTCAGAAGTGCTCTCAGGAGTTTGAAACAATGAACACACCGGTATTTACAATATCAACATTCGCTAGATACAACATATCATTCCTGAGGTAGGAAAACATTTCCAACAGGTGTTCATTAGGAATCTTATAATGAAATAATGATAACCAGTCTGTATTCATTTAGAGCGTGGTCAAGAACTTGCAAGGTCGAAGTTGCACCACCCCTGCGGAAGAGAAGAGATCTTTGCGCTACACCAATTCATCCAGTTACAATTAACAAACACAGAAAAGAGTATAAGCCTCCTTCCCAGCTCTCTCAGTAGCAAGATCATCTATCCATCAGCGGCTGTAATAACAGCAGTTCAACCTATCTCAGTCCTCTACTCTACTCACTCACCTCTCCTCACCTCATCTCACCTCACCTAACCTCACCTCTCCTCGCCTCACCTCACCTCTCCTCACCTCACACCACCTCACCTAACCTTACCTCACCTCACCTCACCTCACCTCTACCCCACTCACCAGCAGGGCATGTCTGAAGCCCTCTCCGGTGTCTGAGATGCACGCCTGCAGCAGAAAACTGGCCAGCTCGGCGGTCAGGGGGTGACCCAGTCGCAGCAGCTCGTCGGCGGTCTCAAACGCACGCTGGAGCTCCCCGCAGCGGCCGTAGGCTAAAAGAGAGAGAAGAGGGGGGGTATTTAGATGGGAGAAGGGAGTAAAACAGGGGAGTTAAATGGGGAGTTAGATAGTGTCTCAAACGCCCGCTGCAGCTCCCCACAGCGGCCGTAGGCTATAAAAGAGAGCAAGGGAGATTTAGACAGGGCAGTGGCAGGGCTAGACAGGGAAATTATGTAGATGGAGAGCGTCTCAAACGCACGCTGCAGCTCTTCGCCGCAGCGGCCGTAGGCTGAAAAAGAGGAGAGGGGGAGTCAAATGAGGGAATTAGATGACAGGCAGTTAAATGAGGGCTAAATGGGAAGGGGGATTAGATGAGGACCGGCTGAGAAGGTGTTAGATCAGGGTTAGATGGGGAGGGAAGTTAGACGGGAAGGTGAGTCGTACAGGAGTCGTCAGACTTGGGGTGGTGGAATAACCAATAAAGAAAAGAAGATAGAAAGATGAACATAAGAATAGATGTCGAGGGAGAGCAACATGGGGAAAAGGGAGCTACATAAACAGGGAATGAGGCACAGGGGCACGATTCATGTAAGCGGGGAGCATAATAAAGGGGAAGTGAGAAGAAGAGGAAGAAATAAGAACTGATCATTATGATGGCATGGCGGAGGAATAAATGTGATGTTTTGTTTTTACGACGCTGCAAATTTATTTACTTTCAGGTGAGGCAAGAGCTGAAGGTTTGCTCCAGTCCTTAGAGTTCGGCATGATCATGCCGACCGTCCAACAAGACGCCGCAGGCACATCGAGCCCTAGTGACGTCACTGGCCATCAAATGACGTCACAGCGTCGGTAGCGGAGCGCCAGCCGTAACAGCGAGTCTGTTCAGGCGGCCGCCGCTCCAAACGTCATCACTATCGACCTGTGTGACGTCACATAAACAATTCACAGGAGCGTCACAGTCAGCTGACGACGCCAGCCAATCAGAGCGGAGAACAGTGCCACGTCACAGAGCGGTAGTACAGTGAGCTCGGCGGGGTGCTAAGGGGCTCAGTGACGACGGGCCGGGCCGCTATTGGTTGCCGAGAGAGACGACTATACAGCGACAGCGACCGATGTGAGCGGACGGGGCCCGTCAGGACCTGCCCCAACTCCTCTACAGCTCCTTGAGCTGTAGGGGCTGTATTGCATACAATCATATTCCTTTTTTAACTTACATTTTGTATCGACCCATTGTCAGTTTGAAAAACCTGGCCTTATTCTCACTCTGAAAATATAGGTACATCAAATAATTAAATAAGCACTAATTAATCGCGAAATGTTAGTAGGTAACCGATGAAGCATATGGCCTACTCATCGCCAGTTTAATTAGACCCTCCCCCACTCCCACCCCACCAGGCGACTGGATACGGCAACGCCTCCCGGGTAGAAATCCCGACGCGATCGTTTTATTTGACAAACCATGGCCCCTGCCACCTGCCGCCACCCCTCCCCTCCATATCCCCAGGCTAGACTCACAGGAGGGTCTTCGGGGCCCTGATCCCCTGCAGAGAAGGGTCAGCCCGTCGAGGGACTGATCGTATCGCGAGAACCATGGACTCTCGTTCTAACAGATTACTACGATTTTAAGCTCATTCTTTAGGTAAGACCGTGCGTCAAGGACTCAAGGATAACAGAACCGGATAGACGCATTCAAAAGATGAAAAAAGTTTATTCAAAAGCCTAGATCTTTAACCCAAGTAGAAAGATAATGTTTGCTTTGAAGACCGTGTGCTCAAAAGAAGATGTAAAGACACTTCATTCAAAACGTCAGGCTGCCGTGTTTATGTCGATCACAGACTTAAACCGTATGCAGCAGAATTAACGGCATGTTCACCTCTAGTGACCAGAGTCCAGAGAAAGTCACCTCCTTCACCACAACCCCCTCCGGCCGCGTTTGACGCTCGCGTATTTGGCCGAGACCCATCAGACTTGGCCTCATTCTGGCACTGAACCCTGGCTACCTGCCAGAGTGACAGGTTAGCACGACGTAAGGTCAGCTCGTATCGCGTACGAAGTTGACGTGCGTGAAGTAGATGTTTGGAAATCAATCGGCCATGACCGACAGGGAGGTGAAGCGATGCCAATTCGTTTGCGAGCAGCCCACGGGTCTAAAGGTCACAATAAGCTGGGCCAGGATAATCTGTCATTGAAGTTTCGCATGTGAAGGCAAGACGGTTTGGTTTATGGAACTCCAACCTTAAAAGACTTGAACAACTGCTGATATTGGCAGGCAGTGGAATTGTTGAAAATTTCCGAGTTTGAAAGCTAATAACACGTCACAAATACTTACACATTAACCAAGGGACTCCGGCATGCCCGTAAGCGGAAGCATATATTTTAGCTCCTAATATTTATCCTGATTACAAACAAATAAATACAGTAACACATACAATAGCACGCAGAAGATAATCCACGCACGCCCATTAAAATACCATCAATATCAACACGGACCAGCAGAACTCAGCGTATGGGCGGGTGCGTATAACGCTACGTCATCCTAAGCTAAATGGCAGGGGGCATCCGTTATTACCTCTCTCTCTACATCCGGTCTAACGTAGCGCACGCACGCTACGGGACAGATGTTCAGAAATTTAAACAAAGGAAACTTGGGAACGGGCCTTCTACTCAACGTGGGTTCAATCATAAACAACTAAAAACATAGGACAACATTGGGCTTCAAGTACGATGATAATGATAAAGTAAAGACATTAGTTTTATAGGCACCCGGATTGTATCCGTCATCGACTTCTTTGGGCTTAAAGGTATTCGTGAATAAACATTAAATCTATGCACCATAGCAGGAATAGATTTAATAATCAGTGGCCAGATAAATTCAAATTTCATAAAAAAATGAAAAGCAGCCTGCTTTTAGAATGCGAGTGAATAAAGCCATCCTAACGAGGGACGTTTCCAAATTAGCCTTATGGGTACTTTACATAAGGCCCCACCATTATATGCAAACAAGCATAGGTATGTTGATACGCATCAAAATAAGGGCGTCGGCCAGAGTGGTTCAAACTCAGCGATATTATATAATATCACACGGCCATCGGGAGGCACAGACGGTAAAACTCCCGTTCGTGTCAGGATAGCCATCCTGGCTAGGAGCGAACAAAGCCAGCGAGGATCACGAGGGATACGCTGCTCAGATCCCTTAGACGGTCTCAGAAACGACGCTTACGGGTTGAAAGTTTCACTCAGTACTTCAGAGCAGAGAGCTAACCCTATGTACCGCTCCCCAGGCCATTCACAGTCTCGTCAGACCAACATACCCGTACACTAGCTGCAGGAGCAGCCCGAGGGCAGGGCTGACATTCGCTTCCACCCAGCGTAGTAAACGGACCCCGCCCTCCGCTCCACGCCGACACGCACTTCCACAAACCGCGCCCCGCCCACGGCATAGGAACGACAATGCACGCCACACGCAAACTGAGAGCGTCGTAAGCAAAATATGGGGACGACGGACAATCCTTCTGACCGCGGAACTTTGGTGCATCGTATACCATTCGGCTTCAAACCAGTCTAGCTCGGACAAATGGAAGTCAAAACCTGTCCAAAACAGAGCCTAATAACAACGAAAGCTTTTGAAGAACCACAGACCCCGCAGCTTTGCCTGGGGCCTATTTTGGAAGATAGTCTTCGCCAATGTCCTCGAGGAGTGCCCTGAGGCAGCATGGCTGACCTGTGCCCTGACCCGGGTCGTCCTCGTACCGCCCCCGGCTGTTCCTGCCCGAACCTGTCCCATTCGGCCACGGCGGCGACCGACGCTACAAACTCCGAAAATTGCTCCTGAGAGCACTCATTCAAACCGACCTCAGAAGACGGTAGTGGTACCGAAACTGACGAAACTTCTCACACTGAAGGACAAATAGAAGGGCTACGTGGATCCGTAAAGAAAAATTCAAAAATGATCTAAAAAGTGTATGAAATTTTCACTTTCCTTATTGATTTCACATTCAAAATCATCAACTTTCAACTTCAACCAACGCTCATATCTTTTCTACCATACGAACCCTCCTGAAAACTTCACACCATGTAGACAAACTATTTCTGCGTCGATCGGTACCAAAATCACCTTGGTGACCCGGCGTGGTCAGGTCATGTCAGCGCTGCCAGCAGGGGTACAAGCACACGCTCGGGCCGGGCGGCAGGGGTGACTGGCGAGCGGCGGCGGCTACGAGCGGACCCGCTCGTAGCCGTCGGCGGTCCGCCTATAAAGGCCGGTCCGACGGTGGGCGGCGCAGAACGCGCTCAGCCGCCGTAGGGGTCACATCGCTCCGTGTGTCACGTGCTAGTGTTCAACATGTCTGCGAGTCCCGCGAAGAAGGCCGGAGCCAAGAAGGCCTCCAAGCCGACCCATCCTCCGACGCTGGAGATGATCACCAAGGCTATCAGCACGGAGAAAGATCCCAAGGGAACGTCGGTGATGGCCATCAAGAAGCACATCCTGGCGCACAACCAGATCAAGTCGGCACAGCTGCTCAACCACATGCTCCGGAGGGCGTTCGAGGCTGGTCTGGCTGCCGGCAAGCTGACCCGACCCAAAGGTCAGACAGACTCATCGCTGCTCGCTGGACGCTACCGTCTGGCTGCCGCCAAGGCGAAGAAGCCCAAGGCCGCGACGGACAAGCCCAAGAAGGTCGTCAAGAAGGTGGCTAAGTCCCCAGCCAAGAAGGCCAAGTCGCCCGCAAAGAAGGCAGCCAAGTCTCCTGCCAAGAAGGCCAAGTCTCCGGCTAAAAAGGCGGCAGCCAAGAAGCCCAAGGCGAAGTCGCCCGCAAAGAAGACTGCGGCCAAGAAGACGAAAGCTGTGAAGAAGCCGGCGGCCAAGAAGACCCCGAAGAAGTCGCCCGCTAAGAAGGCAGCAGCGAAGAAGAGCCCGAAGAAGGCGGGAAAGAAGTAAGCGTTCTGTTCTATGCTTTGATTGTTATGTTACGTCGTGTGTACAAAGTATTTTGTGCTTTAACCATAATCATTCATATTGAAGGATATTTGCGAGCAGTCATAGCGCAGGCGGGGCCAGCGGTCCCGGGTTCGAATCCACCAGCGAGCCAGTGTTTGCCTGTGTCCTTTGAGGACGATCTCACTGCTGGGGGGAGGGGATACGCCACCATCACAGAATATAATGTCATTTGAACGAGACATGCCTTTTGTGACGTGGAGAGAACTGAGAGAGCTGCGGTAACCGGTTGGACCGGTTATGGTTTGGGGCGGGTTTCGTGACGAGTTGGTTTACAGAGCATCACGCAGCGACACACCTAGAAAACAATGGCCGCTACGTACTCGAACGAACACAAACACATGTCGCGTATATACCCCCAGGGCTACAGATACGTGTCATTTCTATAGACGCAGTCGCACGTGTCGATCTACAATGAAGCGACGCATGGCACGGGTGGGTTTCTTTGTGCTGCTTGGAATCGGAAATACCGCAAACATACACACACTACACAGCGTCTGATACGTCAGCGCGTGGTCGAACATCTGTTTACATTCGGAATCCGGTCCGCCACGTAGAAAACCAGTCCTTGGTGCAAGCTCGCAATCGAAGGTGTATGTGGGTTACGTGGCAATTTGAGGCAGCCTTTTTATTTTTTTTTTATTTGATATTTCGATATTTTCAATGAAAAGCTCAAATGATACCTTAGGAAAAAAGGAAATTGTTTTTCGGGCGTTTCTTTTTACGGCATAAAAAGTGTTTCAATCGTGGTTGATACGGCACTCAATCGCCACTTCGCTCCCATTAGAGCGTGAGCTTCGCGGAAAACCGGGCGCGTTGGCCGAAAGTCGGGGGTCGGGATCGGGATTCTGGCAATTTTCACACACAATAAAAAAGACCGCAAGCAATGACTTTGGGCTCCAGTACCAACATAAACCTTCAGTATTTGTCGCAACTAATGTGGCATCTTATATGAAGACCTTGGAGCTAAACCACCTTAAAAAAACACACACACAATCAACGAACAATAACCTTTGGTTCATGGCAGTTTATTGTGGCACAAGAATTGTCGATTGGATAAGCCTTCTAATGATTGGAGCCTTCGAAACATCTTGTTCCGACGCATAGGAAATATAAAACTGTTTTCCACTGTAACTAAAATAAGCTCTGACATGGTACGCCTGAATTTGTCACGATGCATTCGGAGAAGCTTATTATATTTACATCTATGGAACCAGTTTCGGTCGAACTAGAAGAGGCGAGGGTGACGAATATGGTTCGATTTGTCGTGGGATACCCCAGTTATGTGGCCACGCGGCCGTCAAAAGGCCGAAATACATGTACACAGGGGAGTTGAGTCCTTCGTGATCGGCTGTTTTACCGAACTGAAGCACACATCAGTGTGCCCAAAATCCCGACGTTTAAGGATAACTGAGCACTGTTTTCGGACGGTTGTCAAGTAAAGGAAGCGAAAATTCTGAAAACATTGAACAGAGAATTTATTAACTTGTTGCCAATAAAAATTAAGCTTTTCGGCTGCTGAGTTTGTTTTGCTTTGTTGGGTTAGGCCCTTTCGGTCCGATTAGACCATTTCAGAGTCGGGAGGATGATAGGATATAGGGGGAGACATTGGTCTGGGCAGACACCTTAGAGAGTCGCCGGGGCTGAGCCCATCCAAATGGACAGGCCGACCAGCCCCCAAGGTACTCACTGCACCGGGCTACGGGGTGCGCTCCCTCGGGAGCAGCGGTGCCGCTCCAAGGGAGCAGCCCGCATGAGATAAAGGTGCCTGTCCAGCCCGGAGGGGGGTGGCGGTGTGGAGGAGAAGGATTTCTGTATCCTGAGGATAAAAGCACGGAACGGTGTCGGCTGCTGAGTCACACAGCATCTCACTAGCCGAGCTCCTCTTCATAATCTGAGATATGTAAGGTGCGATGGTAGCTTGGTGCACTTGAAGAGGCACTCTGACACTTGCAAAAACACTAGCACTGCTAGCAGGAGGAGCTGCACTTCTGAACTGTGTCCTACGAAAATGATACCTATCCATGAAAGCCGAACGTTGGTCTTGGCCAAGGCCCTACAAAGGCCCCGAAAGAAGATGCACATGCCACCTACCGGTCGCTCCTTGAACTATTATTTCGCAGTTCTCGCCCAGGTGGCCGCACCTACGGCGCTGTAAAGCGTAGCCATAGCTTTATCGTTGCTCCTAGGATGCTAACGAAACTGACGCACACTGCAGCGGAAATCAAAAGCGTTTCTTTGCTGCATGGGTAGGCCGCTAATTAATCAAAGGAATTTCGCATAAGCTCTCTCGTACTGATTAGGTGAAACAGAGTCGAGAAAGATATTGTGGATTTGGCCCAACGCGGTCGCTACAACACACAAATATGTAGCTTACGATCCAAATTCAGCAGTTTCAGCTAGGCGCCTGATCCAATCGTTCGGACCCACCTTTGATAAGTGCCTGATAGTTGATGGGGTTCATCGCATATCCCCGGTCCGCCATGGCGGTGGTCAGCTGTTCGATCCTGCGCAGACCGTCAGCTGGCGATGGCCCGTTAGCACAGGCGTTCAGCAGGGCAGTGTACGTCACGTGCTTTGGCTTCAGATGGCGCCGTCGCATCTGGGGACAAGGGATGGGTTAGATGGACATGCTGGGTTTTAAAAACAATGATTGGTGTTGTAGACCCAGCTATGAAATATTATCATTTTCAAAGCCCAATAAGACAATAACTTTTGTCGTTTTCATACGAGGCGTATCCGGTTGCAGTCTATCTTCTGTTTCTACACCAGCTGAACCAGGGTCATAGCTTAACAATGCGGTTCGATCAATGATTATTAGGCATATTCACTAGATATGATAACTGACACTGTTGAGCTCTTTGCGGCCCTTCAATCCACCCCTCCCCCTGAAAAAAGACTGGACTTACGTCTCTGTACAGCTTGAATGCCATCTTGGCGTAGCCTGCCTGAGCACATCCCGAGATGAGGATGTTGTAGCAATAGGCGTCGGGCTGCAGCTTATCCACCAGCAGCATCTGGTTGTTGAACAGCTCCAACGCCTCCCGAAGCTGAAAACATAACATGTTCGAGTTGAGAAGTGTGGTACTGTTTGCCTGTTGCTTTATAATGTATATCATGTAGGTAAGTTTCCCCTCATTTGGAATATTTTCGGAAATCAACGGTCTACTGAATGCCAAAATATGAGGATCGCTCTCATTATAGGGACGGACAATAGCAAACTGTAGATAAATGATGAGTTATCTCCTGCGCGACATAAAACTAGCGTATTTACTATGCTGTCATGTTGAAATCGGCCTATAACTATATGGTTAATAGTTACAACCACTAGACCATATGTATACCTATGAGAACCAGACATTTCAGATCACAGCTAACCCCTGCTGAGTCACATGCATCCACTCACCTTCCCATTTTTGACCATGCGTTTCAGCTTCCTGCCGTAGGCGTGACACGATATCCCCAGCTGGGGCACCTGTGACACCACCTGACGCAGCCGGTCTGCGGCCACGTCATCGGCGTCATCGGGCTCCAGCTCCCAGTCGATGATGCCACCACTGGCAGCTGAGACGTCATCGCCATCAGCGGATGGTATGGCTGGGTTCGTTTGGGGGCCAGAGGGAAGATCAGATTGGCGTTCTAACCGACGGGCATCCTGCGCTTCCCCACGAGTATCCCGTCCTCGGGATGAGTGGATGTCTGTACTGGGCCAAGTCTCCCGAGCAGCGGAGGAGAGATTATTGCGCTCTGATCTGGCAAGGGACTGATGGTGACCTGTGTGAGCTGAGTTCCATTTCAGAACTTCCATGTCATCCTGTATTCTTTGAGGAACAGCTTTGTGCCTATGCTGGCTTCCCTTTGCATTACGTAGGCTGTGTTTGCCATCATTATCTTTATCGTGTAAGTCAGCTCCAAAGCTCGGTTCTGAGTCTTCAACAGAATCCTTCTGCCTTGGTTTCTCCAGAGGCTTTTTCAAGTCACCGAATGTGTCTGGGTCACCAAAGTCATGCAGAGCTCGTACAAGGGACGGGTGTCTGGTACAGAAAGATGGCGGCTGAAGAGCGCCATGTGTTCTGACCAGCCTACTGAGCAGTATGTGCAATGACCTCATCTTCAGAACACCAATACTTGATGCTTCAGAAATCTGGTAAAGTTTTCTTGCTGAGATTGAGATAGCTCTGAAACAAAATGCACATCATTTGAGTCAACACTCAACATACAATATTAAGGCATCAGAAACAACAAAGCATATGTGATTTAACTTCCTGGACATTTTATCAATGCTCAGCTTGTTTGAGCACGTAAAACAAAGCAAGAAATATAATTATTATTAAGTTATTGGCAATGGGCAGGATTCAAGCAGGATTCATATAAATTGTGTGGCAATTTATCAAGGCCGAAGGTGTTTACAAATAGCCTTGGCGTTTACTTACCTATCGTAGGAAATGAAACGCCAAAGCGTTGTAGAATACCTTATCACTATTTTCTACGTTGACTGAGATGGAAAACAAAGTTTTGTGGAACGTATAGCCAAACACTAATCACATCCCAATACACGTAATGTGCGGGCGATCCACGAAGCACGGAGCATGACTCATAATGTTCTTTCACCTACCAGAAACACTGCTTTTGGAAAACGTTGCGCGAAACACTGTTCATTGATTGGACTAATCTTAGTTTTTTTTTGTACAAAGCACAATTAGAACACCACAATCGTAACCTATGCGTCAATTACCATCCCATCTGGTAGCAGTCAAAGAAAGCGCTACCAAACTGTATAGGGAAAAAGTAGCAAAATCACCTTTCCTGCAATCTAAAGCATAGCGGATGGCAAAGGGAAAAGCATAGCTACGATTTTTGTGCCTTTCGATTGATTTCGCGGACTTTTTGAAAGCTGAATGGCGACTAACTGAACAATTAACACAGCATATATTCATGAGATCACCCCGTGCGTCATCCCCACCAAGGTTTGAAGTGGTAAGGTAACCGTAAAGTACATACATCCATTTGTGTCTTGTGGCAAGCTGAGGGCCTTGCTACATCTGCCACTTTTATCATGCTTACGATGCAATAGAAGTCTTTGCATGCCATCTGCCATAGCTTATGACCACCAACCTGATAATCTGTAGGTATACGGCCTGCCCCTGGCATTCAAATTATTTGTCGGGTCCGATACTCCGATAACGGAAACTGAAGAACGGTCAGTCCGGGAAAAACGCAATAGGTGATGACGGTGTAAAACTGAAGCGCTATCGCGTCGACTTATCGCCCATGTCACGGACAAAGCCCACGGCCCACGCATCCGGTATAGCGTTTCCTCTCGCTTCAGCCGCACCGCCAGGTCCCACACGCCGCGCCACCACTCGTCACTAAACTGTATTCTCGCTCAGCATTGCCAGTATGGCGGCCAATAGAGGAGCACGTAATAGAGAAACAAGTACCCACTGGCGATAGTACTCGGTACAAACGAAACGCTTAATTCTAATCGGGAAACACTACATCCCCCCGCACTTAAACTTAAACTCCACGAGTTCAGCTGTCACTCCACGAGTTCAGCTGGATAACAATCACACACGAGTTCAGCTGGAGAACAACCACACACGAGTTCAGCTGGAGAACACAATCACAGGTCCAAGCGAGTCGGCTTAAACCTACGACGGCCTCGCGACGACGCGGTAAGTTCGCGGTCACTGCGGTTAGAGGCAGGTAGTCCACGATCACTGACCCGAGGGTCCACTCGGTTAGCCGGGTCGATCGGTGGCGCTAGTACAGGTGGCGCCGGCGGACACGGGGACGCCACGATCGCGGTCGCGCTCGGTAGCTCGCTCGGTAGCGCGCTCGGTAGCGGGCCCGGGGCCGCACCGACCGGCGGCGCCGGCGCGCAGGCGGTCGGTTCGCCGGCCAGCGGATCGCGAGGTGCGGCCGCACCGGCCGGCGGTGAAGACACAGGAGCCGCTGGAGACGACACGGACGAGGCCGGGGCCGCCGCGACCACAGGCGGCGGAGACGGCGGCGGCGGCGGCGGCGCAGGAACAGCTTCAGTGCTGACCGGCAGAGTCGGCGTCGACGGGGCGGCGCCGATCTCCCTCCTGGCCAGGTGAGCCACGTTCCAACGCGAACCGTCGGAGAGACCGAACGTAGCGGGTCCGTGACGGCTGACGACGCGGAGCGGCTTGCTGAACTTGGCGCCCTTCTTCTGGACGTGACCGGGCCGGCGGACGCAGACCGTGTCGCCCACAGCGATCTCGGTCGGCCGCGCCCGGTGCCGGCTGTCGTAGTGGCGACGGTTGCGGCGCTGCTGCTTGACGACCCGTCGTGCCACATCAGAGGTGACGCAGTAGTCGTCGAACACCGGCAGGTCCAGCCTCATCTTCCTGCCGTGTAGCAGCTCAGACGGCGATACACCGGTGGTGCAGTGCGGCGTGGCTCGGTAACGCGCCAGTCGGCCCTGCAGGTAGGCCTGGAACGGAACTTGGCTCTGCTGCGCGGCCGCCTGGACCCAGGACTTGAACGATCGGTTGAATCGTTCCACGGCGGCGTTGCCCCTCGGCCAGTACACAGACGACTTCAGATGCTTGATCTTCCTCTGCTGTAGATAAGTCTCGAAGTCGCGGCTGATGAACTGGGGCCCGTTGTCCGTTGCGATCTCCTCAGGATATCCTTCGCGGGCCCAGATCACAGACAGAATCCTGATGATGTCACTTGTCTCGACTTTCGCACAGAGTCCCACCTCCACCCACTTGCTGTAGTAGTCCGTGAGGGTGACTGCATAGCGTGCAGACTGGGGAACTCCGGCGATAGGTCCCACGATATCTACACCCAGCTTCGACCACGGCCTTGTGGGAAGCGGGACTGGCTGCAGCGGCGCAGGTCGAACCTTCTGTGACAGCACTTTGTCGCTCTGCTGGCACAGGTCGCACGCCTTGACGACCTCTGTCACGGCACGGTCGACTCCAGGCCACCAGCACAGACTTCGGAGAAGCTGTTTCATCCTGACGATGCCGTCGTGAGCGCGGTGAGCCAGCTGCAGGTACCGGTCGGTCAGTGCGGCCGGCACGACCACTCTGTCCGCTCCACGGATGACCACGGCGTCACGGCGCACGTGCAGTTCGTGTCGGACGTGGAAGAACGGCCGCAGGTCGGGCGGGCAGTTCCGTGCCGAGTCCGGCCAGCCGGCAGCGATGACGGACCGCAGCCGCTCCAGCGTGTCGTCCAACAGGGACGCTTCTCTGACGTCATCTTCGGAGATCACGTCGGCTGCATCGTCGGTCACCAGGGCGATGACTTCATCATCCTCCTCTGCTGGTCCGGTGTCCGGCAGGGGAAGCCGGGACAGCGCGTCGGCCGCTGGGATGCGGTGTCCCGGGACGTACACCACGTCGTAGGCGTACGGGAGGAGCCGCGCCTGCCAGCGCGCGACGCGCGCTCCCGCTCTACCCGAGAACTTGGGAGAGAGCAGCGTGGTGAGAGCGGAGTGGTCGGTGCGGAGAGTGAAGTTCCTCCCCCACAGGTACACCTTCCACCTCTCCACGGCCTGGACGGCGCTGAGCGCCTCGCGCTCGGAGACCGAGTAGCGGCGCTCCGTGTCGGTGAAGCTGCGGGACCAGAAGGCGACAGGATGCTCGAAGCCGTCTTCCTGTATCTGGGAGAGGACGGCGCCCGCGCCACGGTCCGAGGCGTCTGACGTCACGATGGTCGGCAGCTCGGGCTGGAACGGCTTCAGCACCGGCTGGCCGGCCACCAGCTGCTTGATGCGCTGAAAACTCCGTTCGACGGATGGAGTCCACTCGAAGGGTGTGTCCTTCTTCAGCAGGCTAGCCATGGGTCGAACCACCTCGGCATAGCCGCTGATGAAGCGACTGAACCAGCCGGTGAGTCCCAGGAAACTGCGGAGATCCTTCAGAGACTCTGGGCGCGGGGCCTCCGTGACGGCCTGCACTGTCGAGGCAGTCGGCGTCACTCCTGTTGCAGACATCCGGTGTCCGCAGAAGTCGACTTCCTTCTGGCTGAAGGACGACTTGGCGTGGTTGACTGTGACGCGTGCTGCTCGGAGACGGTCGAGCACCGCCTGGAGACGCTGGTCGTGCTCAGCCTGACTGGATCCGGAGACGAGGATGTCGTCCAGATAATGTCCGCATCCTGGAATACCGTGCAGCAGGTCATCCAACAGGTGCCAGAAGGCACTGCCAGCTGAGACGAGTCCGAAAGGGACACGCTTGAAGCGCATGAGGCCCTCGTGGGTGATGAAAGCGGTTACATCACGGCTGTCGGAGTGAAGCTCAAGTTGATGGTAAGCTGACCGAAGGTCTATCTTGCTATAGACTGATCCGAGGAGTCGAGACTGAAGCTCCTCTATGGTAGGGAGCGGGTGCACCTCAGCAACAATCTGTGAGTTAGGCCCACGCAGATCAACACACAGTCGGATCTGGCCTGACGGTTTTCTCGAAACCACCAGTGGACTCACCCACTCAGAGGCGTCCACACGCTCGATGATGTCAGCGTCCAGCAGGCGCTGGAGCTCAGCACTGACTTCTTCCCTCACTGCCAACGGCAGACGACGCAGTCTGTAGGCAGTAGGCCGGGCGTTCGGCCTGAGGATGATCTTGTGCGTGTAGCCCTCGATGGCTGGGAGCTGCTCGGACTGGAGCTCCACACTGAAGATCTGTCCAGACGCCGGGTGAAGCGTCAGGCCCAGCTGCTGGATCAGATCGAGACCCATGATGGCCTCGGTCGATGGCGTCTCTACCAGGAAGAACTGGGCGTCAGCACACTTATCACCAAACGTGACAGTCACAGGGAGCGTTCCTGCTACTGGTACTGGCTTCCTGCCAAACCCGAAAAGCCTGGAGCTACTCGGCTGAAACTCCTTGCCCTTGAAGAGATCTCGGGCGTACTGAAGAGACAAAAGTGAACAGGTAGCTCCAGTGTCGACCTGGATGTCGACCGAGTGCTGAATGTCACCCACAGAGAGCGTGACAGGACAGAGCACCTTCTGAGGGGAGTCACTGACCTTCAGCACGGTAGCCTCCTTAACTGTGTCCTTCAGGCGTCGTGGGGCGGCAGCTGCGGTTGAAGCAGAGGCGCTTGACCTGCAGACTGCGGCGAAGTGCCCCCGCAGGCCGCACGAGCTGCAGCTGCGACCTCGAGCTGGACAGTCCTTGGAGCCGGTTCGATGTGACGATCTACCACAGTTGGTACACGGGGCCTGACGTTCAGGCAGTCCGCTGTGTGCCTTGACTTTCTTCGGTTGACGAGGGTGGGACACCTTGGCGACGACTGGAGCAGAAGATTGCTGGCCCGCCATTACTGCCGATTCACGGAGGGCCCTCTCATATGCGTCGGCTGTAGCGAGCGTCCTGTCCAACGTGAGCTCCGCATCTTGGAGCAACTTCTCTCGCAGGCGTGGGTGGATCGTCTTTTCCACCACCATGTCGCGGATCATATCATCAGTCATACTGCCAAACTTACAGTTTACTGCCAGACCTCGCAACACTGATACATACTCTGCGGTAGACTCCTGCGGCAGCTGCGCTCGTTGTCGAAATGAAAAGCGTTCGACAATGGCATTCACTCGTGGGATAAAAAATGTGTCCAGCTGGCGTAGGGTCAACGTGAAGGCATCGTCTCCTTCCATCTTCACGGCTGGAGGAAGCGTCTCCTGGATGCGCTGGCCCTCCTCGCCTAAACAATGTAAAAGAATAGCTCGCTTCCGCTCTGCGGCGAATGCGTCACCGCCCGTCGCCAGCAGGTAAGTATTAAAACGTAGCTTCCATGTCTCCCACGGTACAACTGGTTTACCCGGAGTGGGTAAAAAGGCTGAAGGCGGCCTAAGCCCGTCGAGGTTCATATCTCGTCGCCAGAAATATAGCGTTTCCTCTCGCTTCAGCCGCACCGCCAGGTCCCACACGCCGCGCCACCACTCGTCACTAAACTGTATTCTCGCTCAGCATTGCCAGTATGGCGGCCAATAGAGGAGCACGTAATAGAGAAACAAGTACCCACTGGCGATAGTACTCGGTACAAACGAAACGCTTAATTCTAATCGGGAAACACTACATCCGGCTCACTTCAGTAAACGAGAGTAGTCAACAAGGACGCGCGCACTTCAATGATCGTATGAATGGTTGGAATGTTAGTGCGTGTAGTATGAATGCAGATTTACGAACATCTGGACATAACCAAAAAGTATGTGCCTGCTTTACACTTAAGAACTACTTTTATGTTAGATAACTTATACCTGATAAGTCAGAAATTGCTGCTTAGCTAGCAACAAAATATCACTGGCAAGTGCCAGCAATGCAAATATTCCCAAAATGTACGAGACTTGGTTGCATTTATTTTCTCGGGTTTGCAGCAGTGTACACAAAACGAAGGATACAAAACAAACAGTGGATACAAAAATATACACTCGTCACCACTTTTCTGTCGGTATATTTGTAAAACAATCACAACACATAAATATGATGATAGTTCGAGCCACTCATTGATCTCATCACCGCTTTCGTCGATGTTCTGACGGCCACGACTCACTCCCCACCCTCATACGCGGGATTTATCGTCGCCGTATTTCCTAGTGATGACCGTTTGGAAGGAGTTCGCTCCGTTTGGGCCTTCCGGAGGTCTCTGCGCAGTGCTAGTAGCGCCAGGACGTAGATGAGAGCTCCTAGAACGTACTCTCCAGGGTAGAACAGGTACAGAGTGTCTGAAAAAAGGTTTTGACACTCTCAGCTACGGCAGAAGCACACAATCTACCGGGCAGAAAAGATGCATCAAAAGAATCAGCTTTGTATGTCGTAAAGAAGGTGACTATGCTTCTTGTACTGATACTTATGCTCGGCGTTTTGACGAGCATATATCTTTTTAGGTGAAAATACATTTCTAATCAGCTTTCCGGAAGTTCGACATTTTTAGCTTTAAAAAAGTTTATAGTTTTGATTAACTTTATAGTTTTATAAATCTGATATGGACACTTTATTGCATTTTATGTTCAGTGAGGTACGATCAACGGATGTCCGACAAGTAGCAATGTATCCTAAACGAACAGTTTTCCTGGGAAAATTAAGCACTGGAATAAATTGTTTTTCGCTTTCATGCACACATTAGCCCAAGCCATCCACTGACCTCTGAGAGCCTCGACTTCCGTATGACCAGCGTTCTTGAATGCCTGCTTCACGGGGTTCACCAAAAGCGGCATGTTACCGCCGATGTTGGTCGTAATGAAAAAGTACAGGGCGACGATGGTGGTGCGAACCTCAGCCGGGACCAGTTCCACCAGCACAGCCAATGTGATCGGGATCCACATCTCACCTGCACGGGGAGTTAACGTGTCACTATACGAGAAGGATTTACGAACGTTGTTGTGGACTGTTTTGCGATCGTAAAGGAGATACTAAAGTTATAGCGTGAGGTTTAATTCTTTACTTCTTACATTGCATGAAAAGTTGGTCACTTGTTGAAAAAAGAGGCTTTCCAGGAAGTGTACCACTCTGAATGGCAGAGAGCCGTGCTAGATAATCATATAGTTTTCCGAATATGTCATTGGACTTAGCTAAATATTTTGCACTGCGAGGCATTTTCTCTCTCACCTATGATATAAGTCGGAATGAGGCAGACGTAGGCCCAGGGCGGCTTCAGGAACAGCACGCAGAACACGAACGGCGCCGCCAGCAGCTGCGAGGCCACGATGACCCAGACGCGGCCGTGCGGCCCGACGCGGCTCACCACGCGGTCCGAGACGAACCCGCCGACCAGCACTCCCACCGAGCCAGACACCATCGGTATCCACGACATGTAGGTGCCGATCTGGGCCGGGGTTTGACCAATACTCTCAAAGTACGTCTCGGTGTTGTAAGACCACACATAACCGGCAGCGTTTCGGATAGCTCCGCCTAGAGACAAGAGAAGAATAGAAGGACGGCAGAATAATCTGATAACCTGAGGAAGCTTCTTTACGAGAGAGGCTTGCGGAGAGTCTTTGGAAGCGGTTACTCCTGACCGCGGAGGTTCTCGGAGTGTGAACAGCATTACTATGCTGAGGATGATACCCGGCCCGCCGGAGACGAAGTAGGCCCATCGCCAGCCCTGCCGCAGAGAAGAGACGTGATAAGTTGGAGAATAATGATTGGTAAGGGTAAATGACACGAATATAGCATAAACGGAGGCATGAAATAGAGAACGCTTTTATAATACGGGAAATGAATAAAACTGTTTCCAAGAAAAGGCATCAGCTTGGTAACAAAACAAAATGAAATAAACTCAATGGCAGTCGCCGATAAGAAACCCATGTTCCCTCTATCTTCGCTTCACCCTGTTCCATCTATGATTGAAAATCATTCGAGTCAAAAATATGACATTTACATAACCTACTTTGATATGACGCCAGTCTGCTTTTACCACCGTTAACTAGAGATAACCCTCCGTCTTTCTTCTTTCCCGGATTCATTTATTCATTCATTCATTCATTCATTCATTCTCACCATGCCCATTATATCCGCTTCCGTGATGAAATTTCCAACGGCGTACGACAGCGAGTACCCGAAGTAGATGCCCCAGTTGTAGACACCGAGCGCGGTGCCGCGCAGCTCGGGACTGAAGTAGTCGGCCAGCAGCGAGGTGGCGAACGGCGTGCAGCCGGCCTCGCCGAACCCGACTCCGAACCTCAGCGCGGCCAGCTGCCAGTACTGCTCGGCCAGGCCCGTCAGCACCACGCACGTCGCCCAGATTAGGAGACAGCCGCAGAGTAATAACTGCCGAAGACAATGGGAGAGACCAAGGCCTTATTTGCACTTCCGAATGGGTCTAAGACGACGCCGCCTAGAAAAGTTACGGCAGAAAGTTCGGAAGGTGACCAGTAATATGTCGACCAGCGATATTTGTGAGCGAATTGGCGTCTTCATATGATACCGCACAGATCGGTTCTTCTTATGTGTAGCGCTATCAGACAGCAGACTTATAGATACATGTTGATCAACAAACTCGCTCAATGATCAGATAAATGCCTACCGTATCGTAGGTATACAAAATGCACTGTAGGTCTATATAAAAAACAATCACATAGGGAGCGAGGCATCTGGCCCTGTTACCTTTCTGTTGTAGAGGTCAGCCGCTATTCCCAGCGGTACTCCGGCTATTGTGTAGACCAGCACGAAGATTGGCCCGGCAAGGATATCGTACTGGGTTCCAGTACCGGTGTAGTCCCATTTGCAGCCCGCCGAGCCGCCAGCGTCCACCAAAGAAAGACATCTGTTGTGATGGAATATTTACTGATCAAACCACAGAGTTGGAAAGCCTGCTTAATTTTAAGCCAGAACGACTACAAATAAAAATAAGATATACCTACCTATCCAGAACAAAAGAGCAAAACAAACGGTAGTGAGAGCTTAGAGTCTAGCTTTGATTGACATTGTTTTCATCTAGTTCGAATAATTAAAAGAGTAGGTAGTGGCGAGAGAGGTGTTCTACCACATCATGCGAATAAGCAGGCGCAGTCGAAGCAACAGCACAGGAAATTAATTTATGGACGGTATAAATAATTATCAACCCTACTTTTGTCTTCAGTCCTGGGAAGCAAATGTGAAAATCAGCAAAGGTCCGGTTCCTTTACCGAACCATGCGGTAGAAAGATAAGAAGTATACGGCCTTGTTATCACTTTGTCAAGTGTGGCGGCGGAACGCGTGTGTTATTTTTTAGGTATTGACATAGGATGGCCTACGTCAGCCGTACGTCATTTGGCCATAATTTATGAGCCTCCTATATTTTCTTTTGTTTATTGATCCGTCATAATCTTTAACGAGACGGTTACTAACGGATCAACCCCTGACAACATGACTTGACGGTTTCATCCGGGCACCTCTGTTCAGAAAAAGAGCAATCTTACATCGCTTTTGACCCATGCCCGGATAAGGAAAGTATGATCTTGCGGTAAGAAACTCAATAAATTTCGCCATGGTGGATGGGGAGGGGTATAGGGTGGCAATTTGACTGGCAATACCAATTATCTTTCACACTGAGAGAGATGGAAAGAAGCGGAGGGAATTAGGTAGGTACTGTTGGAAGTGACAAGGGCATTTTTTGCTATAAGGATAAACTTTCCGCAATGCTCATTCATTGCCTACTCAGATCAATGAAAGCCAAACCATCAAACGTCAAGCTACCCAACAACAAGCGGCCAAGATGGAGATGAGCATAAAAGCACTCGCGTTGCATGCATCTTTGCAAGATTAAACCGATCGTCTTTATGACTGTGGTAAAGAAAAATGATTCGTAGAGTCAACAACGTTTAGTAGATTAGTACAAAGCTTGTCCAAAGTCGATTATAGCAAATCGCTCCCATGCAACGCTCAATGGTACGGTAATGCTAAACTAAAAGTAGGCAAACATCACTGAAAGGGCACGTTTGTTCCCGTTTCGTGCCACCAAAGCAAAACCCATGCAAATCCCGCGCATACCACTTCACCACCCAACTCACGTCGTCCGGTCGGTACAGTTAGAGCAGTTCGTCTCCTCCAATGTAGACGATACCGTATCATTCAACAGACACCCCTGGTCACCGAAGTGAATATCCTGCGCCGAAGGTCTCGCCACGACAGCCAGCATGTACCGATCCAGCTGGTTCAGCAGGTAGACCACCAACAGCAGGGCCAAGACGTAGAGACTGTACCCGGAGGACCGCAGCAGAAGAGCGCGAAGGCCGCCCGAGGGGGCCGGTTTGGGGGAGGATGGAGGGACGGCTGACTCAGCGTCCTTTAGGGAGTGGTCAGAGTGGTGGGATGAGCGTCTCTTCATGGTGAAGTCAGTCTGTGGAGTTCGGTGTGTATGTGGCCACTGGATATGCCGCAACGAACGGTTATTGGCAAGCAGCCGCAGCTACAGTAAGCGGTGCCTTCGGCGCTGGCCCAAAATGATCGCGAATTTCTCAGGCTTCGATTTTCATAAAAACTTAGGCGTGTATGGAAGCATTTCAATAGCGCGAATTCATAGCCGTCTTTGTGCTAATCGCTCAGTCGGGTAGGTCAAAATAAGTGAAGTGCCAGCAATAATGGATGTGCAATCTGTTGACACACAGATGCCTGTGCCCCAACGATATCTTGCGTCAAGTGTTCAGCAAACGTTTATTGTCTGAACATTTCTTGCCGTTTTATGAAACGGGCATTTAAACCATGTGATCTTCAGCAAAGAGGCGGTGCGACAAACGTGCGAAGTGCGAACGGAGATTCTTAACCCCTCAAAGTCTTTCCAGGTCCTTCCCTCAGACGCTGGAACACAATTAAACCATTAGTCTGGACTTAGCTCAACCATCTGCTCTTTTCCTCTCCTTTTCGAAGACTAGAAGCACTGTGACCGTTGCACAACACTGAAGACCTCTAGATCACCGCCGAGAGCTCAAATCCTGTCAAGGTGCCGCCAAAATTCGTCGTGTAAGTTCAACCGCTCGCGGCTTAGAAAAGGGCCTGACGAGCACACTCCGGCGAATGATCGGATCTCTTCGGCGCGGGCCGACGACTGATCGGGGCTGATCGCCGATCGCCAATGCTCCAAGATCAGCGGGGCCACGGAGATCGGCCTATCGGGGCGTTTGTATCGCTGCCCCGAGGTGGCGAGCGGGCCCACTCACGGGGGCCAGAAGCGGAGAACACAAGTGCCCACTTGGCAGCTATGTTTTATCGTGTTCAGCATATACCTACCTAACTATTTGCACGTGGGTATGGTCATCGCACTTTGTCCCTTGCGCCATGAATTGAGCATCCATCCTGAAAGAGGGAAAATTCTTCGGGTCTATTTCAATCATTTGTGCGTGGTGACTTCTCTAAGTCATGCTTAATTGCTTAACAAGGTAAATTTCATATGCCAGATGGGCTTTTCTCATAAAGACCAACATACGCGGGGGACTAGTTTGATTACGGTCTGATATTATCGTAGCCCCGTATCTGACCGTGACATTTTGAAGGCGAAGGAAGCTTTACAAGTTTACATACCCACATCTCCCTCGGTGGATCTGCCTTCGGCTTTGCCTGTGCAGCTTTGGGTCATGGTTGAGATAGGAAATGAAAGGATTCGATGCAATTATCCTTCGATGCAAATTTACAAATTACAACGTATGTGTGAAGGTGCCCCTGCGCGTCCAAGCCTTTTTTGGATCAAATCCGATTGCCTTGGCACATGAGCCGTCAGATTTAGACAACTGCGTCCTGAACATCAACAGCTAACATGCTACACCTATAAAAATGTTATACATAACTAGAATAACCCGCGCCCTGCTGGGGGGGGGGGGGGTGTTTGAACGGTTACAGGACAATTTGCCGAACTGCATTTTGCCGAATGCTTATTCGCCGAATGTCAATATGTCGAATGCATTTTGCCGACGTGTCTTTTTGCCGACGTGTCAAAAGGGCGAAGTGCTAAAAGTCGAAATGCAATTTGCCGACATGCCTTTTTGCCGACGTGCAATAAGTCGAAAATGTCAATTTGCCGAAATGTCAATTTGCCGAAAAGTCAATTAGTCGAAATGTCAATTCGCCGAAATGTTAATTTGCCGAAATGCTAATTAGTCGAAATGTAAATTTGCCGAAATGTCAATTTGCCGAAATGTCAATTTGCCGAAAAGTCAATTAGTCGAAATGTCAATTCGCCGAAATGCTTATTTACCGAAATGCTAATTACTTGAAATGTAAATATGCCGAAGTGTCAATTAGTCGAAATGTCAATTTACCGAAAAGTCAATTAGTCGAAATGTCAATTTGCCGAAATGCCAATTAGCCGAAATTAACCTAACCTAACCTAACCTAACCTGACCCGTAAGTATTAACTTTAGGACCGACTCGCTTTTCAAAGGTAAAGAAACCCACTTACATGTCAGCAAAGTACAAGAAAAACATAACCAAACCTTACCTAACCTGACCTACTGATTTTTGCCTACCAGTGGATAGGGAAGAAGATACTCACATGAATAGATTGCAGTTAATGATAAGTCAATTATTTTTAGGTTAAGTGGTTGTGCATAATACACAACAATTTAACCCTCACCGGACCTATTGGTTTTCTACATACGCGCCGGCCGATGTGGTAGTAGCTGAAATTCGATTTGCTGAATGTCATTTTGCCGAATGCATTTCGCCGAATATCATTTTGTCGATGTGCTTTTTGCCGACATGCCAAAAAGTCGAAATGCCATTTGCCGACATGCCTTTTTGCCGAAATGCCAATTTGCCGAAATGCTTATTAGTCGTTTCGCCCCTGGTGGAGCTGGCGCGTCGCGGAAAAAAACGAGCGTGTGCGCCGTTACAAGACGCAGAGATTGATACCCGATTTTAAGGTCCTACGTCAACCGGTGACCTCTGAGGTCAGGTCAAGTGCCCCAAGGTACGGTTCAGTTTTTGGCGAATAACTTCGCCACAAAGGGCCGCAGGGCCGCGATTTTGGCAGCATCGTGTTTGCCTTGCTTAGGCGCGTCAAATGATATAATTTTTGTTTGGGTCAGGTCAACTTAGGGTGTTGACCTCAGGTCACGGTCAGGTCAGCACCCCCAGGTTTGTTTGTTTGTTTGTTTATTGGGGCTTTCGGGCGCGTCGACTGCAAAGGTCATTTTGCGCCCATAACGTCGCGCTAGTAAAACAAGTGTTTCAAAAGAAGAAACTTTCTAGATATCAAGACTAGAAAGTAAAAGACTTTATAAAAAAGACAGGGTAAAATAAAACAACGCAAGAGCGTCGTAATAGACAACTGACTAGACAAGGAGACTAGAGAGGATTTGGGTCAGGTCGAGTAAATCGCTTGGAATTTGACTGCACGGATAAAGGAAAAGATGTTGCCAGATAAAACCCAGGGTGACTCGTCACCCAGCAGGTGGCGGACAGTGGTGCCCGGAGCGATGCGGCCGAGGTAGCGCGTCCGGTCTGGTTCTAAAAGTGGACAAGATAAGAGCACGTGAGCGACGGTAAGAGGCGCGGAACAACCGTTGCAAATGGCCTGCTCGTCTCCGCGGAGGAGGTGGCCATGCGTGGCATATGTATGGCCGATTCGGAGCCTGCACAAGATCACCTCGTTGGACCGGTTGTCTTGCAAGCAAGACCTCCATGGCTCCAAAGTCGGCTTCACCTCACGGAGCTTTCCGCCTCCACGTAGGCTCCACTCTGCCTGCCACTCAGAGAGAATGAAAGATCGCACAGCCGAATAAAGGTCACGCGCCGGCAATGGCAGACGTCCATGAAGTTGGTGGAAAGAGGTCATGTCGCATATCATTCGATTCGGTAGGTCTTCCTGAGTCCAGTGGTGGCTTTCCCGACTCGCTAGCTCAATTTGATCGGGAGTTATTGACGAAAAACTAATATGACCTTGATGACGTCATAAATGACATCACGCAAGGTTAACATTGCAAAAGTTACGCATCTAACCTTGCAAGGAGTGCGTCAAATCACGATTCTGTGTGCTTGAGATAGTTAGAGGTCGTTCCCGGCGCCAGAATAGCAGTTTTTATTTTTCTTCTTGACTTATAATGGTGAGGTCACGAAAATGACCTGACCTCAAATAACCTTTAGGAAAATCTGAGATATACGAGCTGTGAGACTCGTAATGGATATCAGGTCCTGCAAGTTTCATTTCCCTGTGAAAGCTCCTCTGGCCGTGAGGGCGTTGCGAAGTTGCGACATCTGAAGACCATGCAGAGGTTCACTTATGACGTCATAGGTCGGTGAACTGACCTGACCCGAAAATGCGGTTGATTTTAAAAGATCCGGCTTGAATCAAAGGTCAGCTATGCTAAGTTTCAGCTCTCTATCGCCAGCGTGTTCGGAGCTATTGCGATAAAACCCTATGGGGGTGCGGCACCCGCACCCCCTCCCCCTAGGCCGGCGAGGGTTAACCTAAAAATATTTGACTAACCTTTGCCGGTAATCTCTCCTAAGGCATTGTCTTCGGCACTGCACTGCTTCGCCACGAGCAATTTGATGTTTATTTCCAAATGGTATTGGTGCTTTTAAACTTGCTTGTGCCATGAATAATTATTAGTTATGAAATCAGGTCAAAGGATATCATGTGGTTTGCTTCTCACTTGGGGATTGCACCAAAAGTAAATTGGTGATCGGTCCTAAGTAAATAAACACCACCTAACCTAACCTAACCTAGGTTTGCAGATTGACATTTCGGCAAAGTTATATTTCAACTAATTGACATTTCGGCAATTCGGCAGATTGACATTTCGGCAGATTGACATTTCGGCAAATTTACATTTCGGCAAATTGACATTTCGGCAAATTGACATTTCGGCAAATTGACATTTCGGCAAAATTTACATTTCGGTAAATTTATATTTCGACTAATTGACGTTTCGACTAATCGACATTTCGGCAAATCGCATTTCGGCAAATTTACATTTCGACTAATAAGCATTTCGGCAAATTGGCATTTCGGCAAAAAGGCATGTCGGCAAATGGCATTTCGACTTTTAGCATTTCGACTTTTTGACACGTCGGCAAAAAGCACATCGGCAAAATGACATTCGGCGAAATGCATTCGGCAAAATGGCATTCGGTAAATCGCCTTTCGGCAATTTGTCCGGACACCGTTTGAACACCCCCCCCCCCCCTAGTGGTTTTTCGCGAATATCTCAAAAACGGCGGCGCGAAGCGCCGCCGTTTTTGGTACACCTTATCATACATCAATTCTACACATGTTGTGAAAATTTCAGACCAAGGTCATTCAAGGTCGGGTCACCAGGTCACTTGAAGTGACCTCACCTCATAAAAACTTTCAATGTCTGTCATAGCTACACCGAGTGACCGATCGCTTTGAAACTTTCAGCGATTGCTAAGAGCAATAGCATGTACAAAATGTATATCACAGAATTTTGATATCGATGACCTAAGGTCAGGTCAATTTTGCGACCTCCCCATTATAAGTCAATGGGAGAAAATTGAAATGCGCCTCTATTGGATGAAAGACATTATAAACACTCCCAAACACCGAATTACAAGTGGTTTAGACACACTGGACATGAAAATGGTGTCCGTGACCCTTGTTTATGCCCTGAGGTCATCTTAGGTTACGAATGGTATCTAACAGTTTTTTCGCAAATAACTTTTGATAGAGGCATGCTAGAGCGATGAAAACGCCTTAGATGTATTCAGCTCGACGATACGGATCGACTGATATGCAACATGACCCTTTCCGGTCAGGTCATGACCTTGACCTGAGGTCAAATTTTCAAGTTGACCTTTCAAGGTCAAGTTATAGTTCATTCGATGCGTCTTGACGAGAGGAACACGATGCCGGTTAAAGTAAGCTCGTGGGTCAAAAGCTATTGCAGAAAAACTGTTTTCGAAAAAAAAAATCGGCTATTTTTGCAGTTTTTGCCCCCTGCAGGGAAAACCGTTGACGTTAGGTCAAATCTGAGGGAATTGTTCAGAAAGGGCATTAATAGGGCTATCGAATGCGCTTTTCCGCGGCGCTGTAGCTCTATTGGTTCCCGAGTTATGCGCTGGCTTCTTGGAAATTTTCGACATTCGACCTGGAAATCGGCGAAATTTAGTCTTCAATGACCTCTGGTGACCTGACCTTTGACCTGACCAAAAAATTGACCGAAGTGATTTCGTCATTATATTTGACGCTTTTTCGAACGCCGCCTTCCGCGTATCGCTACGTGGCCCAGGAGCCGAGTTACAAGGGGGGTGTTCAAACAACCCCCCCCCCCCCAGCAGGGCGTGGAAATCCAGGACCCCCAGCCGGGCGCGGGATAAATACCCAATGGGAGACAATCATGAACGCATCATGAATGTGTGAATAAAGACAAAAAAAACGTAACTTTTTTACATTAGGTACGTCTACGAAAAACCCAGGGTCAAGAAGGTAAATTTGAACCAAAAGTCACTATGAGTTTGCGTTTTTCATGACGAGCACTAGAAACAAGATCGTTCCCAATACTAAAGCTGCAATCCCATTCACGCGTCAGTTGAACTATCTCCTCGAGATCACGTGAAGTGGTTACCAGTCCACGCGTGATTGACATAATAACACATTTATCGACATCAACCACTTGTGTGCAGGCCGCCATCCCTCCCGCACTCTTGTCTGAGCGCTTACCGACACAAGGCGTCCGTTCATACATCCTCACTGATATCAATCTCGGTGGGTGGACCTCAGCTGGCAATGATCCCACGGAGAGACGACAGGACAATCTGTCACCAGTGGTGGACGGTGGGACGCACGGCTCGGACCGTGCGACCGGCCACTCCGGCGACCTCAGTGACCTAGGGAGGTCTACACTTCTACAGTGACTTGGTGACCTTCGAGACCTTGGTGACCCCTGAGGTCCAAGGAGGAAGAAGACCTGCAGCCTGGTTGAGTCGAAGTGCCTTGAAGACCTGGAGAACACGTTGATCTGAAGAGCTCGGTGGCCTAAGGATCCAGGGTGACCTCAAGATTGAAGATACATCGTTGTCGTGAAGTCCCGTCGAGCTTGGTTGCCCAGGATAGCCTCAGGATACCTGAGGAGCTAAGCATCTTTTCTTCTGGCAAACGTAGCTTGATATCCCAGGTGATTGAGACACCTTGACGGCCCAGAAGAGCGCTTTGAACAAAGACGTCGGGTGAGCTCGATGTCTTTGATGGACGAGGACTGTGGCTCCCGAAAGGAAAGACCAGCGGGAAAGAAGATACAGGAGCGTAGCGTTGGTGGCCATCTATGAAAGCGAGGGTCTGTACGAGATCTTTTCAAAATATTCTCCTCGGAAGTGGTTACAAGAGAAGCGTACCCGGAGGATCCATTCAAAGATATATCCTAGCGGAAGCGCCAGAAGGATCGCTGGAATAAATAATTTAACTTCGCATTTGGAAATTTCACCTTTCCATTTGAAAGGGAAAGCAAACCTCGAACACAAACCTTCGTTGTGTGGGCCTCAACTCAGCCATCTCTCATCAGCTCGACTTGGTTCACATACTCCACCACCATCATGACGCAGAGACGAGCGTCGCGTCTGTCCGAGCACTTCCCGACAGGATGCGAACTAGCCGTCCCGACATCCCTCCCCAAGCCGGCACCTTCCGGTGGCATCCGGGCCCTTCTCCTTCGATCCTCCGGCTACAGTCTCTACGTCTTAGCACTGTTGGCGTTCACAAACTTGCTGAACCAGCTGGATCGGTACATGCTGGCCGTTGTGGCGAGGTCTTCGGCTCAGGAGATCCACTTCGGAGACCAGGGGTGTCTTCTGAATGATACGGTACCGTCTACCTTGGAGGAGACAGACTGCTCAAACTGTACCGACAGAACGACGTAAGTTGGATGGTGGAAGGCGGGTTGTTGGATGTTGTTTCCTGTGCGGAAACTTCGAGGTACCTCGCAGGAAAAGCTATACCGTAACTTGACGCCTATGAGAATTTGGAATTGTGGTATCGTTACAATTGAGATGACACCTTCGGGTAGTCTTCTAACATTCTATTTAAACCACAGCATAACGGGGTTCTGCGACACCTGAGCGAGCGTCATTTCAGCGAAAGACATTTGAGCGAAGCCTTTTCAGCGATTATCAATTTAAGCGATTGACTTTTTCAGCGATTGTCAAGTCGGCGAATTCAATCACAGCGATTATCAACTTAAGCGAGGACCAGAATCAGCGAAACCAGATTGAGCGAATATATGTAGGTCAATGGGGGACCAATTGAGCGAACACAGTTACAGCGAAACCGTACGCGACGGAAGTCCATCATTTGCTACTTTTTGGGAATTCTTGCCCTTGGAATACCCGCTTAGTATGTGTCATGCTTCAAGCTGCGCGCGGCAAATTAAACATTTTCTTTTAAGCTTAGAAACCACAAAAATATCTGGCCTCATTTTGCAACTTTGATCTGGAAATGTGGAACGTGAGAGATAGGACGATGGAAGGAATGCCAAGGACCAATAATAAACTCGAGGGATGGCACAGGGGGATCCAGTCTATGTTTCAGGGACCTCAACCAAATATCTGGAAATTCGTACGGTGCTTGGAGCAAGAACAAATTTTACAACATGGGGAACTAATCTAAGTTCAAGCGGAGGAATTCTGCGAAAAACAGCACAAGCAATATGAATCTCTGAACAAACGTTTGGTCATCATTATTGGCAAACAGCAGGGGGAGGGGGTGAAATCGAACCGCTGTATTTTTTTTTTTTAGAAATGTGGCATTAAATTTGGAGCTTAATGTCGGAACTTTGAACGTGACATCCGCCATCCAGTTCCGGATAACCATGAAAAGTTCCAGAAACATTCGTTGTACGAACGCTCGCAAAAGAAAAAAGAAAAATACACCGTTACGGGACGATGAAGTGTTTCGCTGAAATGACATTCGCTCAAACTGTAGTCGACGAAAAAGATGTCGCTGAAACATAGCTTTCGCTTAAATTGATAATCGCTATATTTGATAATCGCTCAATTTGATATTCGCTAAGTTGCCAGTCGCTGAAAATGGTTCGCTCAAATGACGTTCGCTCAAATGACACTCGCTAAAGTCGCTCGCACCGGCATAACGGAGATGTGTGCCGTCCTGGATCAGTTGATTTCCTACATACACTTCGTCCATTGCAGATGTATCTCATTGGTGGATGCTGGCAACTCAGCAGGCTGCAAATGGGACTACACCGGCACCGGAACCGAATACGACCTGCTGGCTGGACCCATCTTCGTGTTGGTGTTTACCATAGCGGGAGTGCCACTGGGAATAGCTGCTGATCTGTACAACCGAAAGGTAATGTGACACCGGTAGGCATTGTAGAAGGGAGCAATGTAACGCCGATCTGACAGGCCAGAAGAGAAGTAGGTACCTAACGTATTACGTAAGCCGAACTGCGTAAGACACAAGCAGCCCATGGAAAGGGTGGGGTCTGGTCCAACAAAGAAGTTGGCTAGCCCTAAAATCGGGGAAAGGTATGGTCATGTCCACAGATTGGCCTTGAAAGAGGTAATTTTAACCTAACCATTCACCTCTACTCTTCGAAGTTGAGGAGCTGTAGATGCCACTTCGTTCCACGCCTGGCGCGGATATTGTAGTACCACGACTGGGAATGCGGTAAAAGGATGAGGTCGGCGTATGTAAGGTTCAGGATGTCCGCCGCCTTTCGAACCAAACGGGACTTCCGAAAGGCCGTGCCTCGGAGAGCACCGATTCGACATAGCAATCCTTTCTCTCTCCCAACAGTTGCTACTCTGCGGCTGTCTGTTCGTCTGGTCCACCTGTGTGGTCCTGACGGGCCTGGCTGAGCAGTACTGGCAGCTGGCCGCGCTGAGGTTCGGAGTCGGGTTCGGCGAGGCCGGCTGCACGCCGTTCGCCACCTCGCTGCTGGCCGACTACTTCAGTCCCGAGCTGCGAGGCACAGCGCTCGGCGTCTACAACTGGGGCATCTACTTCGGGTACTCGCTGTCGTACGCCGTTGGCGACTTCATCACAGAGGCAGATATTATGGGAATGGTGAGCAGTCGAGGGAAAAGAGGAGAGGTGACGCCTGACGGAACGCCCTAACGAAAGCACACAATAAGAGCCAGGCTATGAAATGGGTTCCTGAATACAGATTGCCGTTCTCCAAACTTCGCTACCTATAATGTAACGCACAACCACCGTTCAACCTTCGGACTATGACGTCCTCTTTGATATTCTCTTGGTCACCTTCGGGTGTCATTCTCCATAAGTGTCAGTGAACTATCGAAAGTCCATTCTGCTAAGTAAATGGCCTCTCTGTATTTGAGATCTTTATGCTCCTGACCACTTGCGCCTGCTCTTCTTCCAGGGTTGGCGATGGGCGTACTTCCTCTCTGGCAGTCCTGGGATCTTGCTCAGCTTCCTCATGCTTTTCACACTTCGCGAACCACCTCTAACCGATCTACCTCCGCCCTCAGACTCCTCAACATCCCAGGACTCCCTCTTTGGGAGACTTCCTCATCTTCTTCGCATGTTCTTCCGTCCATCCATCCTCCTCCTTTCCCTGGCCGGAGCGATACGAAACGCAGCCGGCTACGTCTGGTCCTACAGTGCCGAGACATACTTCGAGAGCACCGGACAAACCCCGGCCCAGATCGGCACCTACATGTCGTGGATACCGATGGTGTCCGGTTCGGTGGGAGTGCTGGTCGGCGGGTTCGTCTCAGACCGCGTGGTGAGCCGCGTTGGGCCGCACGGTCGCGTCTGGGTCATCGTGGCCTCGCAGCTGCTGGCGGCGCCGTTCGTGTTCTGCGTGCTGTTCCTGGAGCCACCATGGGCTTACATCTGCCTCATACCTACCTACATCATCGGTGAGTCGAGTTGTGTAGGCCCTACGTCAGTCTCATACAGACATACATCATCGGTGAGAGACCAAATACCGCGGAGTGCAGATACCTAGTACCTACTTCATTTGGCAGCTTGCAGTGAGCATCACTTCGAGGATGGCGACTGTTTGAATAAGTCACAAGACAATCGATGCGATGAACAGTTGCAGCGACAGGGAATCAAAGTCCCCCCCCCCTAAAAAAGTCTAAAAGGCTCGAAAGTATCCGTTGTTAGTACCAACGATATCCATCGTCTGTCAACTTTGTATTGATACACGTCATCCCGACCATGCCCTCCATGTGTCTCAGGTGAGGTATGGGTCCCCATCACGCTCGTCGTTCTGGTGGAGCTGGTCCCGGCCGAGGTCCGCACCTCTGCTGTCGCCCTGTACTTCTTCATTACGACTAACATCGGCGGTAACATGCCGCTACTGCTGAACCCGGTGAAGCAGGCATTCAAGAACGCCGGATACACGGAGGTCGAGGCTCTCAGAAGTGAGTGGCGCGATTACCTGGCTGGTAACGATACTAAGCACTGAGTCTCATGTCAGCTGTTTTGGAGGCTTTGTCCGTCACTTCATGCAGATACTAAAGAACCAAATAAGTGGTGCGAAACATCTTTTAGCCAGGAGCCTTCAAATACCATTGGATGAAGTGTGACTCATAAGTTTGTAACCCAAGCACGGTTAATATTGATTTGTCCTGTGAGAATTGCCACATGTGAAGTGTAGCATATTCGATTCCATAAACGTTACGATCCAGTTCTTTCTAAAGCGTGTCTACAATTCCAACTTCCAACAAAGTTGTAGTTGGAATTACGCCAACTTCTTAACATTTTCGTATTCTTAGTGAGGTGAGTGTGCTGGTATCTGGTAGACCTGTACAATACGTTTGTTTCTCCCTCAGATACTCTGTACCTGTTTTTCCCCGGAGAGTACATCCTGGGAGCTATCGTCTACGTCCTGGCGCTACTAGCACTACGGAGAGACCTTCGGAAGGCTCAAACGGAGCAAACTCCCTCCAAACGGTCATCGCTGGACGGCAAGGGAGAGACAAACCTCGCGTTTGACAGCGCGGAGTGAGTCGTGCTTTCAAACAGCGACTTCCGGGAGGGAGCGAGTATCGTGAATTGTGATGTGACAATACAAGTTTCCAATCTGTAAATTTCATGTCACACCTTGACCTGAATGCCACCATAACTTGACCTCTTCCCGAATAGGCAACCATATTGCACCAGGAACCGTAACATCTTTCTGAAAACACCATCGCTCCAGTTCCGTTTTTTTTTTATTGCCTGCTCAAGCAATAACATCACATTGCATTCAATAGGTATATCACAGCCAGTGAACATGCTTAACTGGACCTTGAAGATCACACAATGCACCGCGTCAAAAAGGGAAAATACCTTCAATGGTATTTTCCCTTTAAAACAAACAACATCCCTTTAAAGCTAACAACAATGCCGGCCGACCCTCGTCCCCTGCCCCGGCGGCCCGCTCGGCGCGGCCGTCGCGCAGGCTGGCGCGCTCGGCGCGCGAGGGGACATGGGAGCAGCGAACAGCTGACTGCTCCCGGCACTGGGACCCCTCACGGGTCTCGTCGTGTAGAGTGCCAAACACCTGACATCAACCATCGACGGGACGACCAAATTGCTCCTGCCTGTGCATACGACCTGGCATTTCTGATGGAGGTGCGTGACCGGCTTAACAACAACACGGCTCGGGAAGTCGCCGAGACTATCCGGCGCAGTCTTCCCGCCCATGTCATCCGCCGTCATAATCGGCCACGCCCCCTCAGCCTAGTGGACGGAGCACATGGCCGGCCTGCTCGACAGACTCAGCGCCAGTCTAGCCGGCCGACCGACCCGCCCAAATTACTCATCGGCTCCCTGAATATTCAAAGCCTGAAGCCCAAAATTCAGGAGCTGACGTTTGAGCTCAATCGACACAACTACGACGCCATGCTTCTGGCTGAGACCTGGCTGCGCTCGACCACCCCGAACCGCCTCCTGGTCATTCCAGGATACACGCTTTGTCGTGTGGACCGCCCAGATGGTAGCGGTTACGGCGGTGTCGCAATTATCACCAAGGCTAAAATCACGTCAACCGCACTCAAGATTCCGGGCCGTGGGAGCTCTGCCAGCAGCCTGGAGTCACTGTGGGCGCTGCTAAAGCTTGAACAGGGCCGGCAGCTGATTATCTGCTCCCTGTATCGGCCACCCCGACACAGTGAGGCTGCTCTGCTTGCCGACTTCACGGACCTCGAGGCCCAACTGCAACGAGTTATAATCGATTACCCCAGTGTTCCGCTTGTCATCTGCGGCGACCTCAACTGTGATTTATTGAAAGAGCCCAATTTCCGCGCGCGTCAACACCTAAGCAGCTTCCTATCAAATTACTCATTAGATCAATTAGTGACAACTGCAACATTTTCCTCCGGCTCGCTCCTGGATGTGTGTATTGTTAACAACCGTGATCTCGTTTGCGACACCCGTGTTAAATATTGTCACTTCAGTCCTCACAAATTTATCGATGTCGTTGTGAATGTGCCGAAACTGCGTCAAAAGCCCACTGTTATCTCGTCTCGCTCCTTTAAGCGTTTAGATCACCCTGCACTGCATCATGACTTACTCGATGTTGACTGGGATTATGTATTCTCCGCCGAAACCGTCAGTGATAAGTGGGATGCTTTCTTGTCTTCCTTCGTACCTGTTTTCGATGCCCATGCCCCAATTAAGCGTGTGTCTATCCGTAACCCGATTGCTCCTCCCGTCTCCGTCGCCACTCGAGATCTCATGTCCCAACGTCGCGCTGCGCTCCGCCATTTAGGCCGCAACTCGAGCGAGTACAAAAACCTTAACCGCTCTGTCCGGGCGGCTTTGCGTCGCGACCGGCGGGTGGAACTACAGAGGGAAATCGGGGAACGGGGCCCCAACAAAGTTTGGCAATGTATCAGGTCGGTGGTTGCCGGTAAGAAGGATGGTTCTGATGTTCAGCCTGACCTATCTGCCAATGACTTAAATTCTTTCTTTGTATCCGTCGGTCCTCGTGTCGCTGCCGAGATCCGAGCCCAAAACGCACCTACCGATTTGAATGTACGTCTTACCCGTGTTGGCGCATGCAGTTTTCAACTTCGAGAAATCACACTTGCCGAGCTTGAGCGGACGATTTTCAGCATGCGTAGCTCGGGTGCTTGCGGTACCGACAGTGTCTGCGTTCGCATGCTGAAAGCCGGATTCCGAGCTATTGGTGGTGTCATCCTGCATATTATCAATACCTGCTTAATTCAATCCGATATCCCCGATTCATGGAAACATTCCATAGTTCACCCTCTGTTCAAATCCGGCAATCCTTCAGACCCCGCAAACTTCCGGCCCATTTCCCTGGTTCCTGTAATTATGAAAGTGGTTGAGCGCATTGTCCATCAGCAGCTCTACATCTATCTCTCTCATAATCACCTTCTGGCATCCTCACAGCACGGCTTCCGCCCCCGGCACTCTACTGAAACCGCGTTGTTGTCCGTCACTGAACGCATCCTGGCCGCCACCGACAAGGGGCAGATCTCAATGCTATGCCTTCTCGATCTTAGTAAATGTTTTGACGTGATAGACCACGAGCTTCTGATGCAAAAACTTATGCTGCACGGTATCGAAATTTCCTGGTTCGCCGCCTATCTTCATGGACACACCCAGAGCGTGTCGTTGAAAAATGGGTCCGGAAGTAGAGTGCTGTCTCGGCCTCTTCCTAATACCATGGGTGTCTTCCAGGGCTCTGCGTTAGGGCCGTTACTTTTCACCATCTTCTCTAACAACTTATCGCTGTACGCGGGTGATGCAGTAGTCTTTCAATATGCCGATGACACCCAAGTATTGGTTAGCGGTCCTGCCAGGAACCTTGGAGTTCTCATCTCGCGCATGGAGGTTTCGCTCGCGTCACTCAACGAATGGTTCTGCGCTAACGCCCTGAAGGTCAACGCCAGTAAAACACAGCTCATTGTCTTCGGCAGTCGTCAAAATTTACGCAAATTGCCAGATTTCAGGGTATCGTTCCGTGACGCAGCGTTGCAGCCGTGCGCGCAGGTGGGGAACCTGGGTGTCACTTTTGACAGTACTCTATCCTGGGACGCTCACGTCTCCGAACTCAGCCGCCGGTGTACGGGACTGTTGATCGGTCTCTCCCATGCGCGCCACAGTCTCCCGGATGGCATCATTAGAACGCTCGTGACAGCACTCGTGATCTCACGCATTCAGTACTGCCTCTCAGTTTATGGCAATGGGTCCCAAAAAAATTTCGATCGTCTCCAAAAAATTCTGAACTTCGCTGCTAGAGTGATTTTCGGTCGCCGTAAATTTGCCCATGTCTCTGACCTGCGAAAAAAGCTCGGGTGGTTGTCCCCGCGTCATATGGCTGATTACCAAACCCTTGTTATCGCCCACAAAGCCATTCAGCGCGGCGAACCCGAGGAATTGGCAACCATGTTCGTCACAAACAGCGCTGTCCGGGAGAGACACTCCAGGCAAGACCACCTCTTTCACCTTCCGCGACCACGGCTGGAAACGGGTAGGCGGCGGTTCGGCTATCGAGCCGCTGCTCTACTCAACAGTCTCCCAACTCAGCTGTCGCAGCTGTCTCCCGCCCCCTTTGCCCGATCTGTTAAAGCCGCGATAGTGGACGGGGCATCAACTGATCGTCGCTGACCAACAGTGAGTTGTACCTGTGGTACTACGAAAGTGTCTCTGTCCGTGCTTTGACGTGAGTGAATGTGTGAATGCTGTGAATTAGATTAGTAACCGCGGATACGGATTCTGAGCAGTAATCGCCACGCACTTTCAGAATGTGGATCGCTCATGATTGTTCAATACAATACAATGGATGCATCGAATTATATCCCATCGCTGGATGGGCAAAGCAAGATGACAATGAAGTAGAATTATTGCAACATTAATTGCCAAAATCACTTGCTCATCAGCATTCAAAGGTTAGTTATTTGCACTATCAGTCATTTCAATGTGAACCAAGACACACTCATACAGAACGCATTACGAGAGAGAAAAGCACCGGCGATGTCTTTATATAAAAATATGTTCCGACAGTCACCCGTTATGAACCTGGCACAAAGTACGACTAGAGTTGGACATTTGGACTCTGACGCACACGTTTGCACAGCCGAGGACATTACTGCTTTAGACATTACTGCACATTACTGCACGTAGCGTAGGGTAGTTATACCAAATGCCGATGTTGAAGTATAAATATTCAGATGATAACCTTCATAATAATAAATCGATTGGTACGTTACAAATTAAGATCCCACCGTTTAGGTTCTAAGGGATTAAGTTATGAACTACATCAGACAGCTGCGTTGAGCTTATAATCCTGTCCCCCCCCCCACCCAAAAAAAAAAAAAAATCCGACATGCAAGAGAGACAAACGTAAAGCTACCGGTTCCTTCATTTTTACGCGAATTTAAGCTTATAAATCTTATGGAACCATTCTTGTAGCTCTGCTTGCCTAAACTCATCAATGTTGCATTGCAATCTTTCGTGGGGGCTGGTCAACCGACTGCTGTCGCATCTACACATGGACGTGATGTGCCACATAGGTAGCTATTACCTTGAAATCACCTCACAAAGTCAATCTATCTGGATCAATAACAAACAAAGCACAATGACACAGCTGCGCACAGTGGCACATTCCATCGCCCTTACTTCATTTTCCTAACAAACCCAGCTTCCCCAGCTGCATTTAAAAGCCGTGACACAAGCACCGCTTCAGTCGCTGACCTGAGTTCAGGGCTTGATGACGCTCCGGGAGGCGACGGTCGAGACGGCAACTGAACTAGTCCGTTCAGAGAAGGCGAGATCGTCTCAGCTGACGTCAGGCAGAGGCTGACGGTCCGGCTCCACGAAGCTGGGGAAAGATGTCCATTCATGATTAGTTGAAGGCTTCGCGAAACTGGGAAAGAAAGTGACTGAAGGGCCATAAGCCGATTGCAAGCCAAGAAAATGTAACGCTGATTGACGATATAATACGCCACCAAACAACCAAGAATTAAGTCACTAAGTCTATCTCCTAAGCAAGATGTCATCTATCATAGACAAACCATTAAATGCACATATTAAAGTCATTAGCTAAAATACGTCATGTATTTTACAACGAACAAGACCTTATCAGTAAACATTATTATTACATCTCATCTATCCCTCCACTCTGTCACCACTCCCCACCTAACGTCTTCATACCCCATCCCCACATCATGAACTTCACCCTCCCACAATGCGCCCCTCAGTCCTCACCTCAATCGCGCCTCCTCCGAGTTAATCCTTTCCGGTGAGTAGTACCGTCCCACCAGAGTTGAGTCCCACAGGTACTCATTGCGCCGCCGAAACTCGCGGAAAGTGTTGGCAGAGCCGGTGATAGGGTCGCGCAGAGCGGCAGCCACCAGTCGCACGAAACAGCACGTGACGGTCTCGTGGTAGCCGCGGGAGACGCGGGTCTTGTTGACGATGTTGTAGCGCTGGATGCCTTGCCTGGGGGACAAGACGTGAGATGGGTGGTCAGTATCGATAGGGTATCGGTAGCTTTTACATAGAAACGGTGATCTGGAGATGATAATGCAGACAAATGCGCATTCTGAACCCAAGACAGATCGCACCGCGATAAGGTTGACTTCATAAAAGGAAAACAAAAGGATCGATTTATTTCTTCCTACCGTTAATTTTCTTTCCTTCTTCCCTCTAGAGGCCATCATAACAAAAATTGTTTTTACTTAACGAATTATCCTATACCTTCTGAAAACTTTTAAAAGTCATCACAATCACAGTGACTGTCACCCTTGTCGATTACTCTTTCCCAAGCCCTTTGATCGCCTTACTTGATAAGTCTCTCGGCCTCTGGCAGCGGGTGCTGTCTCAGGTAGTTCCAGGCCATCCGTATGTGCGCCTCGTGGGTCCAGTCCTCAAAGGGCAGAGTCTGACGCTCAAATGCTGACATGAACGCTGCCTCAGCCAGACTGTGGTATGACCTGGCGGGGAAGGGATGGAGATTGAATGTAATGATATATCTGGACGAAACAGTGGGCAATACAGCAATTGCCTGACCGTGAAGGGTACTGGTCAAAGGTACTAATCATAAAGTGCAGAGCTCCGGTCTGGATTAAGTTGCTTATCAAAACGCGGAGAAAAACTTGCAAAACTAGCGCCTTTTGCTTATAAAACATACCTGTATGGCGATGGAAGAACTTCACGGACATTGCAATGACAAAATAGTCTTGTGGACCGAGCAACTTGAAACAGTTGGAAGTGATATTTAGGTCAGCTAAATGGGTTACAAATCAAAGACATTTGAGCTGTGTGGTCAGCGCTGTTTCACGTACCGCTGGTAAAACACCATCGGAGGGCGGTCCTGGGCTACTGTTGACTCCAAAACCTCGCCGTAGATGACAGCGTGGTCGCCCACTATGTCTGACTTGAACACTGAACACCGAATGCCTGCAAAACACAAACAAATAGCGGTGCTGTGAGAGGATTTCGGGGGTGACAGAGGAACAATTTCGTCATGCTGGATGAACAACCAAAGCCAAGTAACAGTACATGGTTTAAAAAACAGCTACTGTCGCATACCCATGGAGACGTCAAACACAGTATCTACACCTCCATTTGTTTCTCAGAGCTGTACCTATCACGGCCTGTCCGAATCATTATGACAGGTACCGGTCATCGCCTTTCTGCCAGAAATTCGTCTGTCACTATATTCTGCCTGCGAGTCCTGTCAAGTTGATCAGTTTGTCTATCCCGTCTAGCCGTTAGTGAATCGGTCGATTATCGGTACCTGCGGCAACATCGGGCAGCAGCGGCACACCATTCTCGTCGGTGGTGTGTGAGATGCCGTCAAACTGGTCTTCGTTCTTCTCCGGAGGACGGGCAAAGTGGACGCTGAGGCTCACCTGTGTACAACAAGGGAGAAGGGGAAGCTAGAGGGTGGGCGGTGTAATTAAGCTGCCTCGGCTAGACTATCGACCAAAACAGGACCATCAAATTTGTCCTACTGACTAGAACTATCTCCTTGAAAAGCGTTAAACAAACTGTGGCTGACTCAATGTTCAGACTGCCTATCGAGGTCGTAAGCAAATCGTAATAACGGCATTTATTGCCTTTTGGCGATAAAATCAGACAAAAAGGCGTCAATGGACGATATATTTTGGATACGAGCAAGAGCAGTCAAAGAAAGCGTGTAGTGTCCAAAACGTCCCCTACGCACCGACCTCCACTGACCCTCCCCACCATGAACCCGCTCTCCCCTCTCCCTCCCCTCGACCGACTGACCTGCCGCTCTGCCAGCACGTGCACATTGAACCGTCCCGTGTCGAGCACCAGCCGCAGGAACCTGCTCGGTTGACCGATACACACGCTGACCAGAGGTGGGTGTGCCGAAACGCTGGTGAAGCTACTGCAGGTGAACCCACGACGTGGACCGCCAGAGGCCGCGGCAGTTACTACGACAACTGGAGGGTAGATAAGAGGTCAGGTCAGGGGAGTATCGTAGGGGCAGATGTCAGGTCATCAAGGGGAGTATCGTAGAGCAACCATCATCAGGTAAGGGATAGTACGAGCGTTTTAGGAGGATGAGTGTTTCCAGTCCAGACAAGAATTGGGACTAACACCAAGTGTGAAAGATAGTGACGATATTGCGAAATCTATAATCAACAAACCTACCCAACCAAACCTGACACACACTTTTATCCATACGTTCTTTATACCTCACGTACATTAGCGCTACGTACATTCATCCCACGTACTTTTACCGGCGTACATTTGCCATGCATACTTTTGCGGTACGCACTTTTGTCTGCAACTCTAAGAGCCTGAATATCGTTGTAAACCCGCGCACCGACGGTGGGGCGGTTATCCCCCCCCTGAGGTTTTTCGTGAATAGCGAAAAACTGCGGCGCGTAGCACCGCGAAATTTGGCATGACTATTCTCTCATCAATTTTACACATGGTGTGCAAGTTTGAAACTCCTAACTTTTAAGGTCAGGTTACCAGGTCACTTTGAATGACCTAGCCTCAAGTCACTTTTTTGCAACTTTGCCACAGTGTCAGAGCTACAGTAGATGACGTAGGCCTTTGAAAGCCGCAGGATGTTATTAGGTCATTGGTGGCTACAACTTGTTTATCTCGGAATTTTGATATCGATGACCTAAGGTCAGGTCAATTTCTCGACCTCCCCATTAAGTCAATTAGGGAAAAATCAACTCCCTGTTTTTTCCACCAAAACGTGTCAGAATGGCCCCATATACCATACATGACTTCACATACAATCAACATTCACTACCTTGAGGCCTGTTTTGCTGTTGGCCAGCTGTAGGGCCATGTGACGTCATCAAAGGTCACTAACGGTTTTTGCCAACAACTCCTTACAGGAACGAGATACAGCCGCGCGGATGGTCTCATTGTGTTCAGCTCGTCAAGGCGCATCGAATGATATACTGATGACCTCGAGTTCACGTGACCTGAGGTCAACCTTTGACCTTGACCTTTCGAGGTCAACATATATATGATTCGATGCGAATTGACGAGAGGATCACAATGATACCCTTAGTTTGTTCATAGCTTGACAAATTCGAACGTTATACGAGAAAAACTCCATATCTAGCGCCACCATTTTTACTTTTTCGACCCCTGTGACGTCATCTTTGACCTGACCTGAAAATGACCTTAGTAAAAATTGTAGTCCTTGTCCATGCGTACCCCATGCCGTTTACCGCTTGTCGCTATCTTGCTTCGTTCTCGAGATCTCCGGGGGGGAGGGGGGGGCGATCGCCGGTCATTCGCCCCCTCCCGTCGGTTCTAAGTTGGCGCAGACCCCCGTCGGTGCGCGGGTTAATTTTTAATTGTGTATAGCGCTACGCTAAGCAGAAGCTCCGGAGCCTCCAGTAGTGTATCAATCAACTATCAATCACGCTATGCCGCCACCTAGCGATAATTACGAAAACTAAGTAGATGTCGCCGCTAGCACAACTATAGCAGCGCCATCTACGCGTCGTCTGCGGGAGGTTTCTCCGTGGACCTCAATCCTTTTGAACTTTTTTGCATAGTTGTAGTTCACCGCAAAGAAAATAGGTTGGTAGGCCTCCATATCTAGTGAAGTCGTTTTGAGTAAATAATAGTATCTTCAATGTGCTTGTAAGGCGTGTGAATAATATAATTTGTCCATAAATGAAGGAAACTTATCAGTAAACCTTTATTATTGTTTTTTTTTTCAACCAACTAGTAGCCTGAATGAGGATGACCAGCAGCATACCTGGGACAGGCACCTCCCTCATCACAGTAAGAAACTGCATCTTCTTCTCATCTTCATCTGATTTTGCTGCACTTGTCTGCATCCTGCATCCTGAAGAAAAACGAAACAACATGTTTCCTTAAAATGTGGAAACTTGTTTATAAAATCAAACTAATAAATGGTTCACCAGGCAATATATGAGCCATATATGAAAGATATTTGTGTTCAGAATGTATAGCATACCATAGGATAGGCATTAAAATGATGAAAACAAATTGAAAATTTGTGTTCAGATTAATGTATAGCATAGAATAGGCATGGAAATGAAAATTATTATAACTCACCAAAGAGTGAAGAAGAAATGCTCCTCAATCTTCTACCAGGGGAAAGCAATCCCATGCTTAGTATACTGCTTGGTATGACCATTTTGAGGCAAAAGTAGCCTGACTGCCTGCAGCCACTACTGGCTGTTGGCATACCACAACATCCATAAAAAGGTAAGATACAATTACAAACAATGAAATAGATCATCCAAGAAAGCATGGATCATTAAACCAATTATTACCATATGACATTCAGTAAATGTGATGCATTCAAATTTGTTTTAACATCAAAATGTAGGGCAGAGCAAAGGTTAACTGAGGCTAAAACGGACACTACATTTGAAATTATTTATCCTCGAATCACGAGGAATAACACAAACAAAGTTAAGTAGCAATAAAAACTTTACAGATGAGAGCTGCAATTGCCAACAATTATTGAGGTGGCAGCATACATTGGTCAAAGTGATAGGACATGGCAAGCATACCAAAAACAAAAACAAAAACGGTGTTTTAACAAAAACTTGAACTGAAACAGCTAAAAAAAACTGGGACAAAGCATGGATTTATGAGATTCTTGAACTCAAGTTATCAGTAAAAGAAATAGGTTGTTCACCAGTAATTTCATCTCGAAATAATATTCGTATCTATCGACCTTTCTTGTAATCCACAGCGTGCAACAGTCCCAGCAAACCAACCAAACCTTCAGCAATTTTGTTTATTATGAGTGTGCAGCGAATATCTGGGGCTCACTAATGAAGACAAATACAATTTTTGCCTTTTGACCAATCAGCGCCCTTGAAGTGGACTAATCACGTTTCATAAACGGCGCGGTAATGACAAAGAAATATGGAAGGTAAAAGTTAGAATGTATCAATCGATAACGATAGGTGCCGGAAATTTTGTAAAATTTATGAAAAATGGCACTTCACACCATAAGGTTGACTTCCATCCGTTAGAAAATAACTTTTTGAATCTTTTACTATTTAATCCACTTAGTAATATCCTCGAAACAGTTAATTTGTATCATTTTTGTTTTGGTTTGTTTTTGCTCGCTTAAATCGATAATTTTTTTTAAAAGGAAAATTAGGAAATATACTATACCATTTGTTTTCAACTTCTTGCTTATCTTTCCCAAAGATATAACTAAACCAAGTGATCTCTGCAGGAAGAGGCGTGAACCTCGGCTTAATTTGAAGACAATCAACTTTAAATCACATTAAATCCTTCTTTATTATCGATAGACATTTAATACGGCCAGGTTCATTCCAGATGCCCTTCGAATGCATCCTGAATGAAAACAACCCGTAAGCATCCTACACTTTCATTGTACTTGTCGATGTCGTCACTCGTTGCCCCCTATTATTAGTGAATTGATCTTGCACCCATTGCCCCATGCCCAATGACTGTGTCCGATAATATGGGTTTATTCAGTTCATGACCTTTTTATGTCCTGGGTGAGTCTGAGTCAGTTATGACTTATGAATGGCTATTAGTGGCATTGTCAATGGGCGCTGGTATCACAATCACTTACCTATCACTATCAGTATAGAAAATTACAGATTTTTGAAGCGTACCGACTAGTTTTAGATCAATATATTGATATCGGGCATTGCTTTCTTGGCTTGGACCGAAGCTCTGATTGGCATAAGCACGAACTTCAGCTCAACTTGGTTGGGTGAGTTATCATTATTGTCATCATCATCATGTCAATCAAATGGTTGACTGTCAAGTGTCAAGGCTTGTCCTCCTTAGTCCCTTCACCTTACACTTAGGCTTACTGGGCTTGCCTCCTAGTAAAGCATCAAGTATGTGAACCCAATATATGACACTGCATCTGATGGATGAGCCAACGACAGAAGAAGAAGAAGAACCCATCAATTATATTCTTTGGAGAAAACAATGATATAAACCTTCCGTCGCTGACAGTGTGTCAATTTTGATGTAATGTGATTGTGTTTTTTATGCGGCAGGTGTATTTTCAGCTGTCATTTCACCCCAGAGTGTGATGTTGGGTCATGAGTGGACAGAGCTCTGCGCCAGAAGGCAGTGACGAGCCGACAGCACCACCACGGCTACAGCAGGCTCAGAAGTGGTGGGAGGCCATGTGGCGCCCCAACAGTGCCGGTGCACAGTTCTGCTTTTTTCTCTGCTGTGTGTTCTCGGTCTACTCTGCAGTTAGTCGCAGGTGTGTTTCAGAATTGTGTGCAGGGACGTAACTCTTAAAAGGTGTAAGCACATACTTTGACCCATACAAAGAATAGCCATTTTGACAATGAATCAAGCATTTTTTTTAAAGGGAAAATTAGTAGATCAAGATTTGTGACATTAAAGATTTGCAAGCAAATCTACAAAGTGCTACCATTATGGAGGTTACATACCCAGAAATTGGTGATGAAGTTAGGTTATAGAGTTGTTAATTTCCTGTAATGTCAATGCTGAATGTGCTCTTAGCAGCAATACCAGTGAAGAGTGTCTCCCACCCTTCCCCACCCTCTGTACCCATTCACTGCTTATATCACTTCCTGTTTTAAGTATATTTCTCCCCTGCCTCATACCCACAGCAGTCAGTTATTGTCAGCTTCCCCATTTACTGACACCCCTCCTCCCCAACAGCCCCTTTCTGCTGGCCCCCCTGGTGCCTGCCCAGCCTGCAGCTCCTTTCTTCAGTCAGCATGACCCAGTGGCGGACTTCTTCACCGGGGACACACCAGCATTGCTGAAGAGAGCAGCTGCCAGCCATGCCAGTGTGCTTTTCTTCTATGCTCCGTGGGACAGTGCCAGTCAGGCTGCTCGGGTTGAGATCCTACAGGCGGCGCATGTGCTCAGTGGTCAGGTAAGGATGGGAATTGTGTGTGGATGAGAGGCTTGGGTTTGACTGTGAGGGTGGGAAAAGGCCAGGGGAGCTATTGTAGGGCCGGGATCGTGCGTAGGGCCGGACCGGGAGATGTGGCGAAGGGCATATAATGTTTAGGGCGTAAAAGTTATGCAGCAAACACTCGTTAGGCGAGGCTGATAATGAGTGGGGCGACATTGCCTGTTTCACGATGGATGTATTTAACGCTTGGCTTAGCTCAAATTCAGCGATCAATTGTAGTGTAGAGTCATTTTCGTAATTTTCAAAAAGTTTCAAATTTGGGGAACAATTCCGATGAGTGATGAACTTTTCGCTGCCGTGACCTGAAATTAAGCGACAAAGTGTCGAAGTTTATTGGCATTCTGTTTATTGCTTCACTTTCCGTGGCTCTCGACTGACGTTTGACGATTTTCACAGGTGGACGTCCTCGCCATCAACTGCTGGCATGTTACCGGAGAGTGTCGTAAGAAAATAAAGAACATCGCCGCGTTTCCGCTTGTTATAGTCTCACTCCGGCACGGCCGAGGTAAGGACTATGCTTACTCCTTAGTCTCTCCCTCGTACTTTCGCGGTCAGGTCCGAAGTCACCGCGCTTATCTCGCTCGGCCTTTTGGCTAAGATCAAAGTGAAGCGATGCGTCGGAAGGATATCCTTTTTCCGTCCCATCTCTGCAGTCAAGCCACATTTTATATCGGCGGATGTTCCTGTCAATTAATGACTCATCTGACCTTCCCCTCCCTCCTCCACCCCTACAGGCGTACAGTACTCTGGTCCGCTGGAGGCCGCCCGCCTGGTTCGGTTCGTTCAGCGTGTGCTGCGGCCGCTCAAACGGCTGGAAACTGCTGCCGATCTGGCCCTACTGCAGGCTGCTAGCACGGTGAGTTGATGGGAAGTGGAACGTGCTGTTGGAACCTCGGAAAATAAGACGTGGTGTGGTGCGACATGGGTATTTTTGGAAATGGGGAAAATGTTTCCTCGGCCGGTTGGATGCGTGGATGATGCGTAAGTTGTATGGTTTGGTTCTGTTTCTTTCAGCGTTTGGTTTTCGAGTTCACCTGAGCGAACGAGGAAGAAGTTGTTGTCGACTTACCATTGCTCTTTTGACGTACGTTTTTCGTTGTTTGAATTATCAGTACCAAGATTCATTGACGGAATAAAACATCTGGAAATAGTTTACCTCAACAATTTATTGTGTAGTGTTTGATCAATCAGGATTCAGGAACGAAATAAAGATTTCCCGATTTTCTCAAGCCTCACCCGCTCTCTTTGTCCCTCCACAGACGATCGCGGTGGGCTACACCCCATTCGTCGAGGGCCGTCCGCCGGCCTCCTACTTCAGTCTGCTGCGAGCCGCCCTTCTCTCCCTAGAGGAGCGGCCGGGGGCCGACCTGGCCTGGGCAGTGGTCACTAACGCGCGGGCTGCGGCCCGACTGAGGCTCCATCACCCCGGTGGACTAGCCGTGGTTAATTGGAATGGGACTACGGTTAGTTTGGGTAGCAAGCTATCTCGTTCACTGGCCGGGTATGTGTCTTTGCGTAAGACTAGGACTGTGAGCTGTGACTGGTATGCTGGTCGGCTAACAACGCGACGTTTCGGTATTTTTCGCATCCTCTCGACCCCGCTCGATACGTAGTCGATTAATTTTGCATATCTTGCTCTACGGTCGGTGGTTCGATATTGTGGAATGCGGGAGACCGGGAGGGGGAGGGCCGTAGGGTGCATCAAATTGCAAGGCAAAAATTAAAGATCAAAATATCGATTAGCTCTAGTTACCATTTTGTTCCAATGCACAAAAAATATGATTCTACGAAGTTTCACGAATTTTGATAAGCATTTAGACGTCCATCCGACCCCGACAAATATCAAGAAAAGTGTCTTTTTTGCATTTGTTGAGTCCGTAATAACAAAAAACGGTTTAAAAAAAAAACTGATTACTTTCGACACCCGTGGCGAGAACTAATATGCACAAAAACATAATATTTCGAACATCATGTATTCCAAACATCAGTTTGAGATCAGTTATCATCAGGGGGAGGAGGAGTTACTTCCATTGCCCCTCCCCCTGTTCCCGCGTCCCTGGCGGATATAACCAAGGTCTCAGTTCACCTATCAAAATAGCGTCGAGATACCTTTGGGCTCCGTACTCCGTTCCCCCTCCCGCTGAAAAGTTCGCCCCTGATCTCTTCAAAGTTTTGCTGGACGTATATACCGTGACAAAGCCGAGATAATATTTCACATTACATTTCACAGAGACAGCCATTACATTTCATGAAAATTCCGTTATAGCAAAGTTAAAAAGAAATAACGCAACGGTAATAGGTGTAGGAACATTTTTTGAAAGTGTGTGGGGGGGGAAGCCCCCAGGGGCGCAAAACCTCACCTACTCCCAAAAGCCATTTTCTCCTCGGATTTCGGCCACTTTATTTTCGCGAGCATGCTCAAATCGGTTTTAAAAAATGTGACAAGAAAAAAAAACGGCCAAAATCTCAGGGAGACTCCCGTCCCGTCCAGAAATTAACTCTGATGGATGCGTCCCCCTGGCCTCCGCAGCCGCGTTGGCACCAGGGGCGGATCCAGGAAAACTCCAACGGGAGGGTTACGAATCGTAGTGGTGCCGCTACCTATACACAAAATTAAAAACTCGATGGATTTTGCCCACTTAATTTTGGTGGTGCCTTATTTTCATTTTATTCATTTTTATTTTTTAGCCCTGGCTGGCCTGGGGTGCCCCTGGCGGGCCTATGGTGCCCTTGCTAGGCCGCAGGTCACCTGTTGGGCCGCTGCTGGTGCCCCTGGGCCCTGACAGGACTGTGGTGCTCCTAACAAGTCTAAAGTGTCCCCGGCAGGCACGTGATGCCCCTGACAGGCCCAAGGTGCCCCTGCGAGGCCAGAAGTGCCCCTGGAAGGCCTCTGGTGCCCTGATGGGTCTCTGGTGCTCCTGGAAGGACTGCGATGCCTCTGGGTCCTGACAAGCCTGAGGTGCCCCTGACAGGCCCATGATGCCCTTGACAGGCCCAAGGTGCCCCTGCGAGGCCTTTCAAGATTCAAGATTCAAGATGTATTCGAAAGAGATCCATTCTACAGATGGCTTTTCACTCGTTCACGTCATTGGTGGAACACAATAATGGTGGAAAGCATACATTCATTCGCACGCTCAAAGTCACACACACGGACAAACCTAACCATTCGACATCTGCAGTGCTGACAGCTGGCGCCTGACTGTTGAACGAAAACCGAGGGTACCGGGTTCTACTTCCACACCGTTGAGCATGGTTACACCGCGGTAACACAGTCTCCTTCTGCCGGCTTCGGTTCGTATCGCTGGGAGAGTATACAGGTTAGCATGTCTCGTCTCGTGATCATGCCGCTGCCTGGCCTTGGCTCCTATGGTGCTAAATACGCTTTCGGGCTGACCGGTAACCAAAATGCGTTCCAGTGCACACACCGTGTGATAGGCGACCAAGTGATCTGCATCTAGCCAACGGAGCTGCTCTAGGGAGCCCGATACATGTTCGTAGCGCCGCTTACCAGTGACCACGCGCACACAGAAGTTAATGGTCTTTTGAACACGGCGAAGCTGGGTCGTGCCACAGGAACCGTAAACTGACAGGCAGTACCGCACTATGGACAATGCAAGAGCTTCGACAATGCTCTTAAGCGTCTTTGTAGGGAGAACATGGCGCGCATGCGACAAGGCTATTAGAATGCCCGTACATTTTCTCACGGTATTGTCCACGTGCGCCTCAAAGTTCAAATGCCGGTCGATATAAACACCAAGGTTCTTTACCACTCCGGAATCGGCGATGACAGTGCCGCAGAAACGGAGTGTCACAAGCGGCAGAGTGCGGAGCATCGCGGGCGTTCCAAGTACAAGCATCTGCGTCTTTTTGGCGTTCAGCTTCATGCCGTTATGGCAAAACCATTGATATACGTTGTGCAGGGCGTGTTCCATACTGGTCACCAAGTCACCAAGCAACCTTTAGTGCCCCTAGAAGGCCTGTGGTGCCCCTGGCAGACTTGTGGTGCTCTTACTAGGCCGATGGTGCTCCTGACAGGTCTGTGGTGCCCCTGACAGGTCTGAGATGCCCTTGGCAGGCCTGTGGTGCCCCCGGGTCCCAAGAGAGGCATGACCCATGTGACTCCCTCCATGGATCCGCCACTGGTTGGCACCCAAACCCATGCGAATTCCAGAAGCATCCCAAAACCTTTTAATACGAGCGAGCGTGAAACGTGAAAAATGAAAAGCCAGAAAAAGGTGTGGGGGGGGGGGGGCATTTAACATTGCTAGCCCCCCATCCGAAAGTGGGGGACCATGGCCCCCTGCCCCCCCCCCTAGTTCTACGCCTATGCCAGTAACCGATCAACTATGCAACAACAACAACAACTATGCAAGGCCGCCTAACAAATTGTTAACCCTCGCCCTGGCAGGGGGGGGGGGGTCGATGCGACCCCCCCTAAGGTTTTTCGAAGATAGCGTAAAAACGGCGGCGCGCAGCGCCGCCAAATTTGGCACAGCCTATGGGGCAACCTTTTTACATATGACCTTAAAATTTCAGGTCAGAGTGACCTTGGGTCAGGTCACCAGGTCAGTAAAACCGGTACAAGGTCATGGTCAAATTTCAATTTTCTTTTTGCACCTGTCCAACTCACATTTTTTGACTGATTTCCTTCAAACTTTCAGGATGTGCTAAGTTCACCGAGTTGTATAACATATAGTCCGGCTTTTTTGAGGTCACTGACCTGAGGTCAGTTAGAGGTCATTACGTCGTAATGTTAAGCCTATGGGAAAATACTAAATTCGGAAAATGCTGGAGATATCCGCTTCGTTCTATCACTTTTGTGCTTTGAAACCACGGTACTTAACAGCAGGTCACTTGGTGCTTCTTTGTTTGGTGTACTTATCCATGGGTCAGGTCAAATGAGGTCAACTGAGGTCAAATGACGTTTTTGCCAATAACTTGGCACATAATGACGCTAGAGCTTAAAAAATGGTATCATTGTGTTCCTGGTGATCAGCCGAATCGAATGATATGCGATATGATGCAATTTGGTTAACTTGAACTTAATTTATTAATTTAAGTTTACTTTAAATTTAAGAAAAACTTTAAGTACACTTAAACAAGCTAAAACGTATATCATTCGACGCGCCTTGACGTGCTGAGTTCACTGGTGCTTTTTTTTGCTCTATCTTAATTAGATCAAAAGTTATAAGCGAAAAACTTTTGACCTGTTTTAGCGAAATTTTTACATTTATACCCCCCAAAACCCCCCTAAATATTGACCTAGAGCAACCAAATTTGCACAGGGGTGAGAACTCCAGGGGGCCCACCTACCTACCAAATTTGGTGTTTCTAGGTGCCATAGGAGCCAATCGCGAGGGGGGGTCGCATCGACCCCCCCCCCCCTGCCAGGCCGTGTTATGAAAAATGCCCTGCCAGGGCGAGGGTTAAATTACGCCGTTTACGCATTCTGCTGAGCCAGTACTGTCTCTCTTTGCAGCGCGCGCTGTCCCTAAGCTGCCACTTATTGCTTCTGACAAAGTTTCATTTCATTGGGTGGAGGAAAATTGCACTCAATAACGATGAAGCACAAATGGAAATCTTCATGGAAGGGCAGGCCGGAGAACCGTCAAGTTTGTTCTTCGGGGTGGTACCTACAAAGACATTTGAAAGTTCGGCAAAAAGAGTGGGGGGGGGGGCAGTTAACATTACTGGCCCCCCCACTATGAAAAGTGGGGGGGCACTGCCCCTCCCCCGTCCCCCCGTTCCTACACCTATGGCAACGGTAGAGTAATACAACTCATATAAACGTAAACCACTCATGGACTTACACCAGGTATCTCTGTCCCTTCAGCAGAGCAAACACGCACCCCCGTTGGCCTTCTGATCGTTCAGATCGTTTTACGTAAACAATCGACTATCTGCTGACACCAAACAGATCGGTTGCCATGAAAATGCTTAGCAAGAAACCGCTTACGCCACCTGCCGCATTTAGGTGCCGCATTTAGACGTCACGCCCCGTGCGCCGTACCGTGCGGTAGTTACTGACGGAAATATCAGCTCGGATGGACGTCTAAAGTATTATCGATTGTGACAAAACTTCACATGCTGTGTTTCTTGGTGTAATGGAACATTTCTATCACTAGAGCTAATCGATTTGCTTATGATGTGTATTTTGATGCACCCTAGGGAGGGGGTTCGCTCTAACGGGTAGGTATGCCTTTGCTGTAAATGTTATGCACAAGGAGTTGTATATACAAAAAGAAAAGAATGGGCCGCTGCTCTCGATAAAATTATGACGATAATCCATTTGAAAAGAATATGTACCGTGACCGACCTCCTATCTGACTGCTGCTTTGCGTATCATAACCACAAAGGCGATGAAGTTTAAACTATCTTGTCTTTACTAAATAATTGGTCCAAGGCCCAAGCTTATATCTAAACCTTGGCACTTTTCTCCCCCCCCCCCCTCAGGTTTTGAAGCAGCCGCCGAGCGGCGCGCTCACGGCGGAGCTGATGAAAAGTTATGCTTTGATGCGCCGCCGCGAGATGGCAGGCTGGCTGGAGCTGCCCGACTCCAAGTCCAACACGCTGCGTGTGGTGCTGTCTGGAGGCGCGACGCTGCTGGTTTTTGACCGTCGCAGACCTCTAGCGCCCGCCGCCGATCTACAGGCGGTCTCAGCGGTAAGTGAAAGCAGGCTTTAAGCTCAGTTGATTTATTCCTGTGTTCCTTTCAATTAAAACTGTTTGATTTCTTTGCTTTGTGCTTATTCGCTGCCGCGCTCGTGGATTGAACATTGCAAACTTTTTAGGTATATCGCTTTAGTCTGCTGGATTTGGTTTCATCGTTCCGTGCTTCTATCCTCAGGATACTGAAATCCTTCTCCTCCACGCCGCAACCCCCCTCCGGGCTGGACAGGCAACTTTATCTCATGCGGGCTGCTCCCTTGGAGCGGCACCGCTGCTCCCGAGGGAGCGCACCCCGTAGCTGGGTGCAGAGAGTGCTTAGGGGGCTGGTCGGCCTGTCCATTCGGAAGGGCTCAGCCCCGGCGACTCTCTAGGGTGTCTGCCCAGACCAATGTCTCCCCCTAATTCCTATCATCCTTCCGGCCCTGCAATGGTCTTGTCAGACCAAAAGGGCCTAACCCAACAAAACAAACCCAACAAAACGATTTGGTTTAATAGATTGTGCGAGCGTGTTGCGTATAGATTGTGCAGTGAGTTCTGAGCCTTTAGCTTAGAACTCACTGAAGTGACCCCATTCTTCATCCCTAAACTGTTCTTCACACTGAGTTTTTAAATCGTCAGGTTCGCCGAGTGTGGCTGGACTACAACAACTGTAACAGCTCCGAGGCTGTTACCAAGCTGGGAAAGATCCACCACACCATCTACAAAAGTTAGTGACTCAGGGGCTGTGAGCCCATCATACCATGCAATTATTATGTGCTTTCATATGTAGATGCCTACAGGGAATTCATGTAATCGATCTCCTGTCTTCAAAGTCTTGAATGGATGCTGTGATCTGAGAGTACTTAGGTTCTTAGAGTAAAGTATCCGGGACTAACTAGCCCTTTGCCCACCAGCTCTAATGCGCAAGGAGCAGCAGCAGGTAGCCGCGTGTCTGCGATGGACGGACAGCGGGCATGCCCCTGACACAGCCGCAGAGCCAGACAGGACACACGCGGACGGTAGCTCGGGGCAACCCGACAGTGAGGATAGAGAGCTGAACAGTGGAGAAGGACAGGGCAGTGAGACAGGTGAACAGAGCGGGCAGTCAGATCAACAAGACCAAACCAGTGAGCCAAGCCAGGAGGAGAGCCTTTCAGGTCAACAGGAGAGTGATTCTGATCAGCAGGAAAGCTTGTCGGACCAGCAGGAGGACAGCGACTACCGCGCACAGTCGTCCAAAGCGGCCGGTAGCTCTACCCCACCGAGAGACTTCATTCATCCTGATCCCGGGTAAGACGGCACGGGGCGCGACTTCGGATGTTTCATTTTGTTGGGATGCCTTAAGTTCTGTGTGTCTTCTATGTTAACATGACATCAGTAACAGTTCCATATGTGATGTTCTTCATGTGTGTTACATACTGTGCTGTTTTGCTTCAAATCTGGATCGCCACTCTCGCCATAGGTAACGCTCTCCATCGCTCCACCCCCTGCCTCAGGCTGCGGGACCTGGTGTGGCAGCAGAGTTTGTCCCACTGCCGTGGTCTGCTACTGGACCTACAGCAGCACGGACAGCACGTCCGGGGACAGCGGGATCAGGAACAGAAGTCTGAGGAGAAAGTGGTTCCTGTCAACATCACAGGTTAGCGACTCGTGAATCACGCCGCTCGGTATCCGTGTTACTGAGTCTCGTGGCCTTGTTGTGAGGCTTCGGAAACGCTGTTACCAATACTTTCATCCATGTTTGTCACATTGTGCAAACTTTAACGTGCATATTAGCGTAGTTCATGTTATGGCAATATCTTCAACATTTTTAACCTCGTAAGAGACATCATATTCTGGATGCCTGTCTAATGTCTTCATGAATGTCATAATCGATAGTAATTACCCATCTTGTCTCTTTTTTCCCACCACCCCCCACATTTTTCTAGCCCCACATACCCAGGCAGTGACCCGCGCATTCCCCGTGCTCTCTCCCCCAGGTTTGCAGTGCGCTACCAACCGCACTCTCTCTATATACCTGCTGGACTCTGTGCGCCACGCGGCACTCGTACGGAGGCTGGGCCTGACACCGGGCGGCGCTGGAGCCGTCATACTGGACGCAGAGGTATGTTCTTGGCGTGTAGTCGACTAGGAGTGAGAATGTGATTGGTTTGGATTGTGCCTCGCTCAGTTGTTCTGAAATTAGTGCGCGTTGGCATATTTTGAATTTTCGTGGTGTGTGTCCATGAGCAACATTTTCCGAGTCCGTGCGCCAATCGCTATTTGTTGCGTTGTTTGACATCAAACATCAACGACATATTTGTCCCACCTGCGTCGGTCGCATATTTAACAGCGTATTTAGAATAGCCTTTGCGATAGCTTCATTTCACGCCATGTGACCCGTCCCTACGATACAGCCGCTCACCTTCACCTACGTTTTTGTTTGCTGAGCTCCAACCGCGGTCAACCTCTTGTCACCACATCGCCTATCACATTGCACCTGGCTCCGTTTTTAGAGTGCTTTCTAACTGTCCCCCTGTTCCTCCACAGGCAGAGAGTCAGTACGTGCTAGACGGACCGGTGACTACTGACTCCCTGAGTCAGTTCGTGGCCGACTTCACCGCTGGTCGACTCACGCGGACACTGGTATCTCGAGCTAGCATCCTTGAAAGCGAATGCAGCGGCGACGACGATGAAAGTTGTCCCTCATCGGCACCGGAAGCTTCGGTGGATAGTGGTTTCAGCTCACCGCATTGGGACTTTGAAACCGTCCCGGCCAGTGATGGTAAAGAAGACAGTGATGATGTAGAAAGGACGTCAGATCGTGATAAACCGTCAGCGGCAGATGATGCGGCGAGCGACGGAACCTGTGTAAAACCGTCACAGGTGACGTCTAGTGACGTGACATCACAGTGTGACGTTTCGTCACATTGTGATGATGTGACGGCAAATGGAGACTTTAGCTCCGAAGGTCTTTGGTCGGAAGCTGTGCGGAGGCCAACTGTTCGACCCCTGGTGGGCCCGACGGAGCTGTCGTCGGAGACGTTTAAACATGTGGCGCTCAACAGTAGTGAGGTGAGTCGTCTGGTAGAGGACGGATGATAGAATGGATAGGATGGCTGATAGAATGGATAGGATGGCTGATAGAAGGGGCTGGTGTTCGTCTTTCTTTAGGGATGTTGTCCCTCAAGTCATACGCTCGCTGGTTTTGTAAAATGCCCTTTTTTACTCGGCTGTTTTTTCGGGGGGGGGGAGGTAGGCGCATTTGGTTTTTGGGCCCGTTTCAGAGCCCTTGGATAAAAAATTGGGGAGTCATTTGACTAACACTTGTGCCTTTACGGTCTGTGATCTTTGAGCTTTTCTCAGTTTTTGGTACTTACACTCCTAAAACTCTCAATGCTCTCAGAACTTTTGGGTCGGTACCTCCTATCAGAACTTTGTGATTCAATACTCTGCCAAAAGCAATATTTGTCAGTATTTTTTTCACCACCTGTGTGGCTTGTCTGACCTTTCCCGTTCCGTTTCAGGACGTGGTGGTCTATTTCTACTCGGTTGGCTGCGGCCACTGCACTGCGTACTACCACGTGTTTCTGGCCGCCATGCGGCTGTTTGCCAACTCAGGGCTACGGTTCGCGCGGATAGATGGCGCTGCCAACGACCTGCGCTGGGAGTTCTCGCTGGAAACCTTCCCAACAATTATGTATCTTCCTGCGAAAAGGTAAGACATCTGTTTCATCCGTAAACATCCCGCCTGGATTAGCCTCAAAGCTCTGAAAATGTGTGTTTGTCGACAATTGCTCTGTGTTTTGTCGACCGGTGAAATATTTGCACGCCTGTGGCTTTCCATTCAACTTGCCTCCTTGACACGTGTCTGCAGGCATACTGAGTCGCAACTGCAAGATGCAGAGTCCACCGTTCCGTGCTTCTATCCTCAGGATACAGAAATCCTTCTCCTCCACGCCGCAACCCCCACTCCGGGCTAGACAGGCACCTTTATCTCATGCGTGCTGCTCCCTTGGAGCGGCACCGCTGCTCCCGAGGGAGCGCACCCCGTAGCCGGGTGCAGAGAGTGCTTGGGGGGGCTGGTCGGCCTGTCCATTCGGACGGGCTCAGCCCCGGCGACTCTCTAAGGTGTCTGCCCATACCAATGTCTCCCCTAATTCCTATCATCCTTCCGGCCCTGAAATGGTCTTGTCAGACCGAAAGGGCCTAACCCAAAAAAAAAACAAAGATGCAGAGAGATCGTCAAGATTGATAGTCGAGTGTTCAAGCTAGTTCTTGCACAATGCACGGTGTCCTAGGTGTAATGCTTTATAATTGTCATTACGGGGCCAAAGCCTTGTACCTTCTTGGTCATAGCCTCCAGTGACCCTAACGGCTAACTCCCCTCTCTGCGGTCGTTTCAGGAAATCCGAGAGCCGTGTGTTCCCGGCGGACCTACCAATCACCCTCGGGTATGTACTACGATTCATCCTGGCCAACGCTAGCAGCTCAGTCCGACACGCATTCTTCTACAGCCAATGCGACGCGGCGTGCCGCGCTACTACAGCTTACAAAACACGCCGACAGGCGGCGCTAGTGCGGCGGCGGCAGCTGAGTGGTGCGCGACGGACACTAACGCGACATACGGCTGAATTGGCGCGGCTAAGACGGGCGTTACTTGCCACAGCAAGGACTGAGCTGGATGATGTGTGACGTTACGTATGGAAACGTCTTATCGCGATTGGGTGGACGGGGTGACGTTATTAAAGCGCCTGGCCGTGCAGTGAAGTGATCCACTGGGGATAAACAGCGTTGTACACGGAAACATTCGAAGAACTATTACCATCAATTGAGGCTGACGTCAAAGATGTGAGAATGCTGCTATCATAGGCAGTGTAACGTCACACATCACTGTCGTCTGACGTCACTACAACGCGTCACACTCGACACTTCCGTCGGTACCACCAGATGTCAGCACCTGTCACTCCAGTTCAGGAGACTCGCATTCCATACAGGACAGTCTTCCATCTCAGCCACCAACAGGTTAGCCCCGGCAGCGTACTGAATCTTTGGACGGCTGGATACCAAAACTGACTGAAATTGTTGGACTTTCGGTTGGCTAGCTAACTGCCTAGACGGTTAGTTGGGTAACTGGCCGGCTGGTCTTTTGGCTTGCGAGTAGCTGGCTGGTTAACTGAATGTTTGGCTAGCTAGCTAGCTGGTTGGCTAGACTTCTGGCTGACTAACTGATTCAACGTTTGCACAAAGCTGTTCGACTAGCTGGACGTCCAGCCGTACGGCAGTCCACCTTGAGCTTCTTCCAGGCTAGGTACTACCTCAGCGCCCGCTTATGTCGGGTGCCCATGGCGGCGCTAGGCGAGGGGATATAAGAAAAAGCTTGGCACCTTATCCAGCTCTTCGCTCGACGGTGTTATACTAATGCCAGCCCGGGTTGTAAGCTTGATTGCAGGCTGTGGCTGGGGGCGAAAACGTGTGTTCCTTCGGTGTTTGCTGGGCATTGAATTGAACGATATTACCACCGGTTATGTGTGTTTGAGGATCTTGCCGTCCAGTTCCACTTGGGCCTGGCCTGTGGGAGTCATTTTGACGCTAATTCCGATCGGGTTGTGTGCGAAGGGAAGGTCTGACGGTTTGTAAAGCGGACCAAGCGTGTCTTGTCAGCCTGGTGTGCTGGTGTTAGCGGTTTTTGAGCTCGAAGGATGCGCGCTTAAAGGCGAGTGAATTTGTGAATGTTGGGTATTGTGGGCACCGGGTTTGAGTCTGGCCAAAACAGCACTGAAGTGACAAGGTGGCGGGTGTGGTCACCGGATTGTGCCGGGTGTTATTTCCCAACACTGGCTCGGGCACCGCGATGGGTGTTCTCATGAGAGTTTCGTGGTTGAATTTGATCACAGATCGACACAGGGATGCGGTGGGGTACGTGTTAACTGGAGGCACTTCTGTGATATCTACCACAGGCACGTATTTTTCACACCATGGCACAGTGTTGTTGACTGGTTAGTTTTGAGTTTGTGGGGCTAACACTTTTCAGGATGCTTCGTTATATCAATATCGGCTTTCCTCTAGCAGGGAAGATATAGGCTTTCCGCTAGAATGGAAGCTACCGGCTTTTACTTAGCAGGGAAGATATCGGCTCTTCTCTAGCTGGGAAGAGACTAGTTTTGTGCCGAGTTTTGCCAGTTCATCGGCCAGCGATGCGAACGAATATGTGACGGGGCGAGCTCAGGTTTTGCCTTTGGTATCTATTATCGCATCGATCTGATGTGGGCTATTTCTGGCGATATTTGGGGTTTCCAAGGGCATTTGCCTGCCACGAACTACGGTGGTAGGCCTACTTATGGGTGGCTAATGATTTGTTAAGTTATTTACGAAGACATTTATATTATTTCTGTGACTGATATGGATTGTTTGGTATATAATAAATGTTCACAATGCATTTTATTGGTATCTGTTTCTGGATTGGGAATCTAGTGCGATGAAATTATGTTTGTCTTGTGTTCTTGATCCATGATGAATTGATTATTACGCTAAAATGCGAAGCGATGCAGCAAAAATGCATTTAAACGCTAAAAACAACTCTGTTCCTGTCTGGCACAAAATTTGGAACATAAACGGCGAGCTCTCAGAGATTAATTGCACGCTCCGTGGAACAAACACTGCGTAAAAGTCAATAGCCCTTTAGTACCTGTTTGCTGTTTCGCACGCGTCTGCATACGTCTATATTGGCGTGTATTCCCTGGTCTATTTCTTGATATATTCCAACGACTTCGAGCACTGTCCGACAACATCTAACATGAGGGACGACTTTGTCGACTGTTTTTTAATTTCGCCAGTCGCTCAGTCGGTACTTGAAGCTTTTGTTTTCGGTCCATGAATAAGCTTTTGGCGTCAATTTCTTACACTCACTTCAAAGTCGCAACCATTTTCTTCAGTTGAGGACAAACTTTATTTTTATTGCAATACGAGTGGCAGTGAAAATGACGATGGTACAGCTTGCGTGGGACCTGTTCTCTTCATTTGAGCGTTAGTGTCGGTATGTGGCGTCAAGACGACGAATAAAGAAGAGACGTCTTCATGGCACCTTTCGTCGGAAGTTATGCCTTTCAAGGATGCCAGTCGATTCAGCTGAAGACGAGCTCGATGTTCGACGATGAAAAGAACTATAGCTGGTCTTCAGGTAGGTAGGACAGTCATTAGGTGTGTGTATTAAACAGCTGTCAATAAGCCAATCGCTTAACGTTTCATTCAGCTTCATGATCAAATATGTTTTATATCCATATTCCATTCATATCTTTGCTGCTCTCGATGCACGTTTATTTTCACTAAACCCTAACATATCATGCACAAAATAATTAACAATCTAGAGTGCCATTGAATTTTCACAGCTTTTGGATACCCAAAAGGCAACAAATAGCACCAGTCCTCCCTTCCCTTCTTCTTGTAGGTGAGCTGTTTGAACGGCCTCCTTCTGCTCGCGGCGTTCTTTTTCGCTCTGGCCGGCTTCTCGGGAATCTGCGGCGGCCTCTTGTACGGGACGTCCCACATGTTCACTATGGTCGGCGACGCCCACCTGGTCAACCCAGAGACGGCCTCCAGCTTCACGAAGAAGCTGGACGCCAAGTTCGACAGCTTCAGAAACAGCAGCGCAGCCAAGGGCAAGCTGCTCAAAGAGATGGGAATGATAACCTTTTACGTCACAGGTGAGACAAAAACACAAGGCTCTTTCAGCCATCTGAAGTTCTATAAAAGAGCGGTCATGGTAACAGCAATGCTTATTAGAGATCATACCTTGAGGATGTCTGTGCAATCGGTGCAATTTGCATTCAGTTTGATCTCTTTATATCATCCGTCCCCCCTGACTCACAAATCCTCTTTATCTCGTGTTCCTATGTTCCAGGCGGTCTGGCAGCACCGGGCGTCATCTTCCTGTTCTTGGCGGGCATCGAGTTCTGTCGCACGTTCATCAACTCGCTTGGTGAAGAGCCTCCGCCAGAGGTGGTCCCCGTCGCCGCTCCGATGATGCTGGAACCTCAGGAGTCTTTGACGTGCTGTGCGACCGCATGTTGTCCAGATAACGATATTTGTTGTCATATGACGTGTGCAGAACCGACGGTGGAGTGCTGCTGCTGCTGCTGCGCCTCAGTCTGCTGTCCTGACTCGGATACGTGCTGCGCTATATGATTGAGGTGAGGACTGAGGATGATGGGTATGGGGTGGCATGTATGGGTGGAGTACGGGTATGGAATGGGTATGGAGGGTTTAGATGGTGGTTGGGATAAAATGCGGGTAGAGTGTTTGACGCCGCTATCTGCCATGCCTTGGTTACGTCGTGGCGTGGATTTGACATATCGGCTTTCTGTCCGCTGAACCTACGTCCGGCATTGACCGAACCTGCATGATATGTGTTTTGATTTGTTTGTCACCATCAGTCCCCTAACTTAACGGTAGCAAAATTGTGCCTGTAATTCCATTCGATTCACTTACAATAAGCCGTAAGTGATGTTCATCAACATCAGATTAGATTGCTCCGTTTTTATGATGTGTATAATACTGAATTGCATATCAACAAACGCCACACGATCAACCAAACGATTTAAAAATGTAATTATCAGGACTCTACGGTCGACACGACATAGCAGATAAAGATGACTTCGGACCAGATAAACAATAACATTCTTATTTCTGTTAGGGCATGGTTGACATCCTTTTAGGCAGCACTAACATTGATGACTCGTTTTCCAGATCTTGCCTGGCCTACCTAGGCCCATATTCACGTCGAAGGCTAATGTGGAACCGTCAGTACGAGTCCGCTTCGTAAGATCGTGCCATGCCTGTGACTCCCTTCCTGCGATGCAGTGCGATGCCTGCGATTCAGTGAGTCAGTGATTTTTCTCAGAGCGGCCGACTTACAGTGACCATGGTTGGAAGTGCGGTGTGTTTCGTCATGTCATATGTTGGTATCAAGAAAATAAAATGCATGCAATGTGTACCTACCTTCAATGCACGCGTTTTGTAAAACAGCATTACGCGGTGTCTTCACAACGGAGACGTGAAAGAAAAGTTGCACGGCTTTTTTGATTATGAAAATAGCCTCCCATTGCGATATTTGCTTGGAGCCAATGGAACTGAGGTGTGGCCAAGGTAGCAGGTATAAGGTATAGGTACTATGGTAATTAAATTAAATAAGTAATGTATATTGGCTAGGTGATGTAGCAAATATTAGCTTTCGAAAGGTGATAAACCGCAACGCTAGATGAGAAGGAGCAAGCTAGATGAAAGTTATGTTGGTGTTAACAAGTTTACTGCTATAATAATCAATTTATTATGCAAAATGCTAGCCATTATTGGTGATAACAGTTTTGTTGAAAACCGACCTTTGGTGATTTGTTGTAGCTACTGACCCTCTAGCACTGCTCAATACATGAAGAGATTCGTCAATAAGATTTAAACGTTATACTGGAAGCATAACGTTTATCTACTTCACTCAGAAAAAGTGTCGACTCGAAAATCGCATTTTTCTCTGCGCGCCAGCGAAGAAACTCACCATGGGATCTGGAGGCATTCGGGTAAGTTTATAATATCGTGAAAGTAGCACCTAGATAGAAATTATATCAGTCATTGCCCGTTTATTGCGGCATCTTGTACTCCGAAGGACAAGTTCCGTCCTCTTGCTTCATTATTAGTAATGTAAGAGATAACGTTACAACTTACAAGACGGGTCTTCCGTGTTGGTCATTGATTAGCAGCCAAGTGATTGATATGGTCCTGTCGCTGAGGCACCTGGGATCCGAGACCTTTCACATTTCGACATGGTGATGATCTCGGAAATCGATAATGTTGAGTGACAGCTTCGATATGTACATTTGTTCACTAGCGACATAAAGCTGGCATGCCTAAACATTTTGTGCAGTTCATTTTAGTTCATGTATCCCTGTTGTTAACCTTTTTATCATTCTATTCAACATAAAATTCGTATAACGTGTGACGTTTAGGTAGGTAGGTAAGGTAGGTAAGTTTAGCCTTTAGGTCTTCCATTTTCAATCCCGATTGTTTTGCACTCTATGCAGAGGCGACAACTGGTCGCTCTTTGACGTTGACTGGGCCAATACGCTCCTTGACAGGCCAGCTGCCAGTCCACGCTCTGTATCCTGGCCGGTATCGCTCTGGGGATCGCCCTGCTCTGTCTTCTTAGTGGCGGCATCCTCTACGGCATCGCCAAGGCGTTCACGGGCGTCTCCAACGTCCACCTAGTGAACCGCACCACGGCCTCCAACTTCACCAAAGGCATGGACGACAAGCTGGACAACATCCGCGAGGGAAGCGCCGAGAAGGCCGTCTGGTTCATGGAGAAGGCGCATGAGATGTTCTACGCCACAGGTGAGACCCGGCTTGGACAGTTTCTCGGGATCTCGAGGTTTCCCAGTTGTTCCAGACGGCCTTATGCTGCAGAACTGGTAACTGACCATTACGATTTTAGTTTGTAAAGTTGTTAGATTTATTCCAGCCCTACAATGCCATTTATTTACCGCGTAAGTCAGGAATGTCCAGTGGATTCCCCCAGGTTTAAACGACTGAGTGAACATCGCACACTTCAATGTGATTTTACAAGGGATATCACCACCTGGATCATAAGGCATATTCACTCTCCCGATAGACGTTCAACTTCTCGGCCTTTCGACCTTCCATCCCCATTCCTCACATTCAATCCGTCACACGTCTCTCACCGGGGTCACCGCTGCCTCCAGGATCACTGGTGCTCCCATCTTCTGCAGGTGCCTTCGGTATCGCCTGCGTGGTGTTCCTGCTCCTCTCCTGCGTGGTGGCCTACAAATCCCGTCCGACTCTAGCTCCTCCCATCATAGCCGACCCCTTCGCTGCGGACGAGGAGCCTCCACCGCCTGGCGGCGAAGAGGACGGGGCTACATCTCCAGTGCCGCCGGCGGGGTCACCGTTGCCTCCAGGATCACCGGTGCCTCCTGGGTCGCCTGTTCCCCCAGGGTCGCCAGTGCCTCCCGCCTCACCGCCGCCGCCGGACCGTGCCGCTAGCCCTGTGGCGTAGATGATGAGGAAGCTGAAAAGAATAGACTGAACGTGCTGATCGCTCCGCCAGCCCTGTAGCGTAGATAATGAGGAGGCCAAAGGGACTGACCATGCTGCCTCAGTGAGGTGAATTGGGTTAGAGAGGATTGGTTAGCGGGGTATCGCATTGGGAAATGGGATGTAATTTGTGAAGAGCTTGTAAAAAGAGGAGGAGCGGCGAGGTTTTGCCGGATGGATGCTAAGATTAGATCGAGAAGACGCCTACGATGAGAAAACCCGAAAGACAGCTCGGGCGGCTGGGTTGGTTAATCCTCAGCTGTATGGGGAACGTAAATGTTCGGTTACTTGAATACGCAGAAACGCTTAGATTAGGAAAAGTTCGCAATTTTATCATAGCAAATGATAGTCATGGGACCATAAGACTCAAGAGATGCTTGGCGCAGGTAATGAAAATAAATGCTAAGGAAATGTCGATTTGCCGTCTTGTAGCATGCGGTGCCTTGTTGATTTACAGACGGTGATCCGTCGCTACTGTCCTCTCCTGGTCTGTCTACAGGAGACGAAGCTGAAGCCAGAGCATCACCTACATTTCAAAGGGTATTCCATTTTCAGGAAGGACCTGGATACCGACTCAGTTGCTCACGGTGGTGTTCTCGTGGCTGTCAGCCATAGAGTTTCGACGAGACCAATCCCGGTCAGATCCCCGCTTCGAGCGGTCGCTGTTCGGGTGGCTCTCGGTCACCGGGAGCTAACCTGTTGTTCACTGTACTGCCCACCAGGGGAGTCTCTCCCTGTGCAGGATCTTCGTATGTTACTTGCAGAGCTACCTCAGCCAGTTTTGATTCTAGGCGATTTTAACTCTCACCACTCTGCATGGGGATGTCAGACAGTTTGCACCCGTGGTCGACTTTTAGCATCTTTTATTGGCGATGAGGACTTATGTGTCCTTAACTCCGGTGCTCCAACTCATTTTACTCTACCTTCTGGTCAGACATCAGTTCTAGATCTCAGTCTTAGCAGTCCGCAGCTCGTTCCTCTTTTCACGTGGCGCGTTGCTGCGCACCCAATGGGCAGCGACCATTTTCCGATCTGGCTGGACCTCCGGGAGCATGGCTCAGTTGGCTGTCGGCCACCCAGGTGGAACTTAACGAAGGCAGACTGGACCGAATTCGAGGCGAGGCTGACAGAGTCATTCTCAGATGTTCCAACATACAGTTTGTCGGTCGATGATTTCACGTCTAAACTCGTCGAGGCTGCCGAAGCCTGCATACCCCGCAGTTCCGGTATGCCCCGACGACCACCAGTTCCGTGGTGGAGTGATGCCTGTTCTGATGCAATTCGTGCCCGAAAGCGTGCCTACCGTGCCTTTCAGCGGAATAGTTCCACGGCCAACATGATAGCTTTTAAGAGAGCCAGAGCGGTTGCCAAACGCACTATCAAAGAGGCCAAGATCTTATCTTGGAAGCGTTATGTCAGCACTCTTAATCGTTTTACTCCAATCGGCGAAGTATGGTCGCGCATAAAGCGCATCTCGGGCCGGCACTCCTCTGTACCCTTACCCGTGCTGAAGGTAGATGGAAGGGACATCATGGAGCCAAACGCCGTTGCTTCGGAGATAGGCCGCGCCCTCTATCGGCGGTGTGGTGACGAGTCCCTCGACGAATCCTTTGTCAGGCACCGCTCGTCTAGTGAAGCTTCTGGGGTCAATTTTAGCACCTCCGACGTTTTGAGCTACAACGATACTTTTACAATGGTTGAGCTCAAATCAGCTATAAGCTGTCTTAAATGTGTCGCAGAAGGCCCGGATTCTGTCCACAATGAGATGCTTCGCCATCTCCCTCCGGTTGCTCTGGATGCTCTCCTTCAGGTGTTCAACCTCCTATGGATGACGGGTGTTTACCCAAACTCCTGGCGGGAGGCAGTTGTCATCCCTGTTCTGAAAGCAGGGAAGAGCGGTTTGGACCCTCTGCACTACCGGCCAATTGCGCTCACATCCGCCCTTGGAAAGCTGTTGGAAAAGCTGGTGAATATCCGACTTACCTGGCATCTGGAGCGGCACGGACTTCTTGCCAATTCTCAGTGTGGTTTTAGAAAGCACCGGAGTACTGTCGACCACGTTCTTACTCTTGACTCAGTTGTCCGCTCGAATTTTAAACAAGGCCGTCAAGTAGGCGCCTTGTTCTTCGACATTGAAGCAGCGTATGATACCACTTGGCGTTTCGGTATCTTACAGAAGCTGCATAAGCTAGGCATTCGAGGCACGATGGGTCATTTTCTAAGCAGTTTTCTTGGTGATCGTTTCTTCCGTGTTCGAGTGGGCAACCAGTTATCTGAGCGGTTCGCCCAGATTAATGGAGTCCCACAAGGCGGTGTGCTCAGCGTGACGCTTTTTGGTGTCATGATCAACGACATCGAAAGAGTCCTTTCGCCAGCCATCGGCCGCGCTCTTTACGTCGACGATTTCGCTATTTGGTGCAGTGCGGCGTCGACCCGGTCAATGGAGCGACAGCTGCAGATGGCAGTCTCTCGAGTGGAGGCATGGGGCAAGGAGAACGGCTTCCGGTTCTCCTCTGCAAAGACGGTGGGCATGCAGTTTTCCCGTAAGCGTCGCCCCACTGCACCCATGGTGGTGAGGCTCTACCGTGAAGCCATACCAGTGGTTGCGGAGGCCAAGTTCCTTGGCATGACTCTTGACTGCCGACTCACATACCGAAGTCACATAAAGTGTCTCCGTGACAGATGTTTTAAAGCTCTTGACATTCTGAAGTGTGTTGCTCGCACGTCCTACGGCGCTGACCGTAGCACGCTACTCCTTTTGTATCGGTCTTTGGTGCGGTCCCGTCTGGACTATGGATCTTTTATCTATGACAACGCTGCATCCTCATCCAAGATTATCCTTGACACTGTCCACCACGCAGCGATTCGCATTGCGACTGGTGCTTTCCGAACCACTCCTGTCGTCAGCTTGCTAGCTGAGGCGAACGAACCCCCTCTGGCCTTACGAAGGCTGATGTTGGGCATGCGATACGCCATCAAACTTCGTCAGTTCCCTTCCCATCCTGCTCACGGACCGGCTTTCTCCAGGTCGCTCTTAGCAGTCTTTGATGGCGACGAGAGGAGCCGCTCTCGAGTTTTCTGCACCCGAACGGCCGATCTCCTCCGAGATTGTGGTCTAAACACTCGGGACATCATGCGAGGTGTTATCCTCCCTGAACCGCCTTGGAGGTTATCTGTCCCCTCTGTGGACCTAACCCTATCAGGCACACGGAAAGACCAAATTCTGCCTCTGGCCTTCAAGGCGAAGGCATTGGAACATATTGAATCATATTCAGGCCATGCCGTGGCATACACCGATGGGTCCAAGTCGGACCTCAGTGCTGGCTGTGCCTTCGTCTGCGGCGACGCTGTGCGATGTTTTACTTTACCTAAACATGCATCCGTTTTTACCTGCGAATTGGTCGCCGTCCTCAAACTTTTGTGTTTTATCCAGATTCATCCCGCTCGGTCATATCTTGTCCTCTCCGACTCATTGAGCGGACTCCAGTCCTTGACACAATTCTATCCACTTGACCCCCTCGTACAGGAGATTCTTCTCCGTTTGACGGCTCTCGACCGAGAGGGTACCTCAGTGACTTTTTGCTGGATTCCTAGCCATGTTGGTATAGCTGGCAATGAGCGGGCGGACCGTGCTGCGAACCATGCGGCGCGGCAGCCCTGCTTCCGCCGGTTCCCTCTACCGGCCAGGGACTTTTTCCCTGCGGTGAGCTCATTCTTCCGCGGAAAGTGGCAGGAGGATTGGAGCAAATGTCAGACAAACAAGCTGCTACGCATCAAACCGGGTTTGGCAACCTGGTTGTCTGCGTCGCGCAAGTCGCGTCGAGAGGAGGTTATCCTCTGTCGGCTTCGCACAGGGCACACTTTCGGTACCCATGGACACCTTATTGGCGTCGGCCCTAGACCTGTTTGTGCGAGATGTGGCGACAGACTTTCCGTCCGACACGTTTTTCTGGAGTTTCCGAGACTGGAAGCTGAGCGGCTGAGGTTTCTGGGCCTGCGCGGAGCCCAGCTTTCTTTGAGAGCAGTCTTAGGTGACGAGTCCTCTTTGCTAGACTCTTCTCGTCTCTTTTCGTTTATTGCGGCCTCCGGCCTTCAGGTGATTTTTAACGCCCGACACTGAGGAATTCAAATAAGAAATGGGCGCGATATATCCTCGCAGCTGGTGCGCCCTGTCACTCCAAATCATCATCATCATTGTAGCATGCGGTATCATAGCTGTGTCCTAGACTGCGACAAAGGGACCAAGACAGAGCAGCGAAAGGAACAAATCGCATACAGACTGCAAAGCTTTTATAACCTACCACTGATATTCGCTGATTCCACGTAGTTTCAATGGCTCAACATTTGCCATGTCACCCCTGTCAATTGACAGCAGCTGTGACAGCCGACTGTCATGTGGCTGTTCCGTGTCTCCCGTCACCGAGCTGCCACAATGACAGCCCGTTGCCAAGGCATCCTCATGACCGGGCTGCCATCATGACACAGCTGAATCGCCCTTCATATCAAATCAATGTCAGTTTTAGCCCGGTATAGTTGGGCAACTGAACGGATTCCGGCCTATACGAGCGACAGTACTGCAACGACCAACACCTCTGGTTAGTGATACCGTCAGAGGCAGAAATTGTGTGTTTTCTGCGGTATGTAGGGGCTTTGCATTGCTAGGCGAAGAACTTGAGTACTATTGTGACCTTTCCAAGGCTATGAGATGGGATAAAGAGATAAGGAGAAGACATGGTTAATTAACCGAGAAAATAACTGGCAAGTGGCAGTTCTCGCTATCAGTTCGCTGTTAGTCGTAGAACAATAATTGGTGCCAGGGATTCGTACAACCGTGGTACAACCTTTGTCAAACATTCTTTGCGATTTGATTCCTAGCGATGATATTCATTTCCTGTAATTTGTATTGCCAGCAGAGCAATTTACTGAACTCAACTCGACTCCACGCCGGTTCCAAGATGGCTGCCGTCTGGCTGTCACTGCTACTGCTGTGTGTCGGGCAAACCAACATCATCGCTAGAGCAGCAGGCGCCTGTGTTCAGAGTGGCGTCATCAATGAGAAATCTGTCTGGAACCAGGGGATGAGCGCTAACCTCAACATGAAGTTTCCGTCAGCAGTGAACAGTTGGAGGGTAACCATGACGTTTGACCGCGCTCTCACCAACTTTGAGACATGGTCTGCGACGCCATCGACATCCAACAATGTCGTTTACACGCTGGATAATCTCCCTTACAACGGGAACCAGCCAGCTGGGGCCTCGCTGTCCATTGCTTTCAACGCTCACTTTGCCAGCAAAGCTGAGGTCATCAGTGTCAAGATGAACGGCGTCGAGCAATGTCGAGGAGGTGTAGCAGGAGCAGGAGGGGCTGCAACTACCACAACCACGACCACTACGACCACGACTCCAAGCACCGGCTCCAACAACCCTCCATCATCCCTCCCCTACGACTACCAAGAGGTACTAAGGAAGTCTCTGCTGTTCTACGAGGCCCAACGTTCGGGTCGTCTACCATCAAACAACAGGATCCCTTGGCGAGGTGACTCGGCGATGAACGACCGAGGAGAAAACGGGGAGGACCTAACCGGCGGCTACTACGACGCCGGCGACCGCGTGAAATTTGGCCTCCCGATGGCGGCTTCCATGACCGTCTTAGCTTGGGGCGCCATCGACTTCGCCAGCGGGTACGCCGGTGCCGGACAGAGCAAGTACGTCAAGCAGGCCGTCAAGTGGGGGACCGACTACTTCATCAAGGCGCACGTCGGCTCCACGGACTTCTACGGTCAGGTGAGGAACTTCAGGGGGACGTGGTTGATGGCACGAGGTTGAGAAATATGTGATAACGATCTCTCATTTATCTAGCGACTGTGTGATTCTTTGTTCATCTGAGGTAGCTGAGTCTTAGTGTAAACGCTGAGTCTCAATCTGACAGTCCCGTGTTCCCCTGACAGTGCGGTAACGGTGATACGGATCACGCCTACTGGGGCCGAGCCGAGGACATGACCATGAACCGTCCGTGCTACAAGATCACGGCTTCTAAGCCCGGCTCCGACCTGGCCGGCGAGACGGCTGCCGCTCTTGCCGCTGCCTCCATCCTCTTCAAGACCTCGAATCCCAGTTATTCGGCCACCTGCTTGCAGCACGCAAAGCAGATGTTCCAATTCGCCGACAGACATCGTGGCAAGTACCAGGACGCGATCCCAAACGCCGGTAAATTTTACAGGTAAGATATCAGAATGGAATGACAAATAACAAGAACCATCAACTTTTGATGGTCCCGACCCCAATGATTCGAGCCGATAGTTTGTGCCAGTATATGCCACATCTAACGTGCTATTCATATTTCGTACTGTTTCTTCTGAAACTCATTTATGTCTACTCTATATAGTTCCAGTGCCTTGATCGCTTCGGGTTTATAGGACTCTGGTCACTTGTTCTGTAACGCTTCACTGGCTTGACTTTTCTTCTTCCATCAGCTCCAGTGGTTACGGCGACGAGCTCGCGTGGGCAGCAGCCTGGTTGTACCGCGCTACCAACGACCAGACTTATCTGGACAAGGCCAAGGGCTTCTTCCAGGAGTTCTCCGACTTGAGCGGACGTCCCAGCGAGTTCTCTTGGGACAGCAAGCACGCGGGTGTTCAGCTCCTCATGTATCAGCTCACGGGTGAATCCTCTTATGGATCCATGGTCACCCAGTTCTGTGACTGGGTCAAGAACAACGCACCTCGCTCGCCCAAGGGCATGGTCTATCTGAACCAATGGGGTTCCCTCCGACACGTGGGAAACGTGGCCTTCATCTGCCTAGTTGCCGCCAAGAAGGGACTGAAGTCCAACGCCTACGAAAACTTCGCCATCCAGCAGCTCAACTACATCCTGGGAGACGGCGGGCGCAGCTATGTGGTCGGCTTTGGCAAAAATCCTCCCGTACGGCCTCACCACGCCGGGGCCTCGTGTCCGGACGCACCGGCGCCCTGCGGCTGGGACCAGCTACACACCTCGGAGCCCAACCCGCACGTGCTGTACGGCGCTCTGGTCGGAGGACCCGACCAGTACGACGCGTACGAGGACAAGCGAAGTGACTACGTCAAGAACGAGGTAGCATTAGACTATAACGCTGGCTTCCAGAGCGCCATAGCCGGCGTTTTGTCTCTCTAATAAATATTCTGCGAACTGCCAACAACATGAGATGGAGATCGTTACGAGCTGAAGACTCTTGGAAAATGATGAGATGACGTTTGTTAAAAAATTAGGATGCTGAATGGTTTGGCGTTGATGACTAGATAAGTGAAACTTTTTTAAATATAAAGGTACTGTATTATAGAAAGCCTGAAGGCTTTCTATAATACAGTACCTTTATATTTAAAAAAGTTTCACTTATCTAGTCATATATGTCACAATGAACGTTCAACATTTGGCGTTGATGTTAGTTGTGAACGATGCTTGTACTACGACGTACTGTTGGCTGAACAGTCACGTTTCGTCTTCTCTTGTTCAATGCTAGCAAATACAGATATCTAAAGGTATTCAATGTTTTACTGGATATCGGAGATTTGTCAATGAGACATACACAATGCACCATGCACACTGCACAGCGCATCCCTCCTTGTATTCTCGGCAAATTCAAAAGAAAACATGTCAGTGGCCCACAGTTTTCAGCCTGCCCCTGCCTTGCCTCCCTCAAACTCAACATATGCAAAGAGTGGAAGGAATGCTTTTTAGCGATGTCGCTGCTACTCATCGTCTTCCAACGCCAAGCGTACGTTTATTTACGTTTATAAGACGCCTTTATTGAACATGTTCTTGGCTGTATGCATTGAGGGAAAGATTATCAGGCGATGAAACGGAGATGTGTAGCTCTCACGGTTTACCCGCAGCTCATGATCGTTAAAGATCAACCACCCTGTTGACATTTATTGGTAAACGAACATCCCCTAAATAACTTGGGCAGGCGAACTTGAACAGTTTTAAATGCATTTCCAGGGCGACCACAGGTCACAGCGATATCACAATGTGCCCACAGTTTCAACCGTGGCATCACCCAAGTTAGTAGAGGGACAGAACACCGGCGATGGCGCTCTGGAAACCAGCGTTGTAGTCGCACGCCACCTCGTTCTTGATGTAGTCGTCGCGGTTGTCCTCGTAAGCGTCGTACTGGTCGGGTCCGCCGACCAGCGCGCCGTACAGCACGTGCGGGTTGGGCTCCGAGGTGTGCAGCTGGTCCCAGCCGCAGGGCGCCGGTGCGTCCGGACACGAAGCCCCGGCGTGGTGCGCGCGCACCGGAGGGTTGTTGCCGAAGCCGACCACGTAGCTGCGCCCGCCGTCTCCCAGGATGTAGTTGAGCTGCTGGATGGCGAAGTCGTTATAGGCATCAGAGTTGAGCCCGTTCTTGGCGGCACCCAGACAGATGAAGGCGACGTTGCCCACGTGCCGGAGGGAGCCCCACATATTGAGGTAGACCATGCCCTTGGGAGAACGCGGCGCTTCGTTCTTGACCCAGTCACAGAACTGGGTGACCATGGATCCATACGAGGAGTCACCCGTGAGCTGATACATGAGAAGCTGAACACCCGCGTGCTTGCTGTCCCAAGAGAACTCGCTGGGACGTCCGTTCAGATCGGAGAACTCCTGGAAGAAGCCCTTGGCCTTGTCCAGATAAGTCTGGTCGTTAGTAGCGCGGTAGATCCAGGCCGCCGCCCACGCGAGCTCGTCACCGTAGCCACTGGAGCTGGAAAATAGAGAGATTACGGAGTTTTAGAGCCATGCTATAGCGAAAAGCAGTAAGCTGTTGTAACAAAAAGTGAGGACCTTTCACCCGAAGATCTCATGGTTGGCAGTGAATTCCCTACTCTTGACAACAGGTTTGGGTTGGTAGTTGGTACAGAGCTACAAGTGCTTTCTATTTGTCATCCTGCCCACCAATGGAACTGGGAAAAATTCAGCAGTGGCCGGGGGCGTGTCAACATCAGGTTCACGGCCACTAGTCATGAGAGAGACGCATGATAAGATTTGAAGTGAGGCCCAGGAGTGTGAGAATTGAGCACCTGCCTCATATGATAAGCCGAATGTATGTGGCATTTACGTTCCTTATATATTTAAGACCTTTGTAACGCTTTGTCTCGGATGTTAGGTATAAAGTAATGCACTGTAGCAGTTAAAATTGAGGCATGGCGCTCTAAAAGGAATGGATGAGACTTACGGCCTTATAAAACCACCTGCTGTTATAGAAACCTGCTGAAGAAGCATATTTTACAGCCGTTTGTTGATTTTGTGCCGATTTCACTAACCCGTAGAAGTTGCTGGCGTCCCAGATAGAATCCTGGTACTTGCCACGATGTCCGTCAGCGAACTCAAACAGCTGCTTAGCGTGCTGTATACAAGTGTCAGAGTAGCCGGGATCAGAGTCCTTGAAGAGGACGGCGGCAGCGGCGAGAGCGGCAGCCGTCTCTCCGGCCAGGTCAGAGCCCGGTCCGCCAGCCGTGATCTTGTAGCCGGGACGGTCCATGTTCATGTCCTCAGCGCGGCCCCAGAAGGCGTGATCGGCATCTCCGTTGCCACACTGCGAAGTACAACACAGTATGCGGGACAATCAGTTTGAGACCCTTAATCCTCACACTCAAAGGAATCTGCCTCAGATGAAGAAAGAGTCGCACAGCTCCCGGAAAAACTTAAACGAACATTTGCCCAGATTTCTGAAACGTCAGCCCTCAACAACGTCCCCTCACCTGACCATAGAAGTCTGTGTCACCGACATGCGCCTTGATGAAGAAGTCGGTTCCCCACTTGACGGCCTGTTTGACGTAGTTGCTCTGTCCGGCACCGGCGTAGCCGCTGGCGAAGTCGATGGCGCCCCAGGCCATCACCGTCATGGAGGCCGCCATCGGGAATCCGAACTTGACGTGGTCGCCGGCGTCGTAGTAGCCGCCGGTCAGGTCCTCGCCGTTCTCTCCGCGGTCGTTCATCGCCGAGTCGCCGCGCCACGGGATCCTGTTGTCAGGAGGCAGAGGGCCAGAGCGCTGGGCCTCGTAGAAGAGGAGGGACTTCTCGAGCACCTCCTGGTAGTCGTAAGGTAGTGGTGGAGGAGGCTTGGTGGGTCCTTCGGTGGGTCCCCCGGTCGGCTGGGGCTGGGTCGGGCCCGTCGGCGGCGGCAGCGTGGTGCCTCCACCTCCGCACTGCTCGACGCCGTTCAGCGTCACGCTGGTGACCTCAGCCTTGCTGGAGAAGTAGGCGTTGAAGGCGATTGAAAGCTCGGCTCCAGCCGGTTGGTTCCCATCGAATGGCGCGTTGTCCAAGGTATAGAGAACGTTGTCCGTAGTTGAGGCAATGGCTTCCCAGGTCTCGAAGTCAGAAAGTGCATGGTCGAAGGTCATCTTCACTTGCCAACTAGTGACAGCGCTCGGGAACTTGATGTTGAGGTTGGCCGACATGCCCTCGTTCCAGACGGTGTGTTCGTCGATGATGCCCTTTTGGGCGCACGCTCCCGTCGCACTGACAACATCTGGCGCGAAAACAGCTGCCAGTAGCGGCAGGAGCAGCCCAGCGACCGCCATTTTGGAACTGACGGCAAAGTAAAATGATTATGAAGCTGCCACCGCCGCATAATCCATAAGTTGTGTCATAAACTTATGCGTAAATATATTTTTCCAGACATCTAGCGCTTGTATTTTCCCGTTGTGCAAATTTAGCCGTTTTAGTAGATAAGGGCTGTTTTTTTAAAGCGTTCCAAAAACTCCATTGAAGCCCATAGCCTACCTTTTTAACTTTTGAGGCTAACATAACTGTGAATCCTCGGGCGATTAGTAGGTGATTGAGTTGACTTAGGTATGTTGGAAAACAATCCCACAGTGATGGCAATAAATGCACAACCCAACTATTTTATGCTTTGAAACAGTCTAAAGACGTCTTAGATGCTGTCCGTCTATGTAAAAGATGCATATTATTTTAATTGAAACAATGTAGACAGAAACAAAATACATACCAAGCTCCAAAAGGTCCCTTGAAATTAATGGTACACCTTCGCTTACCTGATAGTGTAGGGGCCCCGCGATGAGTCCGTCCCCACGGAGTCCTGAGGCGTCAAACAGTCGAGCCCTCTTTATACGCGGCAGGACGCCCGGCGCATCTGGGCAGCTCCCATGGCTCGTGGGAGCCGGTCACCGAACGAGAGTGTGCCATCGTATAGTTGCACTCCAGTAAGGTCGTGCGCCCGAAGTCCTCCGCTGCTGAATCGTGGAAGCTATTTAAGGAGATGGAAGCTTTCTTCCGCCGGAGCTTGCATACATATAATAAGTAACTCGACATTCATATTTGATGATGTAAAGGACGACAGACAGTGAAAGAACTGTGAGAGAAATGAGAGCGGTGAAACAGGACGACATAGCTTCACCGATCCCAGATTCTCTTCTCCAGCGCGAACCGAGAAGCGCCAGGGGTGTTGGATGGGCTTCATTACACAACACTAGACAGGGGCGTTGTCGATCCTCTTCGCCAATCAGACGTTCTCGAGATGGGGGCTCGCGCACGCCAGGTGTCATCAAGAGCTGACCTTCAGGAGGTGGCGCCGGGCTGGGTCACGTGCCGGGGGAGTGTCGCACGAAAACACGATAAACGTGTGTACCTACACACGCTGCCTTCCGGGAACACTGCGGCGAGATGTGAGCCGCGTTCATCGACAGCGTAGGAACTTAACAACACTTGATTCGTGGCGAACTTTACATTCCCGGCTAAGAATCGATATTTCGCATCTAAGCGTAAAACTAAAAAAATGGATTGGTTAGAAGAGGCTTTAACTTTAGCAGTTTCCGAAATATTACTTTTTCAGCTCGGTGTATAAGGCTGCCGTATCATTTGAAAATCGTTCGTTGCTAAAATTGTCTAATTTGGACATGTCACTCTCATATTCATTACGGCAGTAGTCAAAAGGCATCAGCAGTTGCAAGTCATTGCGGTCCGTTTCCAGAGCGAACCGGTTCGGGCATCTCATAGGAAGTCGGATTCCTACGTACCTATAGCGGGAAAAAGCGGCGGTGGTGTGACAGCTCCGACGGAGATGACCTTTGCTGAATATAGATCAACAACGATGATGTATGACAACTGTATATCTTCTCAATTTACCTGTTTGTCTTTTCCTACATGCCGGGGTATGTCTTAAGCACAGCACGAGCCGGGCAGTAAAACTATGACCAAGAAACTGTCGGTGTCAAAATGCCATGTTATTTGATAGGGCCGGGCAGGAAACAAAAGTTTACTGCCCGGGTTTACTGCCCAGGGCAATGACCTCTAAACTACAGTTTATCGCATTAGCCCAGAGGTATAATTGATAGGAAATGTATAATTGATATCATTATTGCATGATATTTGCCGCGTAAGATTAGAAAACCAACATTTTTTTGTAAAAAATATCTGCTCTGCTTATCAAGGGGTTTGAAATACTTTGTATTGGTTACAAAGCCGAAATTATGGCAAGATATGCTTCTATTAATCGAAATCCGTTATCGCTTGTTTCTTATCTTCATTTGATATGTCCACTGATACCTTGGGCGTAAGTTATTGCGTTATTATTTGACGGTTGTAGTCCTTTCCTCAAAACAAACATGTAAAATATGGAAAATATAATGTATTTCACGAAAGTTTAGCCATAGGTCATCAACAAAGTACGATCACATAAATAAAGAAAAGATTCTTGCAAGAGCACTGGAAAATTCACGTTTAATCACTAGGAATATTATACCTTCTACCTTCTTCTTGTTCTTATGTCGTGGCAAATTATTCATGCATGATGTTCCTTGGATATCCAATTGTTGTGCCATTCTGAGTTGATATTTTCAGACGCGATTCTTTTTGAAGTGAGGTATTTTGATGCATTTTCTTCTATAAATTTCCTTTCAAGCTTTATCCACAGCAGTAGCGCAATCACCATGTTCGGAAATTATGGACAAAACAATTGTATAAAAATGTCACCAAAACGACCAAAACCTGTCGAAACTACTTAGCAGGTATGCGGCATGTAGGAAAAATCTTACTGACCTCAGCCGTACGAAATTATTTGGAAACTCGGCTTGCAAAATTAGACTCCGGCCCTCGTGCTCCGCACTCGGGCCTCCGTCAATTTTGCAAACCTCGTTTCCAAATAATTTCGTCGGCCCGGTCAGTAATATATAGTCATGCCTTTGGCGGTTATGGCTTTAGGTGTTACCGACATATATGCTATAAGAGGCATCCACAGGCGCGTCGATGAAATTTTCATGGCAAAGGTAGGCAGAGGCTATGTTTTTATGATATTTTGTTTGAATCTCCAATTTGAAATACTTATCTCCAATCTCGGACATTCGGATATTTCCTTTTTATATCAATAAGAAACCACTCAAGCCGGGAATTCACTAAATAATTCCTACTCATTTTTTTAGACAGACATTACCTATATTTATTCTGTAAGTCTTTATTTGTGCCCGTCTGTTGCCTTCGCTTCCCTTCCAACACGACATAGCTAACGGTATTACCTATAACAACACGGATTGCTCAACCTTGATATACCACATCCGGGTGGCGAGCGCATCAGTGCACCCTTTGACACCTGTACCACCCGCAGTCCAAGCTCGCGCTCACCGAAACTACCGGCGTAAACACATCACTTAGCGCCGGCGTCGGATGAACCCAAGCGCGCTAGGTGTTCCTCCACGACGCGTAGTTCATTCGCCGGATCATTCGTTCTGCCACGCCCCCCCCCCCTGCTCTGGTTTCAAGGCTACATCACGCCTCACGCTCCAGCACGAGGAGTCTTGGTCGTGACAATGGTCGCCCCTCCCTCCCCATGGGACGGGCAGTTCGGCTTCATAGACCCGAGCGTCTGGAAATCCCCGTGGCGGTGTAGCGTTCGTCCCTTCCTGAGCGTGCTCTATTGCAGTCACGACTTGGGCGCGGGTGGATGGGGAAGAGTAGGGGATGAGAGAGAGAGAGAGAGAGAGAGAGAGAGAGAGAGAGAGAGAGAGAGAGAGAGAGAGAGAGAGAGAGAGGAGAGAGAGGAGGGAGTAGGCTGATCTGGGCGTGGGTGAATGAGAAGGAAAGAGGGAGAGAGGAGGAGTGGGAGCAGCGGGGCGCCGGGAGGTACTTTTCATCGAACACTGCACCGGTTACAGCGAAATCGACGCAGTAAAACCGCTGCGTCTGCCGTGGAGGCGCTGGTCTCAGGTCTGGAACTCGATAAGTGACATCATAACAGTCGATAGGTATAACAGATGACTGGGAGCTGGACTGATCCTGCGTTGCTCGTCTGGTTGATCTCAAACATTTCGATAGACATTTCGCGATAGAAAATGTGATGCGAAATAACTGAACCATGGTTGTTTGTTACATAGTGCATTGATGAATACCAGGACCAAACAATGCTGCATAAAATCACCCATTGACTTTTACACTTGAAACGAACTGTTCCCTCCGGCTCGTTCATTATGCCCATCAATGCTGTTAACCCTATTAGTGGCAGGCTCCTGGCTACCCCTATTAGTGGCAGGGGGGGGGGCTGTTTACGACCCCCCCCCCCCTTGATATCTCGAGATCTAACGGGCCGATTTTCAAAATTCAAACGGCATTCGATTTCGCTCAACGAGATCTACATTTCTAAAAAAAAAAATGTCATTAGGGGGGGGGGGTAGAGGGGGGTAAAAACGGGCAAATTGCAGATACATTTTAGACTGTTTCTCACGGCCAGGTTTCTGAACCAATCTTAACGCAACTTTTGCCGATCGATAGAGAATGAACCAGGAATTCACATGGATCCTGAAAATATGCATTTTCAAAAATCATAGGCGGATACAGATCATTGAGATTGGGGGTACACAAAAAGTATAGTAAATAAGGTTTTTGTTGGTACTGTTTCTAAAAAGGGTGGCAATGGTCTTGTTATGTTACAATTTTCTTATGAGAGAGCGACTAAAATTGTATTGGTCATGCATAGGCGGTGTCAGGGCACCTATGTTGGGAGGTAAAAAATAACCCCCCTTTTTGGACGCCTGGATCCGCCTATTAGGTATAGCAAAAACGTGTCAAAAGAGGATGCACAATAACTTTGTATATGTTATCACATGATACCTTTCATTCACTGTTCGTAAAACTGGTGCAGCATCGTGATCTTCGCCCAAATGACTCGCTTCACGAATAGGACCCCCCAATTCCCAGTGCTCTGGAGCCGCCCCTGGTAAAGTTATGAACTTGAAATTTTCAGGGAATGTGCCCAATTTAGTTTTAGGAAAAGTCAGAAAATTTCAGCATCGTAGCTTCTGCGGTTTCGGAGATATTCCCGAAAAACCTGAGGGGTGGATAAAAACAACCCCCCCCCCCCCCCTGCCACTAATAGGGTTAAGCGTTAACAATTCGATAATTTCAATAACTGCTCGCTATGACCAAGCGAATTCATGAATTAGAGAATTCAGAGCTGTGGAATGAGTCATGACGAAGTTAAGGATGGACGATGTAAGTACAGTTGTGGACACGACTCCTGCTACCAGTACCGTTTGTGTGTGATTCGAGGTGTGTCCGATGTCCATGAGCTGTCACGATTTCGCGTCACGCGGGCTGAGGGCGTCACATCCGGCGGCCCGCGGAACTGCGTCACGACGGACGGAAGCGCCAGTGCCGTCGTAAAAAAAAAAAAAAAATGGTGAGCGTCGTAGAGGAGCGGCCAGCCGACAGATCGGTTTGCCGTCCGGTCGGAGTGGTTTGAGCAGTACCGAAGAACGGCCAACGGTCTCAAGGGGTGCTGCTGCAGAGCCCTCCTCGATTCAGGATGCTGATAGAAGTCTGACATGCTGTTTTGAAAAGTCCTCGCTGCTGCTGTCTTAGGAAGAATTTTGGTCCTAACAATTTGTGGGTTTGAGTAAGCATCCCGGGTAGCGGAAACTTCGACCAAGAAAGAAGTTAGGCCAGGTAACCTGGTAAAGGTCAAGGGTCAGCTCCGCTCTAAGCACTGAGCAGCATTCCTCTCTCTCTTTGCGAATGGACACGGAAGCACACCAAGCCCTCTTGAATCCTGAAATGCTGCAGGTCCCATGAGGAGAAGCCACCCCGGCCCTCACGAGGCCCCTGGTGCGTGACAATGCGGTGCGATATGCCAATCTAAGTGGCTGACATTTAGTGCACCAATTCATCTTAGGGGTGTGACCGCTGACGTGGCTGTTGTGGCCAGTAAATATGCTGTCATCAATTCTGTATCGTCGTTAGTCTGTATGACATCATTGTGTACTGCATCGATGCAATTGTTTCAAATTCCAATTAGTTATCTCTCGTGTCTGTATTTCTATCCCTATACCTAATGAGCATTTGTTTTTGCTTTGCAACCATTACTACATCTAATAGGGCACTGGCAGAACACGTGGTCATTTGAGGTCAAACAGCGTGATTCGTATATTGGCTTTGTGCGCAATAAATACGTACAGCAGATGTTCATCAATATCTTAGGGAGATGGAAGTCATTCGATCTCGTTAGCGCGCAGTTTTTTTCATAAACCACTGAGCCTCAACTTGGTGACCTGAACAAGTGATCCGTGGCCACAATTTTAAAATATGCGGAGCTTATGGGTGTCAGCTCAGGTGATACGGCACCAAAATCGGCGTCACAAGAGCCATCCTGTGCCAAAAAAAGCGAATAAAAGGGGATATTTTAGCAACGTCACATCTTAAGTTTTCTATCGAGAACGGTGATATGATCATATTAAAAATGTAGCAACGACATTTTTATTTTTCATTTTCCGGCTACCCTTGGAGTTGGGACCTCCACCGCACGGGTCGTCGTTCCACAGCCCCGGTGCCTGGACGGCCGTTCCACAGCCCCGGCCTGTCGCCGGCGCCCTCTGCACTCCTACATAAGTGAGCCGGATCCCCACAGCCGGCTCAGTGTTTGGTCTGGACCCGTGTTAGAGGGAGAGGTGCGGATTAGTAAGAGAGGAGAGAGAGAAGGGAAGATCAAATCAGAGGAGTGGGAAGCATAGGTGAGTGACCGAGGGCGAGGGTAACTGTTCTTGTCGAAAGTGAAAGGTAATGACGTT